TTGAAACTTGAATTCAATTGAAAATTTCAATTTTCAATTTTTAAACCAATAGCATTCTGAAGAATAGCGACTTACACGTATATCGCCATAAGTTGAAAGTTGAAATTTTCAACTGAATTCAAGTTTGACACTACTGATACAACAAGGATAAGTTGTACGATTTGACAAGACTTCCAGAAGAAGAAGTTTTAGAGTCACGTAGAAGAAAAAAGAAAAAAAGGAGTTGATTATAATAGAACCAACTAACCAAGAAAAGTAACAAGCTAATGAAAAAAGAAAGACACAGTAAAAGTAAAGACGCGGGTAGTAGCTAGACAATAAGAATCAAGAAGCTATATTGAAAAAAATATATGTACAAGTATAATTAGTATCAGCACATAATACAGGTGACGTTATGCCGTCGCAGGGGGGACATTTGTATCGTGAGCAAAGAATTCGATTACATATATTTTCACTGGCTTATATCATCATTATTTTGAGTAGAGATTTTAGAATGTAGCTGAGGATTTGTATAAGACAAATTTGTTTTTGCAATTCATATAGACTAGTCTAGCTAAGCATAAGAGTTTCGAGCTTCAGATCTGGAAGCACGAGTTTGAAGAAAATCTAGGTCACACACACACACTCGCTGGTAAACTTTTTCTGATAAGCTTTCGAATGGCATTATTTCGATGAAGAATATTTTATCATAGACTAACATCGATAGCTATGACAATGATAATAACCAACGATGAATTCAAATCAACATAGTGATTACCATGGAGAGAGGTACATTATGAAGTAAGCTATGTGTCTCTTGTTATTCAAAATTTTCATAGATACTATCCACTCAAACGAAGATCTTCAGTCTTGATACGTGGTGTTGTTTTTATCATTTTAGGGGGTTTTCATGGGTCTCTCCCCCAAGATACACAAGTTTTTCTTAATCGAACGAAACTTTCAGAGTTTGTAGTACAAGTTGATAAGACTTTTGGCTTTATCACTTTTTTAAATTCATTAATAAACATCTGTAAGTAGACGATGAAACATTTCGCTTTCTTGAAAAAATTCGACGGTGAGCAGAAAATCAATGTCTTTTGAAACACAAAACGATTCAATCATGCATACATATTGTATATCATCTGATAGCTCATGGTCATAGCTTCATTTAAACAGACTGTGTGCACTCATATTTTGAAACATTATATATAACTGTATCTAAATCCAATGAATATCGAGTGAGCGTTTGTCTGCCAGACGACGCACATCCACACAATATTATATAATGATCATTTGGATCAAATAGCTTTTTTGTCATCTTATCGATAATGGAAAACGACAGAATGAATAAGAATTTCATGACAACAACATGCATAGAACTTTTCCATTAGCACATATATTTAAGATAGGTCAATTGTAAACTAATTCTCATGGAATATAATGCGATTTAACCTACTGAGCACTGTTATTCAGTGAAACGTATTACAGTATAATTACCGCTCTTATATTATTGGTTCATATTACTAGTACTGAATATAATAAACCAATAACGTGAAAATTAAAGTGCATCATCGATGAACTTTTTTTCATGTTAGTTTGTTCGACATAATCTTTATACACTTATATGGGTATTTGTCGAATATTTCTTATTGGTTGTGAATGTATAATCCTTGGATATGATTTAACGCCTGTTGAACAAGCAATTTTTTTTTCTATCTATCGGATTTTCTAGACGACAACGATGGTACCGGAATCTGTAAGTACTAGTGAATCTAACAGTAAACGTAGACTAAAAAATAAAATACCAAAACGATTACGTCATAAAAATAAACCAAATGATATTCCTACTGAAGAGAATGTTAACAATGAAATTCCAAAGACAGGTAATCACAATGACTTGATGTTCAATAGAACGCAGTACATATAATGCGAAAGTGTATTATTTATTTTTTTCGAATATGCAGATCAAACATCAGTGATAAAACCAAATACTATTCAAGAAAGTGCTCCTTTCATATTGGACACTTTACCTTCAACAGCATCAGATTATACCTCTCCGGCTGTACCCATGAATGAGACATCAGTAGGACATTTTTTAATTTATTTATAACAAAAAAAAGATGAGATTTGGTGTTATTATTTTCTATAGATAGATTATTGGAAATTTTGTACGAAGAAAGCATTGGATATTCTTGAAAAACAAGCATCGAATCGACGAAAATTTATCATTGAAAGGCAGTAAGTCGAATTAAATTTTATCATGTTCTTATCCTGACAAGAATTTTAGTCAAGAACGCATCAATAGTACGCAATGTTTACTTGGTCAACGTGAACGAATCGACATACTGACTGAAGAAAATCATTCGGTAAGGGATCGATTACATATTTTCTTCTACATCGACAATTGAATGACCGATTGTGTGAATCCATTGGAAATTTAATCATCGAAATCGTCTCATTTTCTCTTGCGAACTTTTCTTTTGATTAAGATGTGTCAAGTAGTCGATTCTTTGCGAAACGAACTACGTACAAAAGATGAAACTTTAAAAATGTTGCAAGAAAAACTTCACGATCGTGATGGTCTCATCCTTGACAATGAATGTTTAAGTTTACAATTACAATCAATCGATCATAAACTTCAACGCGTTACTATGGAATATAGTAAAAAGATGGAAGAAAATCGTCAGCATCAAGATGAATATGATGAACAAATACAATCGTTAATGGATGAAATTGAACGCATAAAACGTGATCTTGTCTTAGAAGAATATCGAAAACAAGAAGCTGAAAGAAAAGTTCGTTCCTATGAAGAAAAAATCAAAGTAGAACAAAATCTAAATAAAAAAACACAACAAGATATCATTCAATTAAAGCAAGATTTAAAATCAATTCATATGAGATACGACTCATTGCAAATTGAAATGCTTGCTATGCATGAAGCAAACATTAGTGAACTATCGTTAATACCACCAAAAGATACTAATGACAATGAATGGCCAAAGAAACGTACAATACCTCATGAAGCTGTAAGAAGATTATTCTAGTTCATCGATTTCTCATGAAAATTATATTTTAGAACCAATATTTGGAAACGAAACGATCAAAACGAAAAACGCGAGATCGTACCGAATCAGCAGCCAGTACAAGAAGTGCATGCAGTGATAAACAAAATAAAGCAATGGCAAAATCATCAAAAAATAAAGAAGTATGTACTTGAAAATAAAGACGAAAAAATCAATTTATTCTCTATTTTAAGAATGAAATCAATGATCCGTCGTTAATCTCGAAAAGAAAAACGTTGAAATCGAAAAAATCAAGTAATTTGTTTTATTAGAAATTTTGTTGCGTTGCTTATATTCGCTTGATTAGGTAAAAATCATTTGCCAATGGTCACTCTTACACAAGCTAGTCCATCGAACGGTCAAGGAATATTAATGGAAAACGATTCAACACAATTATTAATTCCATCATTAGCTGGTGTAACATCGGAGAGTAATACATCAAGTATGTTCATTTGATTAAAAATTTTGTTTTTAATCGTTGTGCTATATTTGAGTAGCAGGTTCTCATGGTACGAGCTGTGAATCACAACCATTAAATTCGCGATCAAAAAAGCCAAGTCGTTATCCGTGTCGACGTGCTCAACGTCCAGTTAAACAAATTGAGGCTATTGATCAAGTATAAAGATATATTTTATGCAATTCGATAATGTTTTTGCTTTTATTTTAGATTAATCAGTGACGATACTTATTTTCCCCCTTTTTTTTTATAAACTTATTATGTTAATTATCTAATTTTTCATGTGTATTCAATAAAAAGATAATCTCGTTCGCTTTACGTACTTTATTATTAAAATAAATATATATTCTATTTTTCTTATAGATAAGATTATAGCGTTGGAAATTTTCCGTTTTCTAAAAATGACGCACCGCTTTTCTTCAAATACATCACCATTAAATGCCGCTGTCGGCACTTCAATTTCCAGTAGTCAGTACTTGATTTTCGCCTATTAACTCAACGATAAATCTTTCCCCATCTACAGATCTACAAGTCAATAATCAACATTCAGTAGGATCCTATCGTGGTAAAGAGATGCATGTCACTATCATCAATCCTATTCGTGAAAAAGAACAACGAGTAATCCGATTATCTACTATTTTTCACTAGGTTTTTTACATTTTGTTTTACATTTAGAAAGAATTACGATCAGTATTAAAACTACCAATGATACCCAATGACGATTTCATTCCAAGTAAAATAATTTATTCCAGAATTCTACGAAATAATTTATGACAAATTTTGTTTTTCTTTTTCTAGTCGATGATTTTTCAAATGGTTTTACATATGAATCACATTTAGGTCGATTTTGTAAGAATGTCATTGTTGTCTCAGCAAGACATCCGCATAGTTTCTTCTTGCAAACAATCGATGATCTTACTTTTAGTGATAATTTTTTTTCAAAAATGAAGTATGTATTCATAGTTTTGTCGTTTCTACTAAATCAAGTTGTGAATCTTACTCACAGATTGCGCTAGCATATTTCATTCATAACAAGACATACAAAAAGCTCTTCTTTGTTCGTGTCCTATATTTTAGTGAATTTTACAATCGATGTTTTGACGCTCAACGTCTTGTTATATCAAAAGCAGCTTTACGTGTTAATTTATGTTGTGTAGCACGAGATGAAATCGAATCGGACGTTTGGAATCGTGCACAACTACTTGAATATTATCCTGAAAGTGATCAATGCAGTTTACTTCTTGTTGATATAGGTACATGGCAAGAATGTGTACCACGTTCAAAGCTACGCCATATAATTTTACCGTTTCGTCAAGAATGCGTTCGTAGTGTACCATGTCGACTAGCTGGTATAGCGCCTGCTAAACCAGAAAAAAATAGCTTATGGAATGAATGTAAGTTTGAATAAACAAATCCGCATGATTCTGTGTTTTCAATATACCGTATATGTTGATTAATTGATTATATATTGACCCAGCATTACAGATGCCATCAAAACGTTTCGCAATGTCATTGATAATGTTCCAGCCGAAGTCGAAGTACTTGATTGTTCACCGAATGGCTCCTATTTTGTGAATCTATTTGTAACACACGATACATTTGTCTGTGTTAATGATTTTTTACTCTATCATAAAATCGCAATACCCGTTGATGATTGTAAAACACTTAAAGTAAACTTTTTTTATTTCGAAAACGTGAAAATATTGGTACAGCCGTTTGTGTCTTTTGGTTAGCCTGAAGAATTGGATCCGACTACTCATGAGCCAGTCTTAGCCATCATTCATGAATTTAACCTTCAAGGCGAGTAAGTTAAAAACTAAATATTTTATTCTCTCCTGATATTGTTTTTTTGTTTGTTCTCTTCGAAGACTTTTAGCTGAAGAATTAAAAGCAAATCAACGACAACAAAAAGAAGAGCAACGAAAAAAATATGAAAAACAGCAACAATGCCACTTAGACTGTCGTTTACCATGCATACGAATTATTGATATACCATTTTTATCTGATAAAAAATTGATTTTTGCACGATATAAAAATTGGGTGATGGTGCCATGGTTTTCTATTAGTGATCTGTTTCGTCCATCATTATCTGAAAGTACTATTCAACGATTTGTACGTTGAAATAAATGTGCAGCTGTCTTTTAAATTTTCTCCTTCTCTTCTATTTTCGTTAGGCATTGCTTTATAAATTTTCACCTGTGTATTTAACACCATTAAGCAATGCTGTACTTTGTGCTAGTTTAGAAAAATATATGACATCAATTAATGATAATAGAAAAACGAGTTTACGTGGAAATGAAACTAAAATTGCTTTATATAGTATTGATTGTGTACGAAAATTATTATTAAATCATCATCTTGTTAATGAATTTATATTCGAACGGCTTGATGAAGCTCGTGAAGCTGAAATGAAAGATGATCAAGATTTTTGGGAAATACCATCACAAGTATGACATTACTGTGTTGTAAATAAAATTAAAACGTCTATTTCTAGAATCAACTATTGATGGAGCACAAAAAATTAAATGAAGAAAGTAAACAATCACAAATGGCTGTAGTCAAATCTCATAAGTATGAATAATTCTTTTTAATTAGAATGTTGACTTTTCTATAGTTGCCAGTTGTTACAGCTAAATTACGCCGCAATGTCAGTTTTTTCTCATGCAAAAATTTCTTTTTCGATTGTAGAGATCGACTAGAATATCGTCTTGAACAAATGAAACCGTCCGATCCAAATTACAAATCAATACAACGTCAACTAATGGATGCAGTGGAAAAACTGAGCATCTTCAGCAACGACAGTAATAGTTCATTTTGAAAAAGAAAACATTTCCCATTCGAATTTATTTGAATATCTTGTATAATTTAATCTTGCCGTTAGTTGGATCTAACTTCTTCTTTTTTTTCCGTATGTTTTGTTGTGCTTTTTGTTTCGCTTTTGCATAAACTTATTTAGAACGAATATGGATTGTTGTAGCTCAAGAAAGAAATTATATTCAATAAGTCAATAGTTGTTTATCTTCTTGGAAGAAGAAGAAGAAGAAGAAGAGAAACTTCACATTGAATAATAACGATCGCCAATTTTTCAATGAGAAAAGAAAATCCTAACACCGATGTTACGAAGGTTATGTAAGCTTGAAGATAATACGAAAGCCACAGAATAATTTGCATAAAAAAAATCAATTCAGCCTCCTCGAAAAGAAAAAGAAAAAGATTGTATAATTCTTCTTACTATTCGATTTAGGATAAGCAAAACAATAGCCTTGGAGTTCTTACTAAGAAAATTCGTCAAACTAACTATATCATAATCGTAGTTTGTTTAAAATAATGATCATTTCTTCTATTGATTTTTTGTTAAACGCCGATGACAGACGCACGTAAAATGGTTAGATACGAAATGACCGATCGATAGATCATTTTGGATTAAAATTCTTTATCAAAAAGGTGTGTATAATCTCTATCGAGTAAACTCTATCATTCATCATCAATGCATGACTGTTCAGTTTCGTCTGTAGTTTAAAACAAATCTAAACATACAAAAACCAAATAGATAAATAATAATCATTGTTGTTCTCCTTTGGTTTTCGATGCATCTTTCGTATCGTTCTGATTGCAAGATTTAATCGTTCATAGTTGAATAGAATACGAAAAAAACAAAAATGATCAAATTTACTTTGATTAATTATGTTCACATTTTGACCACAATCCTTAATCCTTGGGCGTGATACTTTGCGAATAAGGGGAAAAATTGACCCTTACTTTGTTGTAACAAAGACATTCTTATTCTCATTACAATAACTAAAGATTGTGTTTGAGATGACATAAAGAGGACATACATATATACACACACGTAAGTAATTTTTTTTTATAGTTAAAAGGAAAAATCTTTACGTAATCGACCTTTGACTAATCACGCACTTGTCGTCCTTCTTTTAACGCTATCTTTTGTCGAATGTTGAACATAAAAAAATTTCATCTAAGACCGTATTTTGCTCTTTAATTAATCAATGAAACTTAAACACAATGGATATCCTTCGTAATCAATGTTCGAGGTTTTATTTCGTTGTATGTTGTTTTTTTTCTTGCTCAATTATGCAAGAAATAAAAGATTACTTTCAAGAATGAATCGAGTTTATCATCAGCTTGTCTTCTTTTTTTTCGATCTATATCGATAGTTTTTTTTTCTTCTTATTCTTCTTCTTCTTCTTCTCTTCCCATACACAATTTAGGTCATCGCCCTTCTTCTTTCTACTTCCTGATCGGTGTTGGTGCAGGTATTAACATTTATTTAAATAACTTTTTCTTTTTCTCGTCGTTTCGTTCGTTTGTTTGTTCGTTCATACGACAAACACAGATAGAGAGAGAGAGAGAGAGCGCGAGAGCGAGACAGCGAGAAACGAGAAACAGAGAGCATAAATGGGTTTGATGCTCTTTTTTTCTTGACCAAGCTCTACGATACGATAATTTGTCTCCACATTCTTTCTTTTAGACTATGGTATTGTAACATTGGAAATATAAAAATCAAATGATTGAAATAAATGTTCACAACGAACAATAAAAATGTTATTTTAATAATGATCACGATGAGTGCTAGATTATCATCATGCTTAATCAGTCAGATCGACGTCTATTTTACTTTGTAACAATTCGTAAGTAACTTTTAATTTTTCTTATCATACCCGATAACATATCTTTATAAACTAGTTCTAGTTATTATTCAATTAATACAATCCGAAACGTTCAAGTGTGTCAAAGATGGCTTTTTCCCGGATAAAAAAGATTGCTGGATCTATCATATTTGTGTTGGTTCGACACATTCAGTAAAAGCTTGTAAAGAAGATCTTTTATTCAATCCAATAAAAAACGAATGTGATTGGGCAATGAATGTAAAATCTTGAATTTCTTTTTTTTTTTGAAAGTTTTTGAGAAATCTAAAAAGCCTTCTTTGTTGTATTAGGTCAACTGTAGTCAAACATCTTATGAAGATGCTCTTCCACCAACTATGTCAACAAACGGACATTATCATCCTCCTGGTAACATTTCAATATTTTTCAAATTTTGTTTTCAATCTTTTTCTTGCAAAAGATTTTGAATATCCAATTCATTCATCATCCGCCGGTGATGGTTTCAATCGAGGAAAATATCCTTCAAATTATCCACTAATAAGTGATTCAATATTCGAATATTTATGCCGATCGATTGATAACGACTATATAGCTCATCCGACTGATTGTAAACGATATGCATATTGTGCAAACGGTAAGAAACGTGACATCTCATGCTGTTGTTGTCTTTCATATTCGAACAAGAGACGTGTGGACATCGAGTCAATAGATCGAATGCACATCTTGTCTTGTCTACATTCGAACCATTAATCTTGATTCATCTAAACTAAGCAAAAGAAAAGCTTCACGTGACTTATTTACTAAGGAAACGCTCTATGAAGAAAAATGAAAGGTCCTATTGTACTTGAATACTGTTCAACGCTCATAGTAATCGTAGAATTTCTATTTACATTGCACAATAGAGACAAAAAAGAAACGATCCGATTCTATTTATATATTTAAAATTTGATAAAAAAGAAGTATATGAAAATTATTTGTATTTTTCATTCGATAATTATAGGCGCACCACAAGCTAAAGTATGTACAAAAAATTTATTTTGGTCTCAAAGTGAAAGAATGTGTGTTTGGCCAGTACAATCCGACTGTAAGTTTTATCAGTATAACTTTATGTCATTTACGATGTGGTATGTTAAAGGTCCGGCGAAGAATTTAAATTCAGAACCTTCAATCGGAGCAAGTGCTGCTGGTGCACCATGGATGCTACGTGGTACAACTTATCCTGCGTCGTACATTCTTACCGATGTACCACCTCCACTTCCTTCATCCAATGTATATAAACCAGCTGTTGATTGTCCTCCAACTCAATCATGGCGCGTACCTGATCCCTATGATTGTTCAATTTATCATGATTGCTATCATGGTACTGATCTTGTATCTTATTGTCCCGCACAACTTCAATACAATCCAGAAAAACAAAGTTGTGATCATGCACAGAATGTTCAATGTAATGATAATATTAATAATGAATACATATTGATTTGCGACTAATTTATTTATATAGGTAAAAATAAATGTACGCCCAAGAATGAAGGTTCTCGATTTGTAGATACAACAAGTTGTTGTCATTTCTATGAATGCATATCAGGTAAATTAATACCTCAAACATGTACACATCCGAATCTCTTTGATATCCAAACTCGAACATGTTTACCATATAAAAAAGTTAAATGTGATGGACGTCGACAATGTTTGAGTAAATGTAAGAAGAATTTATTTAATAAATAAGAAATATTTCATGTTCGATCTTGTATGTAAGGTCATTATTTATCTAATTATGATGTTGGTAAAACGTTGTGCGATTTTGTTCCATCGTGTTCTGGTCATAGCGATGGATTTTATCTTGATAGAACAAAACCAAATTGTCAATCATATATTCAATGTCAAGATAATCGAGTAGCGAATCATAGCCGTTGTCCGTATGGACAACGATTTAATAGAAATATTGGACGATGTGCGCCAGCCGATCAAGTACCTTGTCACGGTGAGTTAATCATAAATGTGGTATTTTTTACTCATACAACATTAAGTCGATTTTGCTTATTGACCTTGGATAAATGAGAGAGAGAGAGACAGCTGTAGCCGAAGTGAAGCTATTATTCCCGAGATGAAAATTTTAATCAGTAAAAACTTTTGCTGAAGTTTCGTCATAATCGACTTCAATTGAACGATAAAAACTCGAGTGTGTTAAGCTATGGAAAAGAATTCGAGAAATATGTTTATTGATAATCAAGGTAGAGTAGAGTATTACGAATGTTGATCCCTTTTTTTTGACGACGATGACCGATGTCTCGTTTGATTGTATAATAAACAAATTGTTGAGTAAATCCAGGACTCGTTAAAACTCAATCAAACAATTACATAATGACACGAATCGTGTGCACAACAAACGACAACAACAGTTAGAGTTCATTGCGAAACATGTTGCCTAGAAGAACATAATCGCTTTTGTTTACGCTTATTAGAATGTTTCGTTTTTCTATTTATTTTAGCTCCATCATCGATTCGAATATCACTGTTGTCATCAATTCTCATTGTTGTTCTTGCTGTCGCCTCTAATATAATCCTGTGAGAATCAAAAGAAAAAGTTGTGTTTTCTGACCTTGAACTTCGTATTTTTATTCCTGTTCAATTTTTTTTCACGAATATGCGTTGTCAAATGTACTAATATTATAATTAATATTCCAAACTACGAATGGTTCTTTGTCCCTTTATTTTAACTAAAAATTTTAGAAAAACCGAAAAAAAAACTTTAAAATAAAAGAATATGCAGTGTCATTCTCGCACTTTTCATGTAATGTTTATGATGAGGTTTTGACTTTTTTGTGTTCCAATTCAGCGATTTCACTTAATGTTGTATCATCATGACAATCATTGTTGAATTCAGCTGTTAGTTTTTCATTTTTTGCTATGAATGCAAGTACATCTTTATTTTTATGCATATCAGATAAACCCGTTATATCTGTAAATTTATGCTTAATCGAAAGTCGATCATCAGCTTGAAAACATATTTCACTATGACGATGGTGACCAAGCAATTTATTACTACCAACTTGACTGTCACAATATAATTTTGAGCCCTTAGAAAAAGTAAGCTTTGCATTTTGTTCCGGTTGATAGGGCTGATTTGTTGAATTGACATTCAATGTATTATAAACAAGTTGATTAATACAATGTTCATTGTGATCATTTTGATGGATACAAGTTCTTTTGTGTTTTGATGGGTTGCGACGAAGTTTTTGTGTTTGTCGACGGTACCATGTCCAACAGGCTCGTTGTTGCCGATCATTAGGTTGAACATGACTTGGATGAAGTTTATAGGTTTGATGCATTGTAAAGCCATGACCTTCACGAATATGAATCGGTTGATCTAATTCAATTGTATTTTTTTCATTTCGAGCTTTGTCTACTACCGAACTTTTATTAACAACACTGTCCTCATCTTTATTGTTATTATCGGCAATACGTTTTTTACGATCGGAATGATTATGACGGCCATGACCTGGACGACGACGATGCTTTCGTTGTTCTAACATAAACAAAGACAAAATGCTTATCATCGAACTAACATTGATTGAGAAAATCTCAAAGAAAAAAAAACTGATTCAAGTCAATCTTTACTATATACGTACTATGTGGCATATGATGATGATCACCATCAACATCATCATCATCCACAGCATTATTTAATTCTTCAACCAATTCCACATGGCATTTTTCGAGATCTATTTTCTCATTACTTGTTGACTTTAAACACATAAGATCATTGTCAAGCATTTTTTTTTCTAATGGATGTTTCAATTCAATCAGTATTTTATCACCAATTTCATGTGTAGATTTTACATCTAAACGACGTATAATTTTATCTAAATATTGATTCTTTCTATTCTTTCCGCCAGGTCCACGATGATGTTTAGGTCCGTCCATGCGATGACATTGTTTCTTAACTTGTATTAAACTACGTGTTATTGGTTTTGCCATACAAAATGTTTCACGTGTTCGCACCAGACAGCAATGTTCTTCGCCGCCAAATCCATCATCATATGTATATGCATAATAAACTGATTCAACTGTGAATATTAACACTAACACGGTAATACTCATAAGATAGAGAGAAGATGACGCCATACTTTGCACTTTTTTCACGACTGATGTCTTGTAGAACAACTTCAAATATCGGATAGATAAGATAACATTATATTTATGATGCAGTGTCAGCAGCAAGGGAAGAAAAAAACCCAAGTAAGAAACTGATAATTCTTAATATTCTTTTACTTTGAGTCAACATTGATGAGTCTTATATTTTTCTCTTTCGGGATATTATTCGTACGCTAAGCACGCTGTAGTGGTTGTTTTCTTTTGCCATGTGCTTTCTTATCTTTCATTTTACATATGCTCGTACATCTGTGACTGGAAACCAATGTTTCTATAATGAGAATTCTAAACGAAGTATACTTTTACACTTTTAATCATTAGCAATGTATATCGAAGTATGCAAAATAAATTGCTTTTAAATAACATATTTGCGGGAGAATACAATTCTGACTTTTCGTTTGACAAGCAACGTCAATATACATAAGCGAAAAAAAGACATTTGCGCTTTTTGTTCGTCGACCGAAAAAATAAAAAATACACTTTATGATACTGTACATACTTTATGAGGTATTTTTTTGAATACATAAAAATAAATTGTTAAACATACTTTTGAAGATAAATGTCTCTTTATATATTTTGTTTTTTGAGGCATAGAACATATATATATATATACATATCAGAAGCATCCGATACTTTTGTTTTGTATGTCAGTTGTTAGAAAATCGTAGTATAAACAATCAACTACTATGTATTTGTTGATTGAGACAACTGTACGTTAGTAGATTACACAAATAGAATATACGAATAGTTTCGTTTAGTCTACTGATTCAGAGTACTGTACTGATGGGTTGGACTGATCAAAGAATCGATTATTTAATCATTGTTTTCAGCCGACGAAAATAGACTAGACTTGAAAAATATGATAAAACAATAGTTATCGTCAATTATAATTTGTGCAATGAAATAAATCTCAATTCAAATGAAAATATTCGATATATGCATTCTATTGATTGCAATAGACAGGCTAATAACTAGTAGTATGGCAATTTGCTTTATTTTAACTTCTTGCATGTTAATGATTTCTATGACCAGACATAGATGTCAGCAACAATCAATCGGTAAATTAGAGTGTGGTGTTTATTGAGAAATCACAAGAAAAAAATGTTTTTTCGTATAAAAAATTTAAGTGTTGAAAAATAATGAATTGTGTTGTGTTGAAAATGTTCATTGTCAAATGACTGAACAAAATATACAAACCTAAAAAAAACAAGAATGATTGTGAGCGTTGCTAAGCTGATAGCGTATATTAATGGTGGATGCAGTGTTGATTATATTGTAATGCAAATATTCATTGAGCAATAGAAGTAAGTTAATAGTTTCCTTTTTTTTTGCATTTGTTATTATGTTATTCTATCGTGATATCATATTGTCCATTCATTATCATTGAGACTTGAAGACATTAAGAGAGCATCATCGCCAAATGTTTCAAGATTCTTTTCAGTCTCGTCCATTTCTGTATAACCTACTGCTGTGCCAGTTGTTGCTGTGCATGAAATACGATCAAAAAATGAGAGTTCTTTCTTGTATGAATTTGGTCGTGTTTTTGGCTGTTTTTCTGTTGTCGGATCATCGGGACCTGATCCATTTGAACTGTTAGGTGAATTACGACGAATAACTAATTCTTCGAGTTCAAGATATCGACGAAATTCTTCATTAGCTTTTTCAAAATCATATTGTCCCTCGAATAGCGTCAATGGATTTGATGATGAATCGATTTGAACAATTGAATGATGACCGACATCGAGACTTGCACTACTACAACTGCTTGCACATGAAAAAGTACGTTGACTACGATATGAACCTGCGGATTCTTTGAATGATAGTGGTGTATTCATTTGATTACGATCCCCTGTATTTCCATATTGATAGGGTAAACTTATTGTTGAACGAATACTAGCTGTTGATCGACGTGTCGGATTATTACGTGACATGGAAAGTCTTTCATGTGTTGAGGGTGTTGTTAATGATTTATTTGATGTTTGACGCGAGAGTTCTAAAGAAATATGACATTTAGATACAATTCATATGAGCAAAAAACTACACCTACGTTCGAGTGGAACATCATTTTTTGTTTTGCCATTGTATTGTTGTTGAGAAAAATTTCGTTTGTCTAAAGATCCTGATGAATGAATACGATATTTCGCCATAGGTGGTGGTGTTCGTATAGGTCTTGCCTTTGTTCTTGATTGATTTGTTTGGTTGTAATTTTTTTTATTTGTCATTTGTCTTGGTGGAACATATCGTTGATTTGTATGGGGATAGTTCTGTTGATACTGTTGTTGATTAATATGATTGTTGTCCATGCCATTTATTCCGTAGGGTACTGATTGAGAATGATCAGGTGATGCCACCGATTGTAAACGTGGTTTAAAACGAGTTCGTTCATAAAATGTAATTGATGGATTGTGTGTTGTAGGTAAATTTCGTTGTTCAGTAAAAAATGGTGCAGCATTTGGATTTAGCTTACTTGTAATTGTTACACGTATAGGTGATGCATTTCGATTGTCACTAATTGTCGGTCCTTTGTTCAATGTATTTAGATGATTAACTCGTGTTTGTCCATTGATCATATCATGATTATCGGAAATAGTCTGACGAATATTATTATTAATATTTGTAGCCATGGATGATGATGTTGATTGTACATCTGTACGTCGTTCGATTTTTTTTGGTAGAACTTTTTTAGCAAGTAATGTAACTGGTTTTGAGCGAAAACTTGATGTTGTTAATTGATTAAATTTTTCTATTTGTTCATCGATGGATTCATCGTTGCTTTCATCAGCAAGTCTGTCAACTGAACGGATGCAAAACGAAGATGACGATTCATTTGAACTTGATGATATTATTGCACTATCCCCATTGCTACCGAATGATTCACCACGAGTTTGACGTCCTATAGGTGCACGCAGTGGATAATCATTACTTGAAGTATTAGATTTTGTTTCATATTCATCCGATGATGATAAGCGAATGTCAACAAGACATGGATCAATAGCTCGTAATTTTACTTTTGATTCATTAAACGTTGAAGGAAGTTCTATCAATCTTAATTCTTGAATATCACGTACATTTAAACACACCTGCTCATATATATGTATATCATTTGTTAAATGATCAATCATAACAGCATTCAATGTATCACTTGCACTGCTTTTATTGAGATCATTCAAAACACTATCTAAATAGGATATTAATAATATTTTTATTAATAAGAAATAAAGACTAGAAGTTTTTTTTTTAAATATTTACTTCGATTTGGAGATGCTGTGATGTTTGCGTTGACACGAACATTTTTAAGATAGATACGATCTTTATTGGCACTAATACCATCTAGTACACCTTCATAGGAAATACGAGCTTTCGATACAACTCGTACAGTACAACCATAATAGGGACTATGTGCAATGCCGCTTGTATCCTCTTTAAATTGCTCTTCAACCTGCATTGACTGTTATGAGCGTCGAAACGCGCAGGTGCGGAGATATTTTAAATATTTTTTTGCAATACTATGCCTATGCATGACAAGCGTTGCATCGTTTCTCTCTCTCTCTCTGTCTCTCTCTGTCTCTCTCTCTCTGTGTGTACCTTCATCTCTCCATACGATGATCGTCCAATCGTGTCGAACATGGTGATTGGTGAAAAATAGCATGTGACCGTATATATGACGTCATCATTCTACCTGTGCTACTTGTTTTTTCTTGTTACTGATACACTGCTGTTGGCCTAATTGTTTTTTTCTTCAAGTCTGTTTTTATGCTTTTCCCTCGCGTATGTATATCAGCATGGATTGTTTATAGGCGTCCAGAGAAACGGAAAAATTCCCATTTTGACATAATAGAATTGGCAATGTGACGCGTACAAGGCAACGACGAAGAAGACAAAAGAAAACTGTATGACTATTCCTGAGAAAATGAGATAGCACATTGACAAAGGTATGCAAAGTATTTCTTTTGTCGCCTATGCGATTTATCACTCAAGCGTGAATAAAACATGATCAAACGAAAATGTTTTTAGTTTCTCTTTGATTATCGAAAGGCAAGGCGTAGGACGAAGATGAAGAGGTGTACTTTAGTGAGATTCAATGTAAATAATCATTCAAAATTCGTATCATAAAAAAGAAACAACAAAATTTCGGTGCTTAATATTGTAAATTGCAAATGAAAAATTGATGCCTCAATTTTTATTCACACCAACTATTTATAATTCATTGATAATTATCTATGTTTTCGTTTTTTGGCATGACCAAGATGAAAAATAACTGATGTATTGCATAAAAATCAATTTTCCTAATGTGTTTCTGTTGTGCAATGCATTACATTTATAATATTTTGAGACATCATATCGAAAACGAATATTCATAATATAATAATTGCATAATATAAAAAAATGTTTTCAGTATTGTAAAATTTTGTGAAAAAAATGATAGCATTAAATTTGTGTAGAATTCGTGATTGAATTAAATTTCAATTAGAAATTGAAAGTTCACTTTTAGATAGATAATAGGATATTAAATTCAAAAAATGCCGCCAAAAGGGACAAAAAGTCCACGAGCAAAAAGTCCTAAAAGTGGTAAACCAGGAGGAGGATCAACATGGGAAGCTCTATTAGGTACAATGTCTATCAATCAAGTGAGCTTTATAAAAAAAAAACAATTTGTACTCTACTATATCTTCCGTTTCTTATTATATTCTATTAAATAGGACAATTGGACAACATTTGTTTGTTTTCTTACACCTGATTTTTCTGTTAATCAAATTTATATTGATCTCATTGAAAAAGCCATGCAAGTTGACATTCGACGACAATTTGATTTTATCTCTAAACGTGATTTTCTTGAAGCTGTAAGTAATAAGATCAAAAGTTTTTTTTTTCTTTTACAATAACCCAAGTATTCGATAGAGTCCTTCATACTTACCAAAATGTCATCTATTATAGAATATCAAAGAAAAAATTTCTCAAAAAGACCATTTGCTAGTATACAGGATCCTGAATAAAATTATTGATCTACAGTATTTCCTACAACCTTCTGTTCTGACGTAAATTTACAATCAACTCTCAATATTGTTTATAGCTTTTTGAGACCATGTTTGAGTTTTGAGAAAACTTCATATATGATCTACGTATGAAGTTCTAGTATGGATTGAGAGCTCCATTGGTTATGTCGATCACTAATCGAATTTACGTTAGATATTTGGTATTGTAGAAAGAAAGAAAGAAAGAAAGAAAGACAAAGCCAAGAAAATGTTGGTCTTCTTTTTCTGATATGTTCTCTGTACTCACTTGATATTCTTTAGATCAAAACCTTGGGTAAAGCATCAAAAGCTACCAATAAGTCTGTTTCGACAAGTGCAACTCTTGCCAGTCTTATGAATTCACAATTTTTTACTGCCTACGAATATGCTAAAACAATATTAGATACAGGTGGAGACATTGATGATCAATTGTGGGCGAAATTAATCAAATGTCGTATACTTGACCTAAAAAAAGAAGTACACGGTAGAACAACCCATAAAATAGTATGCCATTTAGAAATCGTTTTTGCAATTTTAATGATAGTCGACTTTTGCATTACAGTCATCAACACCGGGAACTACAACGACACTTAAAACGGAAAAACCAAAATCTCCCAGTGGAAAAAAATCGCCAAAAGGAGCTGCTGCTGCTAAAAAACAAACGCCTGGTTTACAACAATCCCAAGCTGACACGCATATTGAAAAGTCGACAGGTGTAAAGACACGTGATCAAATTGCCAATGAAACTAAATATGTCGGTAGGTCAATTGAGTGTAAAGGAGAAAAAGAAAAGGCTTCATCCAAATTTCCTATTGGTTTTATTCAGGCAATCTAGGAATAAAAAGAAAAAAAGGTTGTAGAAAATATTATTTTTCGCTATATTTTTGCTCTTCGATATGATTATGCATTATTTTATTCACTGGCTTTCTTTTAAAAACAAAACAGTTAACTCTATGTTTTAAAATTTAGATGACGAGCCAAGTGATGGACCTAATCAATATGTATTTTTAAGTGGCTTCTATTCAACTGGTCTTTTAAATTCACTTGATACGGTCGGAGCTCGTATTGATACAGTAACAAATGTATCCTGTGATAGGTTGGATGATACAAAACGTCTATTCAATGAAATGATGCAACGAGATCGACAAGAACAAACGCTTAAAGCTGATGTACTCAAAGATATACGTAAGTATGAGATCATAAGACTTCTAAATGCATTACTTTCTAATATTGATCGTTTTCAGCAAAAGATTCAATACGTAAGAAATTTCCTTTCGGTTTCTTTTTTCATTCATTTTCATTTAATAACTAACCGTCTCACATACCAAATGCCATTTCCATAGTTTAACGCAACTATTTATAAGCCATTGTCAAATTTCGAAATCGATTTGACATGATTTATTGTTTTGTAATCAAAGTTCTAATAATTCATATGATATATTTTTTTATATATTCACGCAGAATGTTAGTTTATTACCACTGAGCAAATATATTTTATTTTTATAACTAATAAGCAAACAAAGAAATTTATTATATTTTGAATGAATTTCTTGATTGCTTTTTTTCTTACTTTCTAGTTACTCCCGAGCAAATTGCTCAACAAATTGAACGAAATGATCAAACATTAAATCATTTCTGGAAAGATCTAATGCCCATATTGGACAATTCACCTGACCGATCGATGCTACAAGATATTATTGTGACATCATTAAAAGTGCCCAGTGATGATGTACCTAATTCATGGTCGAATACTGAACAACGAGTTAGTTGATAGTTTTGAATAGAACAACAAAAGAAATATTTCTCTTTCTATCTTCAAATTCCTAGACCAAATTAGCACAATCTCTTCAAAATAGTATCGTTGAAAGTAGTTATCGTTTAACTGTTCGTAAACGACAATTCAATACATTTAATCAACAAATGAAACTCGTAACAATACCTACTATTGGTTTGTGTCAGACATGATTACTATTCTTCTATGTTCTCAAATAACGACATTATTATTTATTTAGAAGAAAAAGCAGTGGAATCAATAGTCGACGCTAAAATCTATAATGAAATAACGACAATCGTTCCACCAGAATCGTTAAGTGTACCGTTGATTTTACATGGAATTCTCGAACAAGTTCGTTTGAACAACAAACCTTAGTTTTCTTATAACTAAAAAACTGATTTCAGGTTGAAGCTCAAAATGCAAATACGAATAAAAATCTTAATGCAACTCAACAAGATGATGTTGGACGATATTTACGTGAAAAACTATTAAGTCTTTCCATGGGAAAAGAAGAACAAAAAGTATGAGATATTCAATCTGAAATGAAAATTAAATGAGATTCTTTTTGTTTTTGAGGAAATTGAAAATCTCGTTCCGAAATCTCCATTTGCTAAAGCGACTGGATCGGGACCAACAATGATCTATTATGGTGATGATGTAAAACAACGCTTAGCAACGTTAAATCGTTTAGCTATATTCGACCCACTTAAAATAGAACATGATTCAATAGTTTCACATTCACGTCTCAATAGTCTATCTGAATTGTCAACAAAACAAATTGATGATTCAGATTCTAGAGAACGTCAAACACGTCTGAATCAATTTTTACAATTTTGTACCGATGAAGAACTTCTTCTATCAGGTTTGTCGAAATAAGATCACTAATTTTTTTTCATTTTAATCAATTATTATTTCTAGATGTGGATCACGTTCTTAAACAATTAGTTTTTGAATGTATGACAATAAATTCAACAATACCAATCACACCTGAAAATACTCCTGAACAGCCAACAAGTCGTCCATCGTCGGTTGGCAGTAATCACGACGAAGAACAATTACATTTTGAACGACGTTTATCAACTTTACTCGATCAAGAAAATAAACAATTCGTGAATACAAAACCTATTATTTGGGATGATCCATTTGAGTTATTAATAACCAATGAAGAAACAGGACGTATTGGAATTTCAGCTGAAACACTTCCATCAAGTCCAACAAGTCGAAGTAACGATTAAAACTAGTGGAAAGAAAAAAAGAATATTCATGTCCGTGCTTATTTTAGCTTCGAAAGGTTCAATTTTACGAGCTCGAACACAATCACCAAAACGATCAGGTACGTGAGAATTTAGAAAATTTATATTTAAAAACTTTCAACCAACAGCAACAAACTATTTATCGATTATTATCTTACAGAGTCTGATTCAGGTACTAAAGCATGATTTTTGTGTTTACGTGTGCGTATAGTTTTGTGCCGAAGGTTAACAAAAGTGGATCACTTGTTGCCTTTCAATACCGCATGGAAATAATAATTTCCTAGAAAAACCTAACCTTTGATTTTGTTTTCTTTTTGTAATTAATAACAATCTTGTTTGTGATTGCCTTCTTTATTCGATTTCAACAGTCTATACTGTTCGTTTTGACGTTAATAATCCAGACAACAATCTCTACCAACAAATGCATCATCTGATACCACCTGCCGGAGGTGCGAACGTCGACGGAACAATGCAAAATATTACTCAATATCATAAACGAAACTTGAATGATTGGAATTTTGCTGAACACTTTGAACCTGATGTATTTGCACAAGTATGTATTTGTTCAATCATTAAAGAATAAATTTTCATGAGAGGCACATCTGTTGTTGTTGTTGTTGTTGTTTCGACAATCTCCTTGCTAAATATGACAAAAATTGTCAACTTCTGGTGTTTTGATGAACGAGAATTTCCCCGCGAGATAAAATATTCAACTAATCCAAAAACTTGTTTCTGCATAATAGGAATTCGAATCCAACATGAACACAAGTCTCACGCCCTAAATAATTGTTTTAGAGATTTTCAAACATTTTTTCACTATTTTTAAACGAAATACGAAATTCTAGTCTGAAGCCATCAAACATATTTTCCTGCGAATGAAAAATTGAACCAACATTTTCTCTCTATTATCCGATTAATTACTCATGAGTAATCTATGCTTTGGCTAGTAGATATTCAAATAGTATTAGAAGCTACTAAAAACAAATCAAAGGATTATCTGAATTATCGTGCGATTTATGTTTATGTTGTTACTCTAATATTTTTGTTGTAGGTAATCCAACAAGCGTTATTTACACATTCACAAATTAGTGTATACTATAATCGACGAGATCATACTCATATGATGATTCTTTCATTACCCGTACCCGAAGGTAAAACGATCGGATATGAGAATACAAGCAAAAAATTGTTTTCTGATGTTGGATTCAGGTAAGAATATTTCTCTAGGTTTAGAATTGAAATTCTAAATTATGAATTTAATAGAAATTTTCTTGATGAAATTTCATATGAAATTGTCGATTGGCTTCGCGATGAAGAAGCTAAATATCAAGCTGATATACTTGCACAAGAAGTGAAAACATTCGCACGTCAAACAACACCAACACCAGACGCAATAAAAGCAGCTCTGGAAGCGACTGCCAAGAAAGGAAAAGGAGCAGCAGGAAAAAGTATTTGTTTTAAAATTGTGTCAAGTGAAACAAAAACACTTCATTTTTAGAAACATCACCACTTCGATCAGCAAGTGTTAGTTCCGATAGTGGAAATAGCACTGATGAGGAAAAGACGATTCGTGATGATTATGTACATCCGACTTCATTGAAAGCATGGAAACAAAAGAAAGATAAAGAAATTCAAGAACAAGACCAACAAGTTAAAGCAAAGCGACCAACATCGGGTACTAAATCGCCTAAAGCTAAAAGTCCTCGAGGAGCTGAAAAAGCAGCGAAAGTAACAACACCAAGAGAAAAATCTCCGAAAGGCGCTAAAGGAAAACGAGCTAGTTCTACACCATCAGACAAGTCTCCGGTAAGTAAAATTTTTGGAAATAAGTCGAAGAAATGATGATCATAATTGTCATTATTCATTCATTCTAAGGGGCAAAAAACTCCACAAGAATTTGGCGAACCTTCTGATCGAGTAATTTTTAAAAATAAATATTCAATATTTTATTCTAGTTGATTGTATTGATTTTATTATTATTAATAGTTCATCGGATATAGTCTAGGCAATCGTTTGTTAAGTGCACAATGTAATACGTCTCATTTGCTTCTGCCCGATGGATGTTTTGTTCGAACATCTATTGACACAATTAAACGAGGCCCTACATGCGTTTCAGCTAGGTTTGTCTACCTGAAATTATTCATGCTTAATTATAAAATTTTTCTTCATTGGTTAGTTTATTTCGAAATAAAAGTTTATATACAGTAAAATTAATCAATCCAAATAAACATTCAAACAATAATGATGACCAAGCATCTTCGGCTCCACAAAGCAGTTCGGATGGAACAACGAAAACGACTGAAGGTCTGTTCGTTTCTTCGAATAATACGTTGATCAATGATTGTATTTTTTTTTTCTATGAAGATAATTCTCCGCGTGTCATGGATGAAAAACACGTTGCTGAATATGGTGTGTTTACAGCTCTACTCAACTCAGGAATGCTTCTATCTTGTAGTAGCTATGATACTAAAGCTCCGAAACGTAAATTTTCATATATTTGCAATTCAACAAGAAAACTATTTTTATTTCATCTGAATAGCACCACCGCCGCCTGAACCTCCAGCTCCTGAAGTGCCAGTCGAAGAAAAAGTCGAAGATAAAAAGAAAGAAGCGGCGGCAGCAACTAAAAACAAGAAAAAAGGCAAAACAGTTGAAGTTGAAGCTCCACCAGTTGTAAGTTTTATTTGAAAAAAAAATGATTATTTAATCACTTTATCGTGATATCGAATTGAAATATAAATCATAAATTATGCTCTAGGTTCTAGCAACTGTCATCGAGGTAGCATTTATTTGCTATCGCTTTTCTATATGCATATATACGTACTGCATTTTACACTATTTAGCTCTCACGCCATTAGCGCTTTTATTGTTTATGCGACAGAAATATTTCACTATACACAAGATAGATTAATGCTAATTTTCTTCATTATTTGTTATTCATAAACAATCTAATCTTCTTTTTTTCCGTAGGATAAAACACCACGTGAACCGCAATATGAAGCTGAACCCTTTCAACGTTTGACAATTTCAATCCCAACTGGCCTTGTTGTTACATACTATCCCGAGACTTTTCTTGGTAATAATTTTTTATCTGTAATTTTACGAAAAATCCATGTGTTTCTTATTCGTACTGGATTTTAGGTGTTAAACTGACTCGACCAAATCAAGAACATAGACTAGTTGTGAAACAATATTATGCCTGTCAATCAAAAGGTTTTCATGCATGTGAACAATCACGTTTGAATGCATATGAAGAAAATTCACGTATTATTGATTCCGAAGGACATGTTATGATATTTAAACGCGATGGAGAAGTGACGGTATGTAATTATCTTTTAGAATTTGTTCTTTAAATTGATTTATCTGTATGTGTTTGTTGATCAATAGATTCTTCAACCTGATGGTGGAGTATTTATGAAAATGATTGTGCCTCAACAAGAACCAGAAATGGAAATGTCACCTGAAAGTCCTAATAGTGCTAAGAAAGAAACTAGAACGGACGCTAGAGGAAAAAAGAAAGGCGATTCAAAAAATGATACAGATACATCGACTATTGCTGAAGAAGTTAAACATGTTTATCAATGGAGATGTATCACTGCCGATGGTCAATCCTATATACAGAATTCAATGACTCAAGAATATGAAAAGGCTGAACAATTAAGGTTAATTCTTGAAACAAATCCCAAAACGAATGAGGTAGTGTGTCAAGAAACAAATTAATTATCTATCTATCTATCTATCTATCTATCTATTCCTCATTGTAGCAAGTCATTCATCGAGAAGATAAAGTCATCATTGTATTTCGTGCCGATGGCTCTCGTATTGTTAGCTTCGCCGATGGAACAAGGTAAACCTTTTGTTTTTAATTCAAAATCCTTTGAATAACACGTTGAAACCTTCGAAATTCCTTTTGCTGGCTTGAAAAAAAAGTCATTATTTCCGAGAAATAGACAAGCCTCTAGTGAAACATAGTAATTTAAATTGTAGAGCACTAACTTCTAGCTTTTATCTTAATTTCGACTCGATTATCAAACATACATCAACAGTTTTTGCCATGAAACACTAAACGTTTCTAATGTATATTTATTGACTTTTAAATAGACCCATGTCTTCAATCACAAGTTTTTCTATGAGTGATATGGTTTAATTTATTTATCTAGAATAACAACTTTTGAAGCCGTTGAACAAAAAAGCGGTACTCCAACCAATCAAGACTCAGGTAGGAAAATAGTCATCATAATATTATACTTATTTTTTATTGTTTAATCTAATAGATGACCGTAACAATTCAATGTTAGGCTTTCGAAAGATTCCTCATATTAGAGTTGAAGCATCGGGCTATGCAACAGTAGCATTTAATTGTGAAACAACCGATTGTCGAACTGTATTTAATGATGGTAGTTCAGTAGATGTGTTTGCCAATGGTACTTATTCAATTTTTGAAAGTGATGGAGAAAAATTCGATATCAATGAAAATGGTGATGTACTTTTGGATTTTCAACAGTAAATTTTATTTTAGTATTTATTTCAAAACTGATTGATCAACCATTTTTTAGATCAACTTATGCAAAACGCGTTCAAGAACTTTTATCGAATGTCGAACCAAGTAAATGTATTATGTCACAAAATGGTGATTTGATATTCGACGCCGTTGATTATGAACAAACTCAATATTGTGTTGAAGCATCTGGAGAAACTTATGCAAAAGAAACTGATCATCGGCAAATGATGAAAACTTTGCCATTAGAAATGCATGTACCAAGGTGAATAGAACTAATTAGAGTATTGACTAGAGTAAACTATGAACCGTTGAACTATTCAGTCCATAAAATAGAATAAAAGTATTTTTCGGACGTTGTATCAAGATATGATCGTGATTTCTGGAAATTATTTTAGCTAATTTAAATTATTTTTTCTCAGATTCTTCATCATTCATGAAGATGGTAGTGGCACAGAATTATTACGTTTTAAAGATCTGTATTCCTATTTGAGAACAATGGATCTTGATCAAAGTACGGCTGTTGTTCGTGAACCTTTACTAAGTAATCCGAAGGTTACTGGAGCTACAGTAATGCGACCATTCCAAGGTACAGCTTCTTTTCTTTTCTTTTTTTTTTGAATTTAAATGTCCTTATTAATCCTCGCTTAACTTTACTAGATGAAGTTCATCGCCGTTGGTTAGCATCATTTGATGATGATTCTGTGATTCCATCAAGTCTTCGTAATTATACATCAGCCACAGCCATGACTCGTAGTTATTCATCAATGTCAGGAAGTAACCATTCTTCGACAAATAATATAAATCCTCAAGAAAATGCTATTCTTCGACAAACGAGCAGAAATAATCAACATCCCTATAAATCAACAACATTAACAGCTGGTGTTTCAGCACAACAACCAATTGCTGAAATGCCGAAAGCAATTGATTATCGTAATTTTATGGAATTTCCAAGACTTCAAGATGATGTTCGAATTAAATTATTTACTTCATTGAAGTATTGAAACAAGCATAGAATCAATTTATTCAATTTCATTTTATGTATTGATTTAGGTCTTACATTGATTTTGTTAAAAATCGAGCTGATTATCATACGAAATTGTTACCAAATGACCATCGAAGTCGATTGGAAAAAGAAAAAGCAAATAAAATCTGGAAAAATGTTCGACCACAAGGAACAACAAAAGGTAGTTTTCTTATCTTAATTTATTCATATACAATAAAACTCGTGTTCTATATTTATTAGATGATTTAACTTTATTATATCTGAAAACTCTTCGTCCTGATCGACAGAAAACCACAACACAACAATCAGTTGTACCATTATCGAAGAAATATAACATCGATCATCTACGCGAAGAACTTCAACAAGAAAAATCTAATAAAAAATTAAAAAATGAAATCAAAAGAGGTATCGCTGTGCCCTATTTTCAAAGCGAATGGGGTGTAGCATATATACAACAACAGCAACAGTCGCCATCAGAACATGTTTTAACAAGAGTATCAAAAAGTGCTGAAGCCATTAGTAATTTTAATAGTTTATTGTCTTTTTGAAATATACTGGTTATCTATAATATTAGAATCATCGAATGATAATCAACTTTTTATGAAATCTCCTCCGAATTCTCCAACTGATCAAATAAATCGACTCTCACAAGTACGAAAGTCTCAACCTGCTCGTAGTGTTAGTACAGGTAAGAGAAAGCTTCTTAGCCAAATGATTATTCTAAGAATAGATGATGAACATTTGTTTGCTATTTTTTCTATTCAAGAAGCTGAAGATAATAAAACAATGGGCGGTTCCGGTCAACATGATCAAGGAGGTATTTATCGTCCTGTTAAACAATTTACGTCACCAAGAGATTATGTTCAATATAATGCATATGGCAATAAGCGAGCACATCCACTTAAAGTACCAAATGGATTGAAAGGTTCGCGACCGAATGCTCAACCTCACTCACGTGTAAGAATACCTGCGCTTAGAAATAAACGTTTTCTTGAATTTTATTTCTTTTAATATTAAGTTTCTTGATATGGAAGAACCGGTCATGGTTCGACCGAATAATGCATCGATAGGTACAGCTGCTATTAATAATCGACCACTACGAGACAGACGTGGTTGTGAACTATTTCCTGATAGAATTGATTTTGGTATTCTAAAAGAAGGTAAATACTAATCTAGATTGAGAAAAATAATTTTCTAATTTGCAATAAATTCAGGCGTAACTTACGGAGCAGAAATTGAAGTAAAAAATGTTGGTATTGACGCATGTCGTTTTCGTATTCGCCAACCACCATTGGGCACTGGATTACGAGTTGTTTTTCAACCAGGACTTGTATGTAGATTTATTTTTCTATTTATTTATTTATTTAATAAAATGATATGTTTTAAAGCTTGCGGCGGGTATGCGTCGACCTGTTATGATTGAACTCTATGCTATTATTAAACAAACTCAACATCAAAGTCAACAACAACAACAACAGCAAGCACAATCTCAAGGTCTTTATCAATTAGATCAATCTATTGAAATTATTACTGAAACTGATATAATGCACTTTCCGATTCGTGCTAAAATTGCTAGTGAAGAACAATTTGATATTATGTTTGTTAACAAAGATGAAACAGCTGGAATGAATAAACCAATTCGTCTGCTAGCTCAAAAAAGTCCGAATACAAATGATTGGTTTGCTGGTAATACGAATGAAAACGCCGCGAATTCTTAAAATGAATGATTCAACAATGGTATATAGAAATGAAAAACTTATAGTATTGTATTTTGTACAAGATTTTCTTTTGAATTTTTCAATAAAATACATATATTTGACACTTTAAATAGCTACGCATATAAAAGTACTCGGGCAATTGTTTTGATTAAACAATATATTTCAATAGCGAAGTTTAGACGTAGCGTATACAAAACGTGCCCTTTAATAATAGTATTTCATTGAAAGGAGAGTATTATTGGTTGAAATCATCAATTATAATTACAATATGAAAGTGAAATCGAATAGAGAGATCCTCAAACCCATAAATAAAGGTTCAAAACTATGAATTTTTCAGCTGTTAAATAAATCACACTTTCATTCAAATATTCGCTCTGCTAGTACTTTTAATTAACGAATTCTAATCTTGTGTCAATGAAACCAAAACTAATCCTCACTGTGTTTACTCCGATTACCAATTGATACGACTCAGCTAGAACTATCTTTACTTCTCTTCGTCTACAGATGTACCATTCATTCAAATTGTGAATAGAATACCGACATCGACAAGCCGTCCACATTTTAAGAAGATTTTATTAAATTCTTAACTAAAACTTCAATAATATATTTTTTTTTCGAACATATTGAATAGAAAAGAAAAATTCAAGATGAGATAAATCTAACAAAAGATATTTTATAGGATAGAAATCAATTCTTCATGCAGAACAAAAAGAAAATATTTTCTTACTGTATTTTTGGTGCAGAATTGTTTTTTTCTTTAAATATAAATCAAAAAAAAACACAAACTCACATATAAATTTTTCACTAGTTTAGTAAACTAACCCATTTGTGAATGTGTGCCATAAAGCGAAAAGTAGATAATTAAAAAAGAAAGAAGAAGTGCACTCAGATCGTGACAAACGAAAAATAAAAAGAAAACGATATATTGCACATCAAGAAAAACACACTAAAAAACACATCTCTGACAAATTCTTTTTTTAATTTTAATTAGATGCGTACGTGTGCTTATTATTTTTCTTTTCACAACAGAAAGTTGTTCTTTGCTATTTGTTTTTTTCTACGAAAGAACACAATTCGAGGACGATTCAGAGGCATGAGTATGATAGTTTGTACCATTAGTTAAAGAGTCCGATAGGGGAGAAGTATTCGAATTTGCAGTATTCACATAAACCGACTGTAAAAGTTTATTTCGTGCTGTGTCATTCGATAATTGGTGATGTTCTACTTCTTGATCATAAGATACTTCGGCATGTGGATTAACAAGATTATTATCAGATGGTAGATGAATAAAATCACTTGAATTAACTGTTTTACCAGAACTTAAACGAACATCAAGAAATTTTAATGATGACGGAGGAGGTGAAGTATCATTGGTTGTTGTTGAAACAAAATTTTGTTTCTTCAGTAATGGTGGTAAATGTTTATCTTCTTGAATTGAGCTAATAGTTCGTGCACGAACTGAACCAGGTGAAAAAAGCGATGGTTCAATTGTTTCTGAAAACGACGCCGAAGGAAATACAATGTCATCACTAAAACGGCGCGCACGCAAAGTCGGTGATGTATCACGACTACTTTTATTATTATTATTATTATTATTTGTATGTTGAGTGTCAATAGACAACGACTCAAATGAGGATATAGGTTGATTGGAATCTGTGGCTGAAGTTGTACGATTGCGTGGTGTAGGTTTTTTACGTGATGGCTCAGGTCGATTACTACTGTCGGTTTGCTTCAATGAAAATAATTCATCATCTATAAAGCACAAGATATACTTAAAATGGTTATGATCCAAAAAGAAAATTTAGATTTACCTTGCTTTGATTGAATCGTTTTTTTTGTTGGAGCTGATTGAGAAATCGCAGGAGCACTTGTTCGACGTTGATTGAGTAAGACTTGAGCTTGATTGCGTATCGATAATAGTAAAGGCTTATACTCAGGACTACAAATATAGAATTCAAAGAGATCGCATGAGGCAAAATCAATCAAACAACAAACCATTCAATATCCGCCCATGTTTCTAATTCAACCAGACCACGTTGTAGAGCAAACATTTGTGTAGATAAATCTTGTATTCGAATAGCATTGATAACTTGATTGATCATCGTTTGACTTTTAAGTACAAGTGAAAAAAGAAATGCCCAATCATAACAATCGGCCATCAAAAAAATATCATAAAGATATCTAAAAATATTATTAATATTATATCGTACAGACAAAATTTATTTTACCGTATTTGCTTTTCACATAATTGTGGACCATGATTTGCTAATTCTTGACTAAGACTTTCAATATCATTATTGTTGAGCGTATCATCAAATTCACTATCGATCGGCATAGAACTTGCTTCGGATGTTAAACTTAATGTTTCCACTAGAAGAAAAGAAAATATAGACGAAAAACATTTCACCATGATAATGCAAAAAAGGAAATTCTATAATAAGCTGAATAAATTTTACCATGTGATCGAACGATCTATAGAATATTCTAGAAAATCAAAAATTTGTATTTAGATTGTTTTTCTCATAGAATATCAAGCCAATGTTTATGATACTGCTGAGTAAGTTTAGGCGATACCAGATTTGCGACTATTTATGTATGATATTTCGAAGTGGATCTCTATCTTATCGTTCAGTGCATTATCTATGAACAATGATTAACTATTGCTGCTGTTGTTGAGAGTGACTTTTGAGTGCGAATTTTATTCGTTTATGAGAAAAACTGTTCAAATACAGACGAGTAATACCTACAATCGATCTCTATTAGTTAAATCTTCATTCTAGATGCAATTTATCTAACAACATTGAATTATGAATCTTTCATAGGTATCCACTACGTTAGATCAGAGAATCCATAGTAATTATTCTCCGACATTTTCTTATTGTTATAATATCTCAGTTAGTTAGAAGGCGTTAAAACAAGTATATTAATTTCATTAATCATTTTTTCTTCAAAATATCCTTAGAAACTAAGGTATGTTTGTTTTTGATCGCTTACAAAAGTCTTTGTGTCTTTTTGGTGTTAAATCTACATTCATTTCTTCTTTTGATGTCGCACGTGACATTTGCCTGGAAAATTTCTCATCTAAAAAAGCATACAGGAATTATTATGAATATGTCTTTTATTTAAATTTTAATACGCTACCATGATCACCAATTCGGTCATTTGGTCCAAGACCTGAATCTGAATGATGCCCATTATTATCCATACTTGATACATCTCCTTAAAAAAGCAAAGTAATTTTAATCACAATCAAGTTCAACTAACGATAAATCGGATTAAAATAAACATTTGATGAAATTAACACAGGAAATGGCCAATTGAATTCCGTATGAAGTGCTTTCAGCGTTTGTGGATAATTTGAAATAATCAATGCTGGTTCGTGTCTAAGATGAAAAAGTTGCTTTTTTTTTTTATTGAAAATAGAAGATCGCATTTTTATACTTGAAACTTTTCAGCCAATAAAGAAGATCAAAATCAGCTATATTAGCAGCCATATAACCTAAATGTCTTAAACGACCTTTAGAAATAACTTTTAATGCATGTTGATTTAATGTTCGCTGAATAAAATGAACCGATGATGGAGCTGTTGGGGATTGTGGTTGTGAACCATCGGATGAATCAAATGACTGTTGTTGCTGTTGTTGAACATCACTTTCACGTTTCGCTGTTTTATTATCTGACCAGCTTGTTTTCCTTCGTCGTGCTTCATTTGTTGCATTATTGGAAGAATCTGTTGGACTATTTGATGCCGATACACTGGATGAATTATTATTATTTGATGTTGCTGGCCAAGATGCTTTTGCTTTAATTGTATTAAGAGATGTTGGTAACGGTGGAGCCTCCGGTATCGTTGTTATTGTTGATGTATTTGTAATTGTACTTGCTACACTTGATGTACGTTGTCGTATATTTGTAACATAAGTAAATTTTAATGTATCACGATGCGGTGATAATGAGGATTTTTGTGTTAAAGTATTTGACACACGATTACTTGCTGTCGTTGGAGGAAATCGAGTATTTATTGTTCGAATATATTCATCACTATTTAAATCTTGTGGATCTAAAACGAAGCGAAAGAAAAACTTTAATTCTTGTAAAATGAGAATTTAATAGAAATTACCAATTGAATGAATAAAACGAAGAATATCAGTAGCTAATTCCCATTTACCATGATCAAGTGCATGTTCGAGTAGAACTTGTGCAAACTAAATTGACATATAACAGACACGATGTTATCTAGGGACGGAATAGTTTTTTCATACTTTTTGACTGATTTCGCTTTTTTCGAGATTCTGTATTATAATTAAATACGATGCAGCTGTTTCTAGATTATTAATAGTTAAACATTGCTAAACAAACAAGAAATTCCTTATGAAAAGAAAGGTGAAGAAAAATAAATTTTACTTGAAAGAGTTTTTTTGGATCACCAATAATTGATGTTGAAAATAAGCAAGGCCATAATGCTACTTCAGTTTTTCGTGCACAATGAGAAACAATACGTAAAAATTGAGGAAACAGTTTAATGAAATCGGTCACACGCGGCAGAAGTGGATCTAAAAAGTATTTATTCGATAAGTAGGAAATTGTTGTCTCTTGAAGGATTGTCATAAGAGATATATTAGCACCTCGAGGGTCTCGATTACAATGAGTATCTTATCAGCTTTTTCTATGGAAGAAAAAAACCGCAGTACTGATCGTAGTTCGTTAATTTTTCTTTATCGGATTTAGGTTTCAAGTCTTATCTATTGTATTTACCGGGAATAGGCTGTGTACTTGTTGCTTCTTCTTCAAGCACTTTATGTAAAAGTAATTCCAGAACATGAGAAAAATGCGGAATACTCTTGCATGTTTGAGCTATTTGTAATGCATCAAAGTCCAGGCTAAATATGAATATGTTAATTTAAAATAGTGAAAATTTTAAAATTTACTTTTTTCGAATTAATTCTTGAAAGACATGATTAAGAAAGACTTGAGTCTAAATAGATTAGAAACTGTACGTTAATCTTAAACAATAGAAGAAGAAAATGTTAAATACGGTTTTTGTAATTGAGCAAAATGTTTTTGAATTGAAATGTTCAAATTCAGCCATAGCACCAAGTATAACGGCTTCTTCAACAACAACAGCTAAAATTTGAAATTAAATAAAAAAAAAAAAACTAAATATATCGAATTCTATTTTATCAATTTACCCAACGGATAAATTGTTAAACCAAATGTGAGCATAATACGATGAGATTGAAATATAGGTTCATCAACTTTACGATATAACGGAAGCCATACTTTCATTCCATGTAATCCACAACAGAGCCACAAGGCATTTGATAAGTACGGATTAGTTGAATTTTGATGTGATATTGTCCAAATGCATTCAACCCATGCAGCAATCATTACTGGTGGTAGAAATGTTACTGATTGCAAAGAATTTTTCTTTGCAGGCTTTTGCAAAACTAATGATGAACCACCTCGTTCTTGTTGTAGTAGAAGGAGGCGACCACAAACATTAATAAGAATACTTTGAGGGGGATTATCGTGTAACGATGATGTATGTGATTGTGGTAAACCTATTTTAGTGTTGAAACGAAGAAACAAATAAGCCTTTGATGATATGAAAAGTTTTTCTTTACCTGAATCAGTTCTAAGAGATGTCAGCCCAATGAATGGTACAAAGACAGCATGTGGCACATAAGGCTCAACAGATATTTCATGTAACTTTGCCATATATGCAGTAGGAGCTAAAATCAACGGCGGATCATTACACAAGACATAAAAGATTCTTTTTTTTAATAAGAAATATGGCAAAAATGTTGATTTATATTTTGCTGAACAAATATTTACTTCATTTTATTGAGGAAATTTGGTAGAAAACATACAGCTTTGGATACCGAATCGGAGCAGAATGTTTGACAGACTTTACCTTCGAGATTTTCGTCATGCTCATTAGTCAGACATTGAAGAAGCCTTTCTAACTCTTTAGGAGAGTCTTATTACTGTGATGGATGCTCGCCGTTTAAAAACTAATCATGAACAATTTCAGAACATGATGCAGTGATGAGGAAGCAAAACGATCTTTGGTTAACCTTTGAAATACACGTTTCAGAAAATCAAACGACACTCAAGACATATTCTTCAAGAAAACTGAATTAAAAAGAAAATTTTATCAAAAACTCTTTCTAAGTCGAATACGCTTCGTTCACGTTCACGAACAGTGACTCAAATTAGTCTATCGTTCCAAAACTATTTCGCTTGTTTCACAATGAAGTTTTCTAGTCAAAAATTTAATTTTAAAAATAATGAAATTTAATGCCGAAATAGATATCACGTAGAAAATATTGTGATCATCGCTTCGAAGATATTTGTAAGTTTCGTACTATTACTGTTTATTCCGAGAAAAAATCCTTGGATTTAAAAGCTATTGCAATTTTTGAAGTATTCATTTTTGTGCATCGTGTGTGGAATTTAATTCTCAAAAAAAGGATGTCACTATCAACTACAAAAGTAAAAACTTGTAAGTTGTCTTGCAAGAATTTTCTAGAGCAAAACATTTACTATCAAATGAACTTCTGATAATGGATCTAGTGTGGCTCGAATGGAAATGGCCTTGAACAAGTTACTAATAGCGGCTTGCTTGGGATCACTCAGACGATCAATTATTGACTAGGAGTGTGATGAACATCAAAATTGTGGTTATTTAGTTTTTTTTTTATGGAGAGTTCGAAAGATCAAACGAACGTAGCCTGGACCAGGTTGACATTCTGGCCAGAGTTACAATTAGTAGTGCTTGTGACAAACATAAAAACTGTCTCCGAACCGTAGGATAGGTCAAGCATTGTATAGTTATTTTTCATATGATACTAAAAGTAGTGACCATTATCTTCTTTGATTTTTATTTACCTGGTTTACCGTCTTTTCGTTCGAGCCCATATAACATGATATGTAGATCGTATCTAAACAAAACAATGTTCTATTAACAACATCGAATAACAACATTTTGTCTCTTACGAAAACACAATCAACGTATCATCATAGATATTCAAACAAATAATTGGTGATTGTAGTCGTGCGACATTTGAAAATTGATTATCCAAATTAGTCAATCGCGAATAAAGACGAATCTAAATTTAGTTTTAAACTTATATCATTTAATTTTTATTTTCAAATAGTTTATTATTATGTTAGAAGCTGCTCAATCGTTTTTTCTCTGTTTAATCAATTACAAAACCTCAAACAATGAAAACTAAAATGAAAACATGCAAAACTGTTAGTTTGTAAGACTCAAAAATAAAAACTGATAGATGCATGCTAGCCAAATAAAAACTTTCTCTCATCTGATTATTTCTCATTAGTAGTACATTATATTTTCTCTTACTTCATATCTAGATATATGCTAAATATATATATATATATATATATATAGATTCAAATTAAATAGAAAATCTTTTTTTTTTCTTCGTCGTTTTCTTACTTCGTCTCGATTTTCACTGGTTGATGTACAGCCGCATACAATAAATTCTTGCCACCATAATAAACCACCAACAACTCGTATATCACGTTCCTAGTTCAGTAACAAAAAATATGATTTAAAAATTTTTTTTTTCTTTTGGCTCATTTACTTGTCCAGCGTTGCCAAATAATTTCCATTTACGTGTAAATAATGAAAAGTGTACAAATCCATGTTGACCAGCAACAGCTAAATATTGACCTGTATTGTCAATACAAGCAAACTGAAAATAGACCAAAAGAGAATGAAATATATAGAAGAAGATAAGGCTTCAATCACTTTGATTGGCCAATTGTTATGAATATAAAGTTGAGGTAATTGTATAACTTGCCAGCCGACATCACAACCAACAGATATTGATAATCCATTGTTATTACCATTTGTTGATTGTTGATTACCGCTTAGATATAAATATACTTTGTCTTCTGATTGTAATAATAAATGCTCGATGCTGCCCTGAGAAACAAAAATTAATTTTATAATCATAGAAAAAAAACACTGCTATGCAAACCGAATGAGGATTATTAATCACAGCTGATTTTAAAAAGTTCAATAACAATAATTGGCTACTATTTTGTACTGGCAATTCAACATCATCGTCAGTAGCTGTTGATGGCGATGTAATGCCTTTTTGAGATGAAACCCATAGAGTATATCCATCGGGGCCCCATTCCTAAATTCATTCAATCAATTAATTAATAATTTATGTATATATACATATATATCACTTACAATAACACGACAACTACCATAGGGTTCCATTGGATTTCTAAACACAGAAAGGAACAATTCATTTATTTTCTTTCTAAATATGAAATTCTTACATTGATTGTTCCGATGAATGAGAACAATGAAGAAGAATACCGAATACTGTCCAAATAGCAAATGCACCATTTTCCCATAGCGTACACAAAACACGATAATCAGGGCTCCATTTCATTGAACACAATGCACCCAAATTTTCTACTAGATCTGTTAAACAAGTTTATTATTAATTTATTCTTTCTACTTCACCCGTGTACAAACCTGGAAAATTTTCTACAGATAATTGTATTTTAAAAGCTAATTGTAATGATGCTGTTAGTTCATCAATATAATACACAAGACCTTGTCCACTGAAAACAAAACCATAAAACTATTTTGAAAAAAAGAATTTTGAATTTAATTTTTACTTTGTCGAACCAAATGCTAATAATTGATAGATTGCATTTAATGCCACACAACAATGAGTTTTCCATATCTTTTCATCATTTGATGGTTGAATAACAATACACTGGCATTGCTTTAAAAACAAAAACAAGTAGAAAATAAATTTGTATAGATTGAAATAAATTCTACAAACTTGTGGTTCGAATTTTGACGTTTCACATATAATTAAACCTGATGTTCCATCACTAAATATAATACCAATGCCGTTCAACAATGGAGAAAATTCAATATATTTGGCATAAAGATCTGGTTTATGAATTTTAAAAACTACAATAAAAATTGAAAAGCAGCTCGAATACTTATCATCAATTGAACAAAAATAAAAACCTCGATTAGAACTCAATGAAGTTGTATAAGACAGTGTGCTTATAGATAATGTTAATTGTTGATGCAATGAACCATCCCATGATATGCGATAAAGAAAACCCTTATCATCTGCTACTAATAAATCAGGACCTAGGTTTATTAATCTAAACAAGCACAAAAATTCTCCTAGATGTAAATTTTTATTCGAGATATACCCTTGAATGTTGGAACCAATATGTAAAACATTATCTTGAATCAATTTAATTCGTACCAAAGGAAACTCAAATTGTGCTTCAGTATTAACTCGAATAAGATATTCACTAGAAATTCAAGAAAACATAGAAATAACATGTGTATAAAGGCAAAACTTACCAAGGATCTTCATCACTAATTGAGCCAAAAAATGATCCTTTTGGTTTATCAATCACCACTTTATAATAAATTACATATCCTTTTTCAGTCTAAATAGGTCGAGAAAAAAAGAGGAAGTTCGAATTTTAAATTTAAATTTTAAATTTACAGAAACAACTAATTTTTGAGTGTCACTTCGCCATTCAGCATAAACGTTATGTCCATGTGTTGCTATAGAATTTTCTGAACGTCGAATAAGACCAACTAATGTTGAAGGCTAAATATCATGTTATTTTTTTTTATAATAAATAATAGAAATAGTTTTGAGATAATTATTTACCTTAGAAAGCCATATAGTGATTATAGTTGGTGTTAGGACAACAAGCTTGAGGCGATCACGTGTAGTACGAATAAATATTATATCATAAGATTCTTCTATGGGTATTGATAAACTTCGAAACGAACCGATCGGGAAATACATATTCACTGCATCTTAAATAAATGATTCAATAATCGTATTTCTATTCAATCATACGCATGTAAAATTAGTTCGCTAAAATCAATGTATTTTTCTTGTGCATATGTACTTTTTTCACGATAATTGGTGTAGCATATTCCTACAAAAACTTCGAATCAAAAAACAAAGTCTTATGAAAAAGAACAACGCCATCTGATTTGAGTATTGCTGTTGATTGGTACAAAGCATCCAAGAGTCTTGACGTATTTGAATGATTTATTGTACTATTTATTTTAGAAAAATTGTATTTATTCAAAAGTTTCATTCGAGAAAACGAAAAATAGATAATAAATACACAGTTCTGATTTGTTTTTAATACATCATAGATGTCACTACAAATGTAGGATAGAAAAATCCTTTCATTTCATATTGGACACTTTATGGGATTTCATACGACGAATTTGGTCTTACATAGTAATACACATAAAGGCTTCTGGTTGAAATAAGTTCAATTTATGTACATCATAGAGTTTATTTAGTTGATTCATTTGATATGTTTGAAACAACGTTGCAAGCGATAAGTGTACTATATGTTTGCATTAGAACAGTAAAGAGGGACAAAAATAAAAGTATGTTTGTTCCGTTTTTTGAAAATAATCTTTTTTGATCACTTCATAGAACATTTTATTTACTAGTCAATCAAGTATACAGTGTTGGAATCATCAAACACTAATACTTAGACTATAGTTTTTATAAATATATTTACCTTCAACTATCCATTCTAAACAAAATTTCGAGTCACAATGATTATGTTCTCTTCGGAGAAATTTGATTACTTATACAGCTAACTTTGATATTTCTCATATGTATATTCTGTTTCAAAATTCATCTGTATTTGTATAGTTCGATCGAAAGAAACACTAGAACGTTCTCAGAAATCTAACTAACATATCGCCACTAAACGTTATACTGAGAAAGCATTGAAGCTATTTTTCCACACACAGTATGATTAATATAATGGAATTTAAGCAAAGTTTCAACGATTTTATCTTGATGCTTGAATAGCGAGGAGCTCATGTGGTAAATAACAAAAAGAAACAAAAGAAAGCATTCAGAACAAAATAAATGATCTAACCTAGGCGAAGAAGTGATTAATGTGATGTTATAGATTGATAACAAATGGAATGAGCCTCTGTGTAACATATGTCACTGATAAAATACAATTTTGCATGCTGTTGCCAACAATATTTCTAATGGAATTCAGTTACAGAGTTAGAATGAATCTTCGGACATGATCTGCTTCAGAGTTCGTCGTGATGTTTTAAAAAACCGTGTATTTTCTTAGGATTAGCTGCGAACGATCTCAATTATATTCTGAGATAGACTCTAGAAAGCAGGAGTGAAAGAATTTGGAAGCTTTAGTTGATTTCCTGTTGATTTACAAATTCTTCTAATTATTAACTTTTAATGGGCGGCGAAGACAGAACAATTTTTGTGGGAAGGGCATAGTTCATGTTCGAAATTGAAAATCTAATATAAGACAGTCGTGATTCCTGATCAATGCCGAAGATTTATAGAAAGAAAGGAGTCCCCTTTTAATTATACTCTAGGTCCGCCCAGCATAGAAATGAAATGTACTCCTAATACACTCGTTTTTGGATTTAGTCTGTAGCAATATATAAAAATTAGAACAGCAGGAGTTCTCAATAACATACTTCAGTTTTTTACACTCATTATTCAAAACATAAATGTCTAGAATATTTTAAGTCTACTTATGGTATCTTGATCGGCTTGTCCAAACGTAACGCTGTGACATTTTGACAAATTGTTTTGCAATTACCTCGAAAGGCATAAGAGCTAATGAGATCATTCAAACGTCATTCGACGCAGCTTATCATACTCTATTTATGTACACAGAATGATCTAGTTTGACTGAACTCTCGCGCTTCTAGAAAGGCTTTATCATCGCGTAACACTGTGACAAAAAAGGACCCTTTTTCTAGGGCTGCTTATAAAGCTATAAGTTTTTGACAAATCATTTCTTCAAATGAAATGCTTATAGTACCAGTTTTGTAGAGAATTGAATGGACTTTCATGCAGTAAAAATCTTTTTTCTAAACTATTTTCGCTCAGGTTAAAAATAAAAAAACATACGTGACGCTGTGACACGTTTTTTTTTGTCGACCAAATTTGAAGCAATTAACATGCTTAAAAATATTTAATGTTTATATATATGTTGATCACTGCCCTGCATATATCCTTCTGCAACAAAAATCAAGTTGCTACATCGAAATGCGAGCTCAACAATTGTATAGTAAGTTAGAAACTGTACAAGAGTTTAGAAGAGGTCCTGAAGAATGAGAGTAAACAACTAATAGGCCATTTTGTAGAGAATCAAATTCTGCATCAAATGGTATGTTACTCTGCATTTTTGTTTTAAATTTATTGGTTAGAAAATTGAAAATACAGTTTTTAAAAACTTTAAAAACCGACTTTCGATGTCAAAACCCAATTTTTTTAAGAAAAAAAGTCCAAATTCACAATCAACCTAAAACACTATACCAGAAAATACGCTTAGATCTCTCTGTATCGAAAAAACAATTTCTTTAAACTTGATCAGTGAAGTAGCGCGTTACGTGGACAAGCCGTGATAAATGTAAAACTCTCAAGATGGCGTCAGCATACGATCATTTAAAGCCGAGAAAATAATTGAATAAAATAATTAAAGAAAATAAATTAACGAAGAATTCAAATTTTAATCTGTAGAAGTGAAAAATTGAATAGAAAATAGCCGTAAAATTTTCTGATCGGATAAAACTGATCCAATAATCGCCGGCCCACCTTTCTAATTGGTTGTTGCTCAATTAACGTTCGATTATATATGTAAATGCATTTATTTATTTATTCTTGTACTACTTCTTTAAATAAATTCAGTGATGCATTGGAAAATGTATTGATAGCAACGTAAAAGTATTTTTGAAAAATTTCATAATCATAGTTTCGATTTTGGTGTTTTAATTAACAGCTAAGTATAATTTATGCTTTAGATGTCTGTTCGCTTTGCAGAACCCGAAATAATTGACGACGGTGAACTAGAAGAAGGTGAAGAAACTGTATCGCGTTCATTTTATGATTTCGGTCTTGACAATCGTATATTAAAAGCAATAGCCGATTTACAATGGGCATCACCAACAGCTATACAAGCTGAAACTATTCCGTATGCATTGTCGGGTAAAGACCTCCTTGTTAAAGCACGTACAGGTAGTGGTAAAACCGGTGTTTATGCAATAGCAGCAATTCAGCATTTACTAACAAAGCAGCAAACAAAAACTAGCAATGTTCGTATATTAATATTATCGCCAACAAAAGAATTATGCCATCAAATAGCAACTGTGTTATTCAAATTGACAACATATTGTCGTCGTGAAATAAATCTTTACGATTTATCGAATTCATTATCAACACAAATACAAAAACAATCATTAATATCAAATAGTAATGCGTTACCTGAAATCATTATTTCAACGCCAACAAAATTACTCGAACATTTAAAAGATTCTACATCAGCATTGAATTTAAGTACTCTAGAATTATTTATACTCGACGAAGCTGATATACTTTATTCACTTGGTTATGCAAATGATATGAAAAAAATTTCAAAATATTTACCATCGAAATCAAAATCTTATCAATGTTTCTTAATATCAGCAACACTTAACGATGATATAACGCAATTAAAAGAATTGTTTCTTCATAATCCAGTGAAAATCAATCAGAATGATGATTATTCAACAATCTTACCAGATAATAAACAATTATTACAATATTATATCTATTGTGAACAAGATCAGAAGTTTATTTTAATTGTAACTATATTAAAATTACAATTATTAATGGGACGAACTATTCTATTCGTTAATTCAGTTGAACAAGCATATCGGTTAAAACTATTAATGGAACAATTTCATATAAAAACTTGTTTATTAAATAGCGAATTACCAATGGATTCACGTTTACATATTGTTCAACAATATGTAAGTATTAAAAGTTATTTTGTTTTGTATCTATTTTAAGTTGTTGACACTTTTAGAACGATGGATTATATGATATAATGATTGCAACGGATGCACCGAGTGCCGTTCCCATACAGGAAGAGGAACAACCGGAACCAGAAGCTGAAGAAGACTCAAAAAAAAGTACGCCAATTTTTATAATCAGTTGCATCGAGATTTTTAGTAAATAAATTTTTTTTTCTAGAGAAAAAGAAGAAAACAGAGCCTGTAACTCGAAAAGGAGATAAAGAATATGGTGTATCACGTGGTATTGATTTCTATCGAGTAGCTAATATTATCAATTTTGATTTCCCCATGGATTTTGATTCATATGTTCATCGAGTTGGACGAACTGCTCGTGTTGATCAAAAAGGTGAGTAATAGACAGGCGATTCTATTGTTTAATATTTTGAGAAGTGTAAGGTTATCGGCAGAGAGAAAAAGCACAATCTAACCACTAGTACGATCTTGAAATTATTCGTGATCGAATTAAGCTGATCTATGAGCGCAGCAAAAAATTTTAGATGTGAATTCTGGAAGCTTTTATCTTTTTTTTTTAGTTGGGAAAATACATAGAGCGTTCGTTTTTTCTTCATTATATTTCTAAAAGAAATGCATTAGTGATATAAACCGAAGAGATTCTTACCTGCAATCAAAAGGAGAGATTGAGTCCTATCGAAATTATGTTCTGATAGAATTTTTTGAAACTCGTTTCTATAGTTAAGCTTTTCTAAAAAATTTATAACAACTGTTACTGATGAATATTGATTTGAGTTTCAGGTTTGGCTCTTTCATTGATCACTCAAAAAGAAATGCCATATTTTGAAATTGTACGTGGCGAACTTGAAAATGAATATGGTGAAGATATGTTTCACTTGTATCGTTTCAAATCTGAGCAAGTTGATGGTTTCCGTTATCGTGTATTAGATTCACTACGTGGAATAACACGCGTATCTATTCGTGAAGCACGTTTAAAAGAAATTAAATCGGAAATATTCAATTCAAAAAAATTAAAAACATATTTCAATGATAATAAGAAAGAATTGCAATTACTTCGACATGATTCAGCATTACATGTCGTTAAAGTAAAAGAACATTTGAAACATGTGCCGGACTATCTTATTCCAAACTCATTGAAAAAATCGTCAACATCGCATTCTGAACAACCAACTTCGACGAACAACAAGAGAAAACCTGATAATTCAAATAGAAATGTTAAGCGAATGAAACATAATAATCCTTTGTCGAATTCATTAAATGCTGTTAGTGTTTTGAAAAAAGAAATAGCACGAAAAAGAACATGAAATAAAATGTAACAACAATGATATGCTTGTTTTTGTTATTTCTAGATAATGTTTCTTTTTTTTTCTCTACATCAATCATATTATGAACAATTCGACTATAATTATGATGGATTGAAAAAGTAACTTAACTTGGCTTGTGCTTCTTTTTAGATAGAATTCATAATGACAACAACGATAAATACAACAGTTGAAAATTTAATTACCAACAAACGAAAATTTATTTCAGATGATGAAGTATATCCTCCTTCTGCACGAGTTCTATCGATCACCAATCAGGTATAAATATTTTTATTAGTTCTAAGTTTTCGAAATTGTAGTCGAACGTCTCTTCGGACATACTAATATAACAATTCATCTAAATGTGTAAGATAGACTTCTGATGTAGTATTTTGATTTTTTGCATCTATTCGTCACCGATTGATTAATGTCACTTATGAGGCTATTGTGTGAAATCTATAATTATCTAAGAGATGTGGCGTTCATTTTTACTTTTAAAAAAAAAATGATGAAATTTTTACAAATCATAAAGAACCGAAAATTTGTTAATGTTTATCTATTTAGGCAGAATCATGTTGTAATACAAAAAAGATTAAATCTGTAGAAATAGAACAATTACCATCGTCAATAATCGAAATCGATGATAATGACGATATGATGATATGCGAGAATTCGAATCTCAAAGAAAATGGTACTCAACAAGCTGATAATACAACAACAGATAAGCCACGAGCTGTATCAGTCCCACAACATTGTAATAGCATTTTCAAGTACGTTTGGTTTTTTTTTTTAGATTAAAAAAGAAATTCATTGATATTATATGTTTAGCGCTGATGCAAGTCCGCCGACGTATTTAATTCGATGCTATTGTGATCCATATCGACTAAACGCTTTTATGCCCTACGATTTGGATATATATTAAAAACTAAGACTTTAGATAATTCTGCGTTTTGCTTTGTATCTATTTAGTCCTGAATATTTGTGTTTTACTCAAGAGAATTTAGTTGCATTCAATTCGTTTTCTTCTAAGTCGAAAAATTCTAATCATCATTTAAAACTTTGTTTTAGATTAATTATTAATATTTTAATTGATTGGAAACTATTTATATTTGACAGTATTATTAATAGGTAGGGTATTGTGTTCTTTTGTTGTACTTACAACAAATTAGAGTTAATATTTATAAAGTTTACATACTGACGTATGACGCGTATCAGAAATAGATCGAATATTTGTAAAGTAAGAATTCCTAATTTGATTGTTTGGTTTGTTCGACTTTTGTTTTCTCCAATGATAGAACAATTGAATCGTTATTATCAAAAATAAACGTACGATAATTTCTGTCCTCGTTAACTAAATCTTAATGAATCTTTCGTATTCATTTTATTTTTTGTGTAAGCTTTATGGTTCAATAAATATAGTTCAAACAAAGAGTCCGAGTCTTTTATCACATTGTGGAAGTGAGTGAGAATAATCAAGTGTTCGTACTGATCTATTGAAGTTTCAATTATCTTCTAACTTTACAATCAAACGAAATTCACTTCTTTTTTCTTTGCGATTCGAACATATCGTTCTTAGTTCTTCTAACAAATCGACTCCGCTCTTGCCGTTTAATCTTAAATCAAATTTTAGATGGCTTCTGCTGCCTTAATTGAATACCGAGGATCCGGTGTATTGATTGTAGATACGAAACGTTCAGCTGTCCTTCTTGTGTATGATTATACAAAAAATTATAATTGTTGTGGCGGTTCTATGAAATATAATTATGATGACCCTCGATGCATAGAAAAAACTGCTAAAGACGAATTATATGAAGAAACACGAACTCTCTTCACCTGTGATATTGATTATCTAATGACTTGTCCATCTGTTGATCTAAATCATAAGAATTCTCTATTCCGATGTTATATATTAAAAACTAAATGTCCATCAGATATCTGTCAACAATTTGACAATGTTAAACTCGACGAAAATACAATGGGTTCTGATTATTATGAGACTACTGCTGTAGCTTTCTTTCCTTTGGATCAATTTAAGCATAGAAAATCACTATTAACCATTGATAAAAATTGCGAAGCAGTACAAATTGATGGAACGCTAAGTCCACTTAATCGACGAGTTATATCTGTGATTGAAGCTGCAATTAAAGAAAATTTGTTATAAATAAAGATTTTTATTTTTCTAGTAAATGATAAGAATTCATCATATTTATTTTTGTTTTAGATAGAAAAAGGAACCATAACGACAATGGCCAATATCGAACAACAAATTCAAGAGGTAAGCACTTAAATTAGACAATGTCTATTTCAGTTAGATAATCAATTTTCTAATATAATATTTATTTTAGCTTAATGCTGACATTGATGAAGTTAAAAAATTGCTTGGTCAAGCTACTCGTTTACGAGTAAAACAATTTCTTGAAGTTCAACAACGTCGACTTGAAACTGATTTCATAGCGCTCAAAGAAAAACAAGAACAACAAAATGTTGCAGCAACAGCAGCAGCAGAAAAAAAGCCAACTGCTCCCGTAGTAGCATCAACAAATCGTTCATATACAAAAGAAATAACGGTCTATGGTAGATAAAAAACTCAATAGAGTTGTAAAACAAAAAATAAGCAAAAGTTATTTTCTAGCTTGGGACCAATCGGATAAATTCGTAAAAATCTATGTTCAAAACTTAGATGGTGTAGGCGATTTATCGTCGGATCAAGTCCGTTGTTCATTTGAAGAACGGTAAATAGAATGCTGCATTATTTTGATGGATTGAATTTTTCACCGTTTAGAGTTTTTTCGCTTGAAATAAATAACTTAAAAAATGTTAACTATCTATTCAAACGTGGTCGCCTTTTAAATGAAATTAAACCTGCTCAATCCACGTTTAAGGTAAATATAAAATTAAGCTTATTATCTATAAATTGCGTGTTTTCCAAGAAAATATTTACTGTAATTTATAAGTGTAAGTTGTTCGATCGCCCTTTTGATAGATATCAAACTTCTTTCCCATAGTGACGTGAAAAATTTTACACCAAGTAAAAAATTATATTATAAATAGTGTTTTATCGCTGTACAACAGTGATTCTGTAAGCAAAAGAATAATTGTGAATTGATCATATTTTTGTTTTAGAGAATAATTAATTTCCGGGCTTATGCGCTTATTGAGATAAATAGTTGACCTTGACTTTTATCATGCCTGCAAAATATATTTTACAGCTTAATAGAAGAATTTTCAGCTGTGCTCGGATAGAAAAAATTCAGATGAATATATTAAAATTCGGATGACTGACGTTCTTTTGAATCAGTTAATGGATTTACATTCAGCTTTGATATTAATCGGAATATGTAAGAGAACGTTGAAATCTACCTAAAATCTAATCGATATGTAGAACAGACTTATTTGCAAGTTAAATCATTGATTAGAATAAGTTCATATTAAATGAAATGAAAAAGAAAACAGCATAGGAATAGCAAAAGCAAGAAATAATACGTATGAAGTAAAATGAAAAGTTTCTGTTTGAAATACAGACACAACTAAATAGACAGATTATTGATCTCTGGAAACGATAAAATCTACTATTTGCATAACAAAGCTAAAGAACATGCGTGAGTTGCACATTTTTAACTGAAAAATATTGAATTTTCTTTTTGAAATAGGTTAAAAAAGATATGGTTATTATATCATTAGCTAAAGTTGATAATAAAAAATGGGAATGCATATTTCGTGATGAAAAGAAAACTGAAGATAAGTAAGTTTTTGATTCTTAACATAATTCATTTTGTAAATAAATAATATCACGTACATATAGGCCATTACCAAAGATGGATGATAGCAAAGATCCAGGTGATTCATTAATGAAACTTATGAAGAATATGTATGAAACAGGTGACGATGATATGAAACGTACAATTGCTAAAGCTTGGACTGAATCACGCGAAAAAATGAATACTGGTGGCGAACCAGAAATGCCAGGATTTTAATTCACTCGCACGCAATGAAAAGCAACAAAACAAATGAAACAGACATTGCAAAAGTTCCTAACCCAAGATATTGTGATGTTCTTCTTCTTTTTTCACTTTTTCGTAGGGCATAAGTTTGGATTTTTTTTCTGATATGGCTTTGTTTTTTAGATAATGAATTTTCTTTTATAGAGAAATTAATAGCTACGATTTAAAATTTGTTTTCTTTCGAAATTTTACATTAAAACAAATGGCTACAGCTGGTTATACACGTCCTCAAACTTATGTAAGTATTTATTTGGCAATAAATATCAAGTTAACTCTTGTTATTTATAAAATAAAATAAAAAGGATTGATGGGACCTATATATTTCGATCTTTTTTCGTCCTGACATGACGACCACCTGGAGTTTGCAGAGTAGACTTCAGCTGAACAATAAAACTGGAGCTCTAAAAATTCAAATATTCCAATTAAAATATATTCAACGAGTTTTCGGTTGATTTTAATTTGCATTTTATTTCAGTCATCGATTCGAGACGATGATGATGAAGCACTTGATATTCAAATCGACTCGTAAGTTAATATAGTTTCTTTACTGGAATTCCTGTATCATTTTTCTTTAGGGATACTACACGCTCATCAGCTGCTGGTGGTGTGAAAAAGTAAATTTAATTTGAAATTTTCTTATCATTAATTATTTTGTTTAGACTTCACGGTCAAGTACAAGAAGTTGTCGGTGTTATGAAAAAAAATATCGATAAATTATTAGATCGCGACGTTGCATTAAATAATTTAATGACACGCGCTGACGATCTCGAAACATCAGCTTCAACATATAATCAAACAACAAAACAATTAAGACGAAAATATTGGTGGAAAAATGCTAAAGTAAGAAAACTATCGAATCTATTCATTTCTTTATTGAAAAATTTTCTTTGCTAGACAAATGTTTGCATCGCTGGTATTGTTGTTGGAGTTATTTTGATCATCATTAGTAAGTGAAATGAATTGATTAACTTAGTCATTTGATATCTTTTGTTTTTAGTTGCTATTGCATTTAATCGTCGTGGAAAGAATTAAATTAAATGTTTATATTTATTCGAATATCATTTAATCGTTAGTCAGATGTCCACAGTCTACGAAGCCATGGACAACTTTATCTATATCTATTCTTGTTTGTATCTCATACTTCCTTGTTTTTTTTTCTTGTCTTGTGCCTGTATTTATTTTAAAAAAAAACAAAGAAATCTCAATAACATCTATTCGTATTGTATATGTCATTTGAATAAAAATAATAATAAAAAAAAGAAAAACACGCAGAAGGAAACTTATTTCATGTGCGATACATATGGGGTCTTTCATCTCTGAAGAAGTAGGTGTGAAAAGTATGTTTTATTTTATTTTTTTCTTATTTTCCGACAGGTAAGAAGGCATCTGTCAAGAATTGTATTGATTGATTATTTGAGGAAGAAAAAAACTAAAGAAAAGTTCTTTTTTTTGTCTAGCGTAAATGAGGTTCTAATTTGAGTTTTGTCACCACCTAGTGTTTGTGAAGAGCTTTTCTCACACACACACACACATGTATATATAAATAGACAGACAAATTGAACAATTAGCGCATCCAGTGGTAGAAAATGATGATGATCATCTTCCTTCTAGCAATCGATAAACGATGACATTCCACTCGTATTTGTCTTTCTAGAAAATAGATGATGATATATAAGTAGACAATTGAAAAATTGATTACATAGGATAATAAGACATACATATACAATTTCGTCAAGGATGACATCAGACTCTGTAGTGGTTGGTCTTCTTCATCGTATCGTCGTCGTTTTCCTTTTTTTCTTGTTGTATTACCAATGTTCATTAATTGAACGGCCGAATGTATAGACGTGGCTCCCTGCTAAGATTAGTTTTGAAGAACAATAGACTATATGTGTATATATACGAAAATCAATAGGTGCGAAGAGAGAGAGAGAGAGAGAGCGAGAGACAGCAAGAGCGAAGGGGAAAGAATTCGCGCCAGGAGGTCTCTTGCTACCGATAAGAAGAAAGTTTTATTTCAATATTCGATTGTATGTTTGATCCGTCCGCATCGAATAAAATAGAAATCGAAAAGAAAAAGTAATTATAATAGAATTGGATGTGTTGTATTCAACTCATTCAATTGGAATGAAGAAAACACGAATAACGAATGACAATATGTTGTTGTCGTTTGTGTATATGCGTGATTTAAGGTGGAGACATTCAATGTTAAGCTCATCACGTTATTAGTCTGTTGTTTTAGATGAACCAACGTTTTAATCTCAAATGAACCGAATGTTAATTATTTCCACTTTTTCCCACTTGTATATGTAGATAAAATTAAGTCTTTTAGACTCAAATGCATATGTTTTTTCCTTATACTCAAAAAAAAAAAATTTTCTTGTAATAACAAGCAAAAAATACGTGTTTTCAAATGAAAGCAAACGAACAAAAGAAGAAAAAAAAAGTTCAAGCAATGCGTCACACACACACACGCACACACATGCACATTGAATATTTATAAGAATTAGTCAAAAGTTAAGTCCAGTTTGTCGATGATAATAATGTTGTTGTAAAGCAGCCGCATGATGCGGATGATAAACGTGTGGATGATGATATGCACTCATGGTATGCATATGCAATGGCCAATCAGTTGATGTTGCTGGCGGTGGTGCTTGTACTTGAGGATGATGCATACGTGCTAGAGCAGCTTTCATTGGTGTGAGATTTTCAAATGATGGTGGGGATTCTGAACAGCTATCTGTTGTTGCCGTTGTATTCATTGATGAATGACTTGGTTGCAGTAGTAGCTGTTGTTGCTGTTGTTGCTGTTGTTGTTGTTGTTGTTGTTGTTGATGGTGCTGCTGCTGCTGCTGCTGTTGTTGTTGTTGTTGTTGATGATGATGAAGATGTGTATTGATACTGTCTCGAGATGAACGACGGCGTCGTTGAGAATGATGTTGCATTCTTGATGATGGAGACGGAGATCGTTCACTTTCTCCTGCGCGTCGATGAAGATTATTTCGTTTCATACATGAATCATTTGTTGATCCCGTAGAAGAATTTGTTGCTGTCGATGATGTGGACTCTAGTCCTTGAGATTCATGCATTTTCATATGTTTACGTAAAGCTAGAAAAAATTCGACAATAGAAAAAAATATATTAATTGTTCTGTTTTTTCTTATCTTACATGATGGATGAGTATACGTTTTATCACATCCACTAACTCGACAATTATATGGTTTATCTGATGTATGAACATGCTGATGTTTCTTTCGATCCGAACTATTAGCAAAGCTTCGTTCACAAAATTGACATGCAAATGGTCGTTCTCTAGAAAAAAAAATCAAAAAAATACAAATATTCTCATATCAAACATTTTAAGCACAAAACAAAAATTACGAAACTTACCCAGTATGTGTTCGTTTGTGAATTTTCAAATTTTCTGAACGTGCAAAAACTTTTCCACAACGAGCAAATGGACAAGCAAATGGTTTTTCACCGGTATGCACACGAATATGATTGACCAATTTATATTTTGCTTTAAATGCTCGACCATGCCTTGGACAATCAAGCCATAAACATGTGTGTGCTGATTGTTCAGGCCCGCCCACATGTTCAACAGTAAGATGTGTGACTAGAAAAAGAAAATCGAAGGACAAAATGCCATGATTATTATGTCTTTACTAACAAGCTTCATTTATATAGTAGTGAACAGAACATTCGTATATACACACACATTTTTGTCATCTGTTTAACCTCATCATTATTTTAGTAGCACCACGGGAGATTAACTTCCGACGTTTTCTTTTTCTTTTTCGTTCTTTTTCTCTCATTCTTTCTTTCTTTTCATTAAAAATAAAATACTATGATTGGATGTATGTATTTAACTTACCAATGTCTGGCATATAGGCAAATGCTCGATTACATATTCGATGTGAATCAGGATCAATCCATTTACATACATAGTTCTCATTTTTACCATTTGGAATATTTGTAACATTACATGCTGTACCAAGTCCTTGTCGATATGAAGGATGAAAATAAGGTAAAAACGCTGTTTGTGTTGCTGGATCCATATGTGAACCAGCTGTAACATAACGTGAATAATATTGTGTATTGGCATACTGTTCGGGATCGAACATAGGATATGTCCTGTTTATTTAAAATAAAAAACATATGAGTGAAGACCTACAATTGATTTTAAATCTTACATAAAACTTGAACCTGCTAATGGATCTTGTGCAGTTGAAAATGGTGGTGATGTACCTGGATATGATGAGAAATCTGTTCGACGTTGTTGTTGATCATCAAGTGAATTTAATGATGTTGAACCGGGCACATGAAAAAGTGATGAGGAAGAGGGTGTTGAAGTTAATGGTCTATATGTAACTGGTGCATATGGACTTGCATATGATGATGTTGTAGTATTATTTGTACTTTCACCGGCACCACCGGTGACATCAACGGATGGACTTGTCGGATCAAACATTGAATTGATCAGCTGGAAAACAATTTAAGAAAAAAAATCAAAACTAGATAAATTTCATAATTACTTTCATGCCGTGAATTACTTACTGTGCGATTTGTCTTTTTTTTTTGTTGTCAACAATCTCGATAGGGGTTGGCACTTGTCGATTTTTTTCCAATGCTCCACAGGATTGAGAACTTGTAGGGAGAGGTGTGCGTCGCGCGGTGCCTATAAGCTCACCAGGATCTAGCTATTGATACTGCAATAATGACTCCAGTAGGCAACCTATCAAGCACAGACACATACACAGCAGTGTAGAAGAAATTTTTTGTCGTTGTTGTCAAGAGAGAGAGAAGTCGAGAGAAAAAATCGAGAGAGAAAAAGAGAAAGAAAAAATAAGTTGACCAATCAGAAAAAAAAGAGAAAAAAAAATATTATATTCTTTCTTCTGTTGTTTATTTGTTCTCTTTTGAATGTCTGTATTGGATTATTACTGAAACTATGAATAAGAACTCCTGAGGTGTAGATCAACCATCCGGAGTATTGAAGGAAGTGTGTATGTATTACTTCTAACGAGTAGAGAAAGATACGAAAACGGAAATGCCTGTGTCATCTCCAGCGGTGCAATCTTTTCCCTATACACAAGAAAAAAGGTCGCTACAGACAAGCAAGTTGGATGGATAGAGAGAGAGAGAGAGAGACAGAGAGAGCGAAACGTAACTACAGGGTGCTGATTGGAGAGTTCATGCAGCGTTGTTCGTTGGTATTTTTCCTTGTTTCACCAATAGAAAATTTTGTTTTGCTATTCATATATTAACCAATAGAAAAAAAGAAGCTCGATGAATTGGTCTGTTGGCATTTGCATTTTTTTATTCTGAAAAATTTTTTTATCATAATTTACGCATTAATAAAAATTTTCATTCAACATAACTTAAAGAACATTTTCTAGTCGTGCATAAATTCCATAAGACTTTATATACTAAGATTGTCACAAAAAAAATATCTGTACAATATTCTGTAGTCAAGAACAGATTTTTAATTATGTCAACTATCTAATTATTTTCTGTTTGCATCGTCAGTGACTTTTCTATTTCCCAATTGTCCACTTGTTGGTCATGGACATCGATGTCCATCGAAATGAATCGTTTGATCTTATTACATCGTCTACCTTGATCTCAATTTTTAACGATGATCTCTTCTTGTTGTTTGATCATAATCGATGAGATGGAAAAGTTGAACAAGGAACGATTACACGTTTTTGCTGTGTTGTTTCGTTTCGTTACGTTCATCATCTAGTAGTGAGTGAGTTCATTTTGCATTTGATGCTACATCTATATACACATACACATACGAATTCGATCTGTTACGCTCCAGATGTTTCAAATGACAAGTCGAAAAATGAACAAAATTAAATCCATGCTGAGAGTAATCGATCGAATTGCATCGAAAGAGAGTCAAAAAACAAAATTCTTCGTGTCCCATCTTCTTATTTGAAGCATGTGGTGAAAACAGACATATCTCCAATTTCATTCTATTCAAATAACGATATCTGACTGTGTGTTCGAGACAGTTTTTTTCCTATTACATCACATTAATAATAATTTATCGTATTTTTTTCATCCAATTGTCAATTGTTCACATACTTATCAAGTGGATTTCATGTTCATCAAAAGAATGAATCCATCTATCCATTCATCCAAAGTTTATCAGTCATGTAGTGCACTTTACAAAAAAAATATAGATAACAAAAATGTTAGTCAAAATGATGATGATGATGATGATGATGATGATGATGATCACCATCAAATGTATTAGCAAGTGTATATGTATATTATTCTTGTTATCCATAGGGATATAAAACGACGTAATAGCATCTTATTTTATTTTCATTTCTAGATTCGAAACAGATTTTTTTAATTCGTTCGAACATTCAGAAGAATAAATATTGTTCGTCGTGTTTAGAATCAAACTTTCTAAAATAAACAAAAAATTTGACCAACCTTTTTCACGTTACTGATATATGATTGCTGGAACGAGACGATCATCGTTTCGTATATATATATACGATGAACAACGATAGTAGGGGGTGTCAAAAGAAAACAGAAAAACTGTCTGACTAAAATATAAATGGAGACATTATCATCATGACTATCATTGATTTACTTCATTGTATTATTATCAACACTTTTTAGATTTTTGCCCATCAGACAATAACACTATCACATTCTTTCATATCTAAACAAGACATCTTTTTCACACTATCAGATGAAATAAAGTGAGAATGGCATTGACATCGAATGAATAAATCGAAATTGTCTCAAACATTCATTTGACATTGACAAAAAATTGTCTTTCAAGTAAATTGAAAAAGAAAAATCCAATTTTTCTTCTCTTATTCTTCTCGGAATAACATTCTCATATGGAACCATGAAATAGAAAAGAAATCTAACAGTGTTCATAGAAAAATTTGTTCTGCTTTATAAAATATACTATATACCTACTGTGCCGAGTATAGATAGCACTAAAACAAAACAGAAGTGGCACAATGTGAACAAACACTTCTTAGCAGAAAATCTACTGTTGTCTGTCAGATCAAAGACAATGTATACACTAGCTATCGTCTATGAGAAAAACTTATCGAGAAAAGCAAAGCAGTGCGAGTGCTAGAGAGAGAGAGAGAGTCGTTTTTCTAACACCTTCTTTGAAAAAGAAAATCATGAAAACGATTTCACCCATCACCCAAGTGTCAACGATGCCGCAACAGTGTGTATGTAATAAGGGATAATCATTCATTCTTTTGCTACGATAATGATCGATGCCGCTCGTTAAACATCAAGATCGCAGAATGATATTTCGATAGTGCATATAGAGAAGCAAGAATAAAACAAAGTTCCAATCAGTATTTTAGAACATTGAAATTCAAACACAGAAGAAACAACTAATCATATCAAAGTTCATGATTTATTTTTACACCTTGGTTTTGTTATTTTCGTTTGATCAATGAAGTGGCAGAATATACGATGCTGATTGTAACTAATATAACACAATGAAAAATAATGTTATTATTCGAGTGGATACTAATGTTAGTTTTTCTTTGTCTATTAAGATTAGTGACAAGGTGATGAGTCGTTTTCACCTCAAATTTTGTTGTAAGTGCGAAATATCGATGTAATTTTGAAGATCACACATCTATAGATGTTCATTAGAGGACAATTTAGTTTTGTTCAATTTCAACCGTTGAAATAGGAGGAGAAGCAAAAGCAACTAGTCGAAAAACAGCATGAAGCTTATGTAATCGATTATCATAGCTGTGCCTTCTTCTCTTTTTTCTCATTCGTTCTAGATATTTTCTACTCATCGGTATGTTCGTTACTTTTGCCCTCTTGGAAATATGTCAAATAGAAAAAGATGAGAAAAATAACAACAACTACAACTGAGCTAGCAAGAACAAAAAAGAAAGAAGTACATCAATCGTGTAAAGTAAGCGAGAAATGTCAGTCCGACAAAATTAGTCAGCAGGATGAATGAAAAAATATCCCAATTTACGTTGTCTATGCGCACTAGTGCTATTCATAATTAGCTCTCTAAGATGATGAACAGCTGAACATGTGCTATGCCAAACGATGTATAAATATGAATAACAAAAGAAAATCTTGTTCAATGACAATTGTTTTTAATCCGTTTCAATCACGTAACATAATCGATGTGAGTGTATTTGTATGTTGTTCATCAGTAGGGAGTCACATACTAATACCTTCTTGTATTGATTCATACGAATAAGCAGTTTGTTTAGCTTTTCTTTTTCAGTTTCTTTTCTCTTCTGCTTGATTTATAAATATAATAATCATTTTAAAAATAAAATGGACTCTGATATTTTCAAGGAAATGATGGCACGTACTGTGTTTTTGTTTCGGTCATCACCGGAAGACGCTTCCTGCGTCGTATTTAAAAGAAACTCTGCACGAGTTAAAAAAAGAACAGGAAATTTCTCGCACACGACAAGAATTTTAGAAAATGCATCAAATCAGATATTTTTATCCCCTAATCTTCTTTAAATGATATGATGTGCAACTGATTATTATTATTATTCAAATTTATTTAAAATTTCATTTAATCGTTTTCGTTCATTGGATGTTAAATTATCCATAGGTGATGTTTCAAGAAGATCATGATTATATTGCCAATGATCTGGATTGAGTAATGCTTCTAAATAGATTGCGTCAAGAGCAGATGGTTGCGCACCGATCACACGTTTCATATATTCAACTTGTTTTTCTACTAGAGATTTCTTATGTTTATTCATTGTGGAATTTTTCAATTGTGATTCATTGGATTTCTATTAATATGAAAATAAAAATTCATTTCATTTAAAACAATTGAATATAGTTAACCTTTTTTTGCTCGATTAAATCACGAAGAAGAATATAACGATTATTATTATTATTTAACCGTTGTTCAGCTAATTCAAGAAAATTATCTGTTTCAATTTCAGTTGTGTACATTTCATTTTGTTTCTCTACAGACATGGCTGATAAATAATCTGGTAGATCTTGTTCGATGGTTTTAGCATAAAATTTCATATCTTTAATGCAATCAAGCATTTCACTCAGTTTGTTTACTGTCATCGCTCGTTTGAGCGTATTCGCTGATCCGATAGATAAAATCTGATCTTCGAAATTATTATTGTTATGATTATGAACCATTTCGTGAGATGTTAATTGATTCATACGAATTGACTGTAATAGAAAATAAGAAACAGCGCCAATTAAAAAAATCTCAATCATAGTCAAGTTTTACTTAAGATCTATACGACACGTGTGTATTGCATTTTGGAACATAAAATGATAAAGATCGCTATTTTGTTATGCAATTCGAAGCCCTTGGGCAATGTAGAAGATAAATGAATACATTATCTGAAACTAAATCAATAGCATGATAATGATATAACATAATAAATACCTTCAATGATTCGCTTATTCTTCTAAACTCTAATTCTCTAGTTTCAGAATTTGATCACAGCGATTCATCTGGACTTGATTATACCTTATGTAGAAGACAAATTCAAACATTTTTCAGCTTATCAGATTTTTAAAATTACATTTGCTTTTGTTGTCGAGATGAACAAAAATTGGAATCTTCATTGTACGATCTTTACATTTATTTCTATTGATTTCAGATGAGTTTTTGCGATCGAAGCTTGCAGAAAATTGTTGACAGTCAAAATATCACACACGCACACACGAGTTGACATTAATGCAATCGTTTTCTTTTTCCAGGGCTCTATTTTCATGATTAAGATTCGCAGTAGTAAGGGAGAAATTTTCAGATTATCTTACAATCTGTACGGATAAATAAGAATATGATATAAGAACAAGAATATTTTTTAACCAATGAATCTAGTGAAAGAAAAAATAAATCTAAATACTACGTTGTTTCAAGTCATTTTGACATTTTACTTTTGATACTAAAAATTATTTTAATAGTTTGTCAATACAATGCCCTCTATTCTCCATCAGTTTTATTGAAAAGGATAGGTAACTACACATAAGGAAAAAGAAAGAAAAAGACTGCCTATCACCTTCACAACCAACATGGCAATGGCCACGACAACATTATGTCCTGATTGTGATAAACAAGAAGGTATTGTACCATGTCTCGGATGTAAAAAGATTTTTTGTGTAAAACATTTTCAAATTCATCGTCAAAATCTTTCTGTTGAACTTGAAAATGTTGTTACTCGACGTAATACATTACAAGAATATTATTTTAATACTGTTGCTTCGAGTTTTGATCCAACGAAATTCGAAGCTTGGAGTGCCGTTGATGAATGGGAACAAAAAATCAAAGAACAAGCACGACAAATTGCTGGTGAAGCCAGAAAACAACTCGACGCACATTCTAAACAATCTCGTACTCAAATTGAAAATAGATTAAATCAAATGACTGAAACTATTCAACAAAAAATGGAACGAGAAAATTTTGTAGAAGAAGATATTGAAAAATTAACTCATGAAATCGATCAGATTGAAGAAGGTATGCAGAATAATAAATTTCATCCTCGCATCGAAATTATATCTGAACCCATTGATTGGAAAGCATCATTACAAGTGAAACTTGTAATAGAAAATGAACCGAAAAATGAAAAAATAAAACCGTCTACCTCACCACCACCACCATCATTATCATCGGTTGCACCAGTCGTTTCATCGAAAGCAAATTATCCACCATCAGTTCAACGAAAATGTTTTACATGTGGAGCAGATACATGGCAAAAAGAATGTAAATGTTGTAGTCATACTTATTGTGGTTGGCATTTAAAACGACACGCCAATGAATCGAAAAAACATTAGACATCTACTATAGGATTATTTTGTTTGTAGGAAAAAAAGAAGAAATTGCGTACGATGGATCTTTTAAAATGAAAAATACTGATAGATCTTTACTTCATTAAATTCAAATAAACCAAATAATTAATTGTATATATATATATATATATTCATTCAGTAATGTCAAAATAGTATATCGATATATTGAGAATTAGAAAATATTCTATCGACAACATAAATATATCTCATGAAAATGAATTCTTTGCTTCTTATATAAGCATATGACAGATAAATTGCGATTGATGATGTTTAAAAAAGACGCAATATACACGTGCTGTGATGGCCGAGTGGTTAAGGCGTCTGACTTGAAACTCGATATGTCAAGCTATCAGATGGGTTCTCCCGCGTAGGTTCGAATCCTACTCGCAGCGTTCCTTTTTATTATTTTTTTTTCTCTCACGTTTAGTCTACAATTCGGCTTGTCCAAGCGTAACGCTGTGACGTTTTGGCAAATTGTTTTAAAACTATCTCAAAAACTATGATAGCTGGAAAGTTTATTCAAACGCCATTCGATGCAGCTCGACGAGTTCTATATGCACTGTATATTTGATATTTTTTGCTTGCACTCTATAGTTTACAAAAATGATTTATAGTCACGTAACGCTGTGACGTAAAAGGCCCCTGAATTTCCAACGCTTTCACTTATCGTTTAATTCCCTGCGAACGATGATCTCCAATTAAAATAGGCCTGGAACTAACTTTGTAGAGCATGAAAAGAGCTTTTCAATGGTAAAAAAAGTGTTTTCCTAGCTCTCATTATTCAAAGAAAAAATTTAAAAAAAAAACGTAACACTGACATTTTTCGTAACGCTGTGACACCTTTTTTGTCGATCAATTTCGGGTCACTTAACTTACTCAGATCTATTTGATTTTTATAGCGCTTGGTCTTTTCTGTACATATAACCACTGTACAAAAATTCAAGTTCTTATGATGAAGCAGACGCTCGTTATTAGTATGGTAAGTTGAAAACTCTACAACAATGTAAAAGTGGCCTCCGGGGGTGAAAGATAAACATAAACAGCTCATTTTGTAGAGAATAAAATTCTGCATCGAATGGTGTAATAATTAGAACTTTTCGAAAAAATGTTACCTTAAAAAATTCAAAATACGATTTTTAAAAAGTAAAAAACATGATTTTGGTTGCAAAAAAGGAATTTAAAAAAAAAAACAAAAATGATAAATTCGTAATCAGCGCAAAAAAACTGCATCGAAGGATGTGCTGAGATCAACCCATATCGAAAAAACATTTTTCGAAAACTTCCGTAGCGAAGGTAACAATTACGTGGACAAGCCGTAAATAAGATGTTATGAATCACATTCTATATCTATATCTCAATTCGATAATTTTTATGCATTCATAATACGTCGAATGAATGAAGTTAACAGTAAATTCGCAAAAGTATTCGCATTATCAACTAGCATTGTAGCTGGTCTTTTTTCTTCATAGTAGTCACCCGACGTGATTGTTTGGAAAAAGTCCATCTGTAAAACAACTGATATTCATTGTTGAAAGTTCTGCCTCCGCTGATACTCGGAAAAAGAAAAAGTCTATTAATATATTTTTATGCAAGTATCTTCGTATAATTGAATCATATATATATATATATATAGACACATAACGATCTACATAAAAAATTAATTCATTTATTGAATTGCGCTTACAATAGTCATAGTATCTTCATTGAGTACTTAACTAAGGCAATTTCCTCTATCTCATAATGATATACTAGTTACATTGTGTTCATCGATGGATGTAATTATTGAAAAGCTCTTGTATATGATCTGTACCCTATAGTAATAAATGAATAAAAAAAATGCAGTTCAATAATATTTCGTTTGTATATTTATCATGTTCATTACATATAATATATCCTCGAGATATACGAAGACAAGCTGTTCAACAGTTTATTGGTTCTTCATCTATTAGATCTGAATGACTGTAGGTAATTTATTGTAAACTATTGCATATTTACTAAAAAAACGAACAGCTGTTATTCACAATCCCATGCATCCGCAAGGTACTGCGTTCAAATTTCGGTCCCCAACTACCATGTAATACTGATGGACAAATAACAACTGTTTGTTTCGAACCACTCGTCCGATTGCATGCTGATTAAATTGTAACGTACAACTGTTCTTATGGGTAGTGTGTAGCTAGTTAATACGTATATATGAAGAGCTCAAACAATTTCACACAAGAATCGAATGTGCCAGATCAAAATGATGTCACAACTAATATCAGTTGTAGGAAATATATGAAGCACGTCAATTTGGTCTTTGTTCATATTTAATATCGTAATGTATTCCATAAGAGCAAAAATATTCTTTCTACTGTTAGTTGATTATTATTCTGTTGTCAAACTTCTCTCTTAAGACTTATTCATTACAGTTTACACATGGGTAACCGGAAGAACGATTAGCTCTCAAATTGAGTTTGACATTTAACACTATTTTGAGATGAGAATATTTATTAAGATTTCATTCCACATTTATGTTTTCTTTTGATTATTTTTTCGCTATTTGATTTCATTCTTAAATCTCTTTTTATATGATTATAAAATATACAGGCGTCTTTCAAGGCATACACAAAATTAATTTAAATCAATAATTGATTCAAATTTTTTTCGTCATCAAATAATTGTCATTTCAGCTCTATTCTCTACTCAGAATAGATATCATTCGGCCTGAATATTATAATCTTTTTTTCTTCTGATTATCTTCTCAAAATTTCTTATCAAAGATTTAATAACATTGACATCAACGTTGAATGAAGCAAAAAAATGAACATACATATAAAAGATCACTCAGGACTATTATTAACTGAAATTTATATAAAAACAAAAAGCGAAAAAAAAGAATGCACACTTTTATTTAAACTATATTGACAATAAGAAAATGATAATAAGAAAACAATTTATAAAAATTCTTGAGGATGTCGATGGAACATTTTCAATTATAGTAAATCGTCGTAAATGATCCGAATTTAATAGCATTGAATAATTTTGCCGTGCAGCTATAAGATGTGGACTTTGATGATGATGATGATGTAATAATGATGATAATGATGGACGTCGATGAAAATATTTAACAGATGATCGAATTGGAGATGATACAATTGTTGGTACTGTTTGTGTTGTTGTCAGTTGTGTTTCTTGTTCATTAGCAATACAATAAGCTTGATCATTTCTTTCGATTCTTTCTAAATTTATTTCACAATATCCATGTTCTATTGATATTTGAAAATAGACTGAACGAAAAAGATCTTTCACTCGAAAAGTATTATCTTGTTGACAATTTGATTGAAAATATTTATATAAACAGCATAATGCTTCGCGTATTTTAATACAACGAAATGATTTATCATCGCAATAGTATGGAGTACAAAGTAGATGATGCTGACATTGTTCAGGTATACGATATACTTCTTGATTAATTAATATATTTGAACAATAACTCTCATTTGATAAAGCACTATTATAAATGTCAATTAAATAATATGTATTTGATGGAAGACCATTTACGATTGGCATTGATAAAAATATAACTGATAAAATTACTTTTTCCATAGTCATTATTAGAGATCTAAATATGCATAAATAATAAAAAACTTATCAATTAAGAAGAAAATTTGTATGATAAAGACACGCCTATTATAAGGGCCGGCTTGTGATCATACGACACAGCTTGAACTCTCATTACTTTTTTTTTTATCTCTCTCTCTCTCTATCCTGTCCTATACTATAAATACAGATAAATTATTACAACATGTACAACAAGACATGAGCAGATGTTTGCAGACACACTTTCATCCAACAAAAAAAAAGAAGAAAGTCCGATCGCTCTCACCTCAAACGACGATATCAATGATAAGTTATTACGGACAAGAACAAAAATTGAAGCTCAACATAAGTTCGACTACCTAATTGTCCGCATCGAACATGACATTAAATGACGTTCGGACACAAACGATGGTTGTTGTTGAATTAATATAGTTTTTGTCTCTAGTGAATAGAACTCACTTGTATGATTGCGAAATCGGCAACATCTTAATTATATTACATATGTTAACGTGCCCTATGTAGGCGATTCAATCAATCGATTGAAGAGCACAATATTCTCGTATATTTATGGATACATCCATATATATATATATAAATTGATTCAATTTCTTGTCAACGAGTTCATGTCATAAATATTTTATACTGTCTTTCATGGACGTCAAGAGCAAAAAAAAGTTGGAAAGACCATCAATTTCGTTAACGGGTCCTATTGATGAGCAATACATTTTGTTAAATAAGAAGAAGAAGAAGAAGATGAAGATGAAGATGAAGATGAAGAAACATAACAATAATAGACACTGTCTCAGACATATTCAATTATGTGTTTAACGAAGTAGCATGCTATATTGATTAACAATATAAGAGAGAAGTTGCACCAATCTATTATCACATTGAATAGTAGCCAAATACAACTCAAGTTATTCTTCAAATAAACATGACATTCCATTGACCTATCAATAACTTAGCCGTTACTACTTACGTCTTCTGAAATAAATGAAAAGAAAAGAAGTTTCTAATGATGAATAAACTACTCCGTATAATCGTGGGGGTGACAACAATAGATTTGACCCTCGTTCTTTCCTCTTTTTCTTTCGTTTTGCTTGATAAATACTCTCTACATACATTTTCAATACTCATTTGTCAAGAGAGTAAGTAAAAGAAAAAGACTAGACTCAGCTAGTTCACTAATCATTTTAAAATGAAAGAATGCCCGATGGGTATATTCATATATGTACGTATGTAGGTAGGTATTGATGAAGGACGAATATACAATAACAATACGAGGAGGCCACTGTGTGATATTATCACGATTTGTGCAGGCAAGCATGCATCGTGATTGTATTGTGAGTGCTCATTCAAAGAAAGTAAAGAAAATTACCTTTTTCTCTTTCTAACCACTTTATACACCATAGTTATTCATTTCGTACTCCTCCTTGTATTCTTCAATCACTCTATTGAACAGTTGCTTTTCTATGATATTCTGTTTTCTTTCTTTCTACGTATGAAACAATATAATCGATGATAGCAGCAGGAGATGATTGACACAGTCATCATTGTGTCTGGCATTGAAATATACATACGTGCAAGATTCACACCCTTGAAGTATATATATATATATACATATAAATATAATATCGACTAAACACAGAGAATGAGGCTAATAATTGATATCTGTCGGTTTGTTACGTTCTCTGTAGTGAACAGACGTGCGATGAACATTTATCACATTCATACATGCAAGCACTCGTACATTAGATAGATAGATATATCTCCTATTCCTTACTTATGGTCAACTTCATAATGAGAAGTTACATACCTTTTTTACGGTATATGTACATGTCCACCCATTAACATGATGAAGTACATTTTTTTTGCTTACAGGGAATATGAGCGATGAACGATGATAATTACACGTAGTTTGCGATGGGTTGTCATATTTGATAAAAGATTTCCCCTTTCTATAAGAGAATCTAACTTCGATCTGTAGCTATTGAATAAAAAGTGACAAAAAAAGATTTTATCGGCGAAATAGTTGAAATTGAACAGTTTCAATTGGTCAAATAGTGTTAAACATGCTATTCGTAGTGGACTTTCTTTTTGTATGAAAGATTTCGAAAATTTTTCTTTCTGTGACAAAGATTAATGTAGAGTAATTTCGATTATCTACACTATTTGTTTATCGTGTGAAATATTCAATCATGACAATAAGAAAAAAAAATGTGCAGCACCTCCCATCAACTTAAAACATTTAACACAGTATTGATTGAGAAGAAACACAGCATTCTAGAATTTAAACACTAAACGATCTACTGCGGATGTTGTGGTTGTTGGACGTATACATTTATTTGGCATAAGAAATAATTCAAAAAAATCAGCAAAAAAGCCGCACACTAGTAGTAGAGCGATATAATTTTAAGAGACACACAAATATCATGTCATCTAATCAATGACAAGGACATTTTATACGACACATTTACTGATGTTAGAAGGAGTCCATTAGGAGATATCAATTGTAGACTAATGTTGTCACTCAAAGACTTCAAGGTATTCGATTACAGAATTGAATAAATCTCGAATAGAATTAGCTAGAAATTTTTACTTGAAATTAATTTAAACAAATGCACAAGAGAATGTCTTTTTCATTGATAATATATAAGCCGAAATCATAATGAAACAAATGATTGTTGGAATACATTCAAAACAAAACAAAAACGACGCTTAGTAATGGTATACCATTCCAAGTGAATTTAGATCAGTCGTAAGAAAATGTACATAAAATTAGCATAATTTCAATATTATTCGATTGAGTAGATACAATATTTCATTTGCTCAACATCAGGATGTGAAACGACAATTATTTGCATTGTTTCTTGAACTGTAAATGTCAAAATTCTTCGATGTAAGAGATAACGAAAAAAAATACAGCACAGTGAAATATGTTTCTAGTTTATTTTATGTCCCCAGAAATTAATTCTGTAATAAAGGATTACTTTTTTTGTATACTATTGAAACAAAAAAATTATCACGCTTTCTCGCTAAGTCGACGTAAAACATCCAATTGAAAGCTGCTAGTTTTCTCAATTTATTTCAAGATTGTATTGACAAACTAACAGAATTCGTTCGAGTATCGAACTTTTACGTAAATATATATAAAGACTTTGCAATAGTTGAGTGTAAAAATTGCTAGTAAAAGAGCCTGATCTTCTTCTTCTTCAGAATTAATCACAATAGCAGTAGATAGATGATCGTAAAATAAACTTGTGTTATTGGTTTACTAGTGTCAACAAAATATTTCGTATAACTTTGATATATAACAGAGATAACTATAGGCAAAACTAAAAATTACAAAGTGGCCTGCAGGACCGACAGCATACATTCATTTTACAAACACGCTTAATTATACGGCTCTCTATTAATATGTTCTCGTAGCTTCAGTAGCCCACTGAATTTATTTTAAATCGAGATAAGATAATAAAAAGACCTTGCATAAAGTATAAAATTAAGACAGGGAGAAATATACCATAAATATTTATCATATACAGTTAAAATTAACTCAATGTTTTTGATCGTATCGATTCCATTTTGCATAAGTGAAAAACAACTGATGTTTCAACAAATAAAAAATAGACAATGGAAATATTAGATAGTAACTTTTATTTAAACAAATAGACAAGAATATTTACATAGGGATCGTAATGACTTATGTGTTCAAATTAGGAAAATAAGCAACCAAGTTACACAATGATATTGTGAATATCTAGTTTTCTATTTTTCATTACAAGAAAAACTCTGCCTATAATAAACCATTAAGGTAGTGATCGATTTATGATAGTTGCTTTTCTAATGTTACCCACGCCACATTTATTCCCCAATGTCAATTCTTCTAAATAAATTTATTGATGTCAAAAACAGCATAGAATATATTACAATGAATGGGCAAGAATTAGCATCGTCCTCTTGCTTTTCATCGATATCTTTCAGTATTTTCATTAGTTCAAATTGGATTTTTTTCTCTACGTACCATGGTATTCTGCTGAAATTGACCTATTTTCTTCAAAACAAATTGTCGCATTTTTTTTTATAAAGATTAAAGATACTTATACTGAATAGCTGATTGCAAATAAAAGAAAACTGCTGTATGTTCAAGTAGTAAATAAAGGTAATGGTTGTCTAATGGGAGTACGATTGAATTATAAGAGAAGTAGAAAATTGCACTCTAGTTCATTTTCTCCTCTTGCATATTGGTCTTCATTATTATAATGTAGTTTAGACGAATTAGTTCTATCAATGGCAATTTGCTGTAAATCATGTATCAATAATTATGACGAGATCGAACTTAGAACTTAATAAAATAATTAGATGTAAGTTTTTTCTAAACTTGAACTCAATAATTTGTTAATTCTATATTTTATTCTAGGACTGAAAGAGACAACATTCATTGGAAAAGAACAGCTATACGTATATTGGATTTCATGATGCTTTCAAAATAACATTGATTAAACGATGAAAACTATTTAAAGTTGACTATAAAACAAATATCCTATGAAATTTATCTTTCTTTTTTTCTTGATGGAAAATATTCTACAACTATTTCAATACGAAAAATTGAAAATAAATCAAATATAATTTAGAATACGTCATAATCATGAAGAGATATTCGAATGGTGCAAGATTGTAAAATATCAGAATTTTCAATGATAATTAAGAAAGCTATAACATTTTTAAACACACAGGGAATCATCCTCAAGATGATACATTAACATTCCATCAGCAAACAGTAAGAATCAGATCAACAAATACAGTCTGCTAACTGCTAATGTCGGAAAACATCGAACAAAGTACGGAAAATCGAACGAACACGATAGGTAAATAGATATCTGCAGCATATATAAAGTATAGAACTTGGGGTTGGATTCGGATGTCAGTTTAAATCGTCTTTACATTCCACAGCTATAAATGCACACATCTATGGAATTGTAAAGCATAAAATCAAGAAAAAGTAAAACAACAACAGCTTATCAACAGTGATGTGAAACAATTGATATTAGGTGTAAAAACGGCAAAATAAAGTCACAGCAATTATTAGTCAATTCAACTGTATTGATCAAACGACGAGCAAAATATGATAAACAAATCGTTAACTATTGAATAATACAATTCGTTTTTCTATATTTTGAAGAAAATTCATTATCCTGATTTTTAATTAAGGACAATCTCTCTGTTTAGTCCTCTACATTAATTTTTTCAACTATTTTAATTAAACCTATTGATCAAATAGAATCATAATATGAATAGATTAGGTTGTGCTAAAATTTCAAACTATGTCTGACAAGAAATAGCTCCGATAGATAACTTTTTTTTGTAGAATATATGAACCTAATTCGAAGATTTCAGTTGAATAAATGGAATTCATTCTTATACGAAAGTTACTTTGCAAAACTATTTTCTTCATTATTCGTTCGTTTATACATGCTATTTAGAATTACTTGAACGTAATTGGCCGATGTGTTTTTTTTAAAATAATTGTTATACTATCACCAAGTCTATTTTCAACATGATGCCATGACATATATTTTTACTTTTAAACCGATATTTTATCTATTCAATTCTATCAAGAAATTATTAGAATGATACATTTTTTTTAATTGAGAACAATCATTGCAAAAATTCATTGAACAAAGCGTTCATTGTAAACAGATTCAGAACACTAATTAACATTGAATTAGAATTTCGTTTCTCTAGAACGATCACATGCAGAAGATCATTTTCATTTCGATTGCACATATTTGCCACTTGATTTCTACATTTGAGTCTTGTTGATTCTAATTGGTAGTATGAGGTTTATCCAAATGATCATCAGATATACAGTCGAATTTAAACATAAGCAAGAAACTATACGGTGAACCATCCCCATATAGAAACGTATTCGTTTTTTTCAAAATCCTATTTAATTAGTGCATGTGAAACACAATTGACTCTGTTGTTTATTTTGAGAAAGAAAAAACAAAGGGGATAGTAGCATTTTTTCCTCTCTTCATATCTAAGCATCAACACAAAAGAAAAAGATCAAGCTGGACAAAGATGATGGTACATGTATCTTGATATTTGACTCTCTAATTATAATCTATAAAGGTATTTAGAATGAGAGATAGAGAGAGAGAGAGAGAGAGAGAGAGAGAAGAAACTTTTCTAGAAGACAAGAAAAATGACAGAAAAGAAAGTAATATACTAAGAACACTGTCGGCCGGTTCGTTCTCGTTCATAGAATCGAATTTCTTAACGTTCAGAAGCAAGTTTCTCAGCACGAGCTGCAACATCTTCAATACCACCGACCATATAGAAAGCTCCTTCGGGTAAATGATCTAATTCACCTATAAAGAAGACAACATTTTTAAATTAAGCAATCTTATATGAAACACAAAATAATATCTTACCGTTCAATACCATCTTGAATCCTTTGATTGTTTCCTTGAGCGGTACTAATTTACCTGGTGTGCCAGTAAATACTTCAGCGACCTTTTAAATAAAAACAAAAAAATAAAATGTAAACAACTATGCTGACAATCGTCCATGAAGGATCGAATATCTATTAGTGTTGATCTAGAATAACTATTACTATGGCACTTTTTCCTATGTGTTTTACGTATGAAATATCACAAAACACTACACAAAAGTGCATCTTACAATGGTCCTTAACCTAGATTCGAACTCTAGTATAATCTCTTTTAGCAACTAACCTGGAAAGGCTGCGATAGAAAACGTTGAATTTTACGTGCACGTGCGACAGTTAATTTGTCATCGTCCGATAATTCATCCATACCCAAAATAGCAATAATATCTTGTAATGATTTGTAATCCTAGAATGGAAAAAAAAATAAATTGTCGATAAAAATCTTTTCTTAATTGTTTATATTTAAAAAAAATTAAAAATCTAAATGAAAGACATTTTTATCGTTGTTTGTTAACATTAATTTAGCACAACGACTACACCTGTAGAATTATTTATAAGAATAAACAAGCTCTAGCGTGTGCCCTCGAATCACTTTCATAATTTGTTGTTTATATCTTACTTGTAATGTTTTTTGAATGCTACGTGCAACTGAATAATGTTCTTCACCAACAATATTTGGATCAAGAATACGTGATGTTGAATCTAATGGATCGACAGCTGGATATATACCTAATTCAGCAATACCACGTGATAATACAGTTGTTGCATCCAAGTGAGCGAATGTTGTAGCTGGAGCTGGATCAGTTAAATCATCAGCAGGTACATAAATAGCCTTGAAAATGAGGGAGAAGATAATTTTAAAAATAACAACAAAAAAATGATTTTTTTTTCTCAACATACTTGTACTGATGTAATTGAACCTTTCTTTGTTGTTGTAATACGTTCCTGCATAGTACCCATATCAGTGGCCAATGTTGGTTGATAACCGACAGCTGATGGAATACGACCCAATAAAGCTGATACCTAAGAAACCAATGATAATAATATATATTGTTTTTAGAAGATATAGTAAAAGAAAATAATAATGAAATTCTTACTTCAGAACCAGCTTGTGTGAAGCGAAAGATGTTATCAATGAAAAGAAGTACATCTTTGCCTTCTTTGTCGCGAAAGTTTTCAGCAACTGTTAACCCAGTTAAAGCAACACGAGCACGAGCACCGGGTGGTTCATTCATTTGTCCGTAGACAAGTGATACTTTTGAACCTTTACCTTTTAGATCAATAACTTTTGTTGTTATCATTTCATGATACAAATCATTTCCTTCACGTGTACGTTCGCCGACACCCGCAAAAACAGAATAACCACCATGGGATGTGGCTACATTGTAAATTAACTCCATGACTAAAACGGTTTTGCCGACACCAGCACCACCAAACAAACCAATTTTACCACCTTTAGCATATGGTGCTAATAAATCTACGACTTTGATGCCAGTCTCAAGAATTTGTTGTTCAACGTTCATATCAGTGAATGGTGGTGCATCAGCATGAATTGGTGCATAATCTTCAGCATTAACTGGACCACGCTCATCAATTGGATCGCCAATAACATTAATGATACGGCCTAATGTTGCTGCGCCAACTGGAATTTTAATTGGTGTACCAATATCTGTTACTGGTTGTCCACGAACAAGACCTTCAGTACCATCCATAGCAATTGTTCGGACGGTGTTATCACCTAAAAGAAAGCCAAAAATCAAAATATAAAACCATAATTTTTTTATCTTGCATACCCAAATGTTGAGCTACTTCAAGAATTAATTTTGGTTGGCGGCCATCAACTTGAAGCGCATTAAGAATTGGTGGTAATTGTTCATCAAATTGTACATCGACAACGGCACCAATGACCGATACAACACGACCTTTAGCACCTTTGGCAGCTTGAACTGGTTGTTTATCTTTATTCTCTACTGGCTTTGCTTGTGCTGATGGGACTGCAGCATTTCGTTTACCAACAACTATTAAAAGTAAATAAATAACTGAATTGAATCAAACTGAAAGCAACGAAAGATACATACTGTGGAAACTAGCAGTTTGCTGATAAGCTAATCTTGACCATCTTGGGTTAGAAATAGTATTTCGCTGTTTACCAAGTAGAATTTGTGCTACACTACCTGCTCGCCGACAGGCACAACGTATGCCTTGCATGATTGTACAACTAGGTAGTCTGAAAATAAAAAAGAAATAATTCAAGATTGAATACATTTTTTAGATGAAGAAGAAAAAAATGGAGCAAAACAGACGTTATTGATCCATTCCGATTCCGAAGACCACAATCGAGTTGTATGCGTCGAAAAACACACAAAACAACAGATGATGTTCTTTAGTGAGGTATAATGTGAGGATCAATGGAGTTTTTTTTATAGATCAATATTAGAATTAAGGAAAAGAAATTTATTATAGAAAAATAACATTCTAGAAAATAATATCTAATTATAAATACTCGTTTCTCGAACTTAACACACTTATGCACTTTGTATCGAAGGACATTGCTTAGTAACAAATATGAAAATGACCATAACTTTGATCATACATTTGTACAGTATGACAATATAATTAAGTGTAGAGAAAAAATGTTCACGCTATCACCGGGTGATGCACTTGATTTTGCAGCTGCCTTTGAAGATGCAGCTGAAGAATTACATATCCTTGGCAAATTAGTTCCACCACATTATCAATATACAGAAGGAGCTGATGAGGTAGGTAGAAAAGTAATTTTATTTATTAGAAACAATAGATTTATTGTTGAAGAACTATCGTTTAATTTCTGATTATATATTATTAAAGATTGTTCGCAATCAAATTGAAAATGTATTAAATGCTCAACATAAAATCGAAGCTGATTATGATGCACAAATATCACATCGAGATCATTTACAACACAATAGAGGGCATGATACTCTTGAGCAACCAAATGCAAAAGAAAGTCAAAAATTAATGGAAGAATTAAGTACCGAATTAAAAAAGACTACAGCTGATCTAAAAACAGGTGTCAATAAAATAAATCGCATGTTTAATCAAAATCCATTAACAGCAGATAATATGAAAAAAGTTGAACAAGATCGGTAAGGAAATATTCGTTGTTTTTCTTTAATTTTTAGACTTAATATTAGTTTTAAATAAATTAATCAATGAAGGAGAAAATATTCATATAGTTTCTAATCTTCATGAGAAGTCAGACAGTCAAAAACAGAACTAATTAGAGATTTATCAAGATTCATATGTTGAAATAAAACCTTGTTTATAGATGACGATGAGGCATTTTATATGTGAAATTATAGATATAACTATTAGAAAGGACAGCTCTGACTCATTCATTAAAAATAATATACAAGTTGGAAAAAGCTTAATGTTGCATGGAACATATAATATTGACAAATTCTGATGGAATGACGTTTTTTGTTTTATCAGCATGCTTTTGTCAATTATATTTTTGTGATTAACAATTAGAATTTTAATTTGGTATAGAGACAAACTGCGCAAATGAAATATATGTCAGATTAAGACGACTTAGTAGTTATTTAAGCTATTTTGTTCAGTTCATTCTCATATATGACATGTTTTAGTCGTAAAAAAAGACTATAGTCAGTCTAATACTTTTAACAGATAAATAAAAACAATTCACGAAAACTCTACATAAATTTCTTGACGTGCCTATTTGTTTTCATGTATCTTTTTTTTAGCATTGAATATCCATTAACCACGTACATGATAATGGCATTGTGATCGATGAAAAATATTCAGAAAAATAATAGCTATTTGGAATTGTCTAGAAAGCTTCCAGAGTGGTTACAAAGAATTGCAATAAAATATTGTGTATTAGTAGTGCTATGTCAGAAGTTATATCTATTGACATGTATCATTAGAAAAGAGTGCCGAAATCAATAGACTATGGCTATTTAAGATTACTTAAGACTTTTATAAATCCCTTTTTACATTTGTACACATAAGCTTAATCCCTATAAACTTATGATTAGTATTAAAATCATTAAAGATTTCATTGGCTAACGATTTTTATTTCTTTTGTTAATAAAAAATAATTCATTTCTAAATCTTTTTCACAGGATCTAAAATTGCGAATAAAAGATTGACGCTATTAAAGTTTAATAGCATGTGCCTAAAGATAATTGCTCTAACTGTGTCAAAGAACTAGAACTGATAATAAAAACATGTGATCTAATAGGAAGTTCATAAAAAAAATTATTTCACTTGGTTGATTTTAATTTTATTCTGAAAAATTTTAATAATAAACATATTTCTGCTTTATTTCTTTAGTATGTATTTTGAAAAGTTATTAACAAAATCAATTCTTGCTCTTCATGATCATAAATCTATTGAACCCCTTAAAGTAATGGTTGAAAATGAACAAGAATCAAAAAGTCAATTTATTCGTGTTGTTCGAAGGTATGTTATAAATATCAAATAAAATGCTTGTAATATCTTTGTCTAATATTGACAACAAATACTAATGATAGCTTTCATGACGTCGTATGAGTCATTTTTCAATTTTATATCTCCTACGATGAAAATACTTATATATATATATATATATAATTTGCTAAAATGTTTTTGAGCGATACACACAAGATTAAAGAATGTTAGGTTTTCATCAGTTACATTTAACTATGGAAAATATTTTCAAGAATCTTTTCATAATGATTTATGACAAAATATTTTCTTATGTTGTATTTTATTGTTTAAACTGATCAAATGACCAACTACTAGCATAATTATGAATAAATTCAGGTGAGATTGGCTTTTAAGAGTTGTTCAGCTCGGAAGACAAGGATAGAAAGTTGATTCTTTTTTTAAAACAATGTAGATCTATGTCATCATTACATGGATTTCACTTGAAAAGAATATTATTCAATGAGTGAGTAAGAAGGTCATTAATTGAAGTATATTCTTAGATGATGAACGTGTTAATTAGATTTTTTCCAAATTATTTTAGATACATGAGAAAATTTCATTACGGTATTAAAATACTATTATACGCTAGTCTTTTGCTATTTTCTTTTTCTTTTTCTTTAATTATTTATTAAATAAAAAAAAATATATTAATTAATGTGTCTAGCGAGGAAGAAAGCCGTCAACGAATCAAGGAATTAACACAAACTATTCAAAATATTCGTCTAGAAAAGCAAACAGAATTGGCACGACGTGCTGAAGTAATAGCTTATCAAAAAGATCAATTACAAGAGGCAAAAGCAAAAGCTCAACTTGAAATAACATATGAAAAGAAAAAATGTGAAAATCACCTTGAGCAAATTCGTGAACGTTGTTTTCTTGCTGAACAAGAAATGCGTAAAGAAAATGATGTAATCAATGATAAAAAACAAATTAACTTTTTTTAAATTAATGCTTTCTTGTTTTTTTGATTCTCTTTAATAGGCATTAGAAAGTCGCTCTGAAGATGAAATGAAATGCAATTCTGAAACAGAAAATTTCTTACGTGTTTTTATCAAAGTATCAAAAATTTTCAGTGTTCTATTGGTTTTTTTCTTAGCTAACGACTTTAACCTTAAACTAGGATACCGGCCAAAAAACCGACGAATGGCTTGAAAAATATAATCAAGAGACAGCTTTGTTACAAACTCAACTAGATAAATTGAAAGCTGCACGTGCAACTGATTTAGCAACTTATCAAAGAATCGCTGCTGATGTAAGACGAAGACGAAATTGTTGCTTTTTTAAAACCAATATTTTTTTTTCAAGTTTACTCAATACGAAAAAGTTGTACGTGAGGATCGAGCTGAAAAAGAACGCCGACGACGCCAATTAGAACGTGAAGAGCAGCAAATGAATGCTGCAGTTAAAATACAATCATGGTGGAGAGGAATGCTTGTTAGACATGCCATTGGACCAAACAAGAAGAAAAAGGGGAAAAAAGGAAAAAAGAAGAAGAAATAAATATAAAAGCTATCTTTATCCAGGGGGTTTTTCAAAATATTTTCTTTTTCTATTTTGAATAATAAATAACATTTGATTCATATGGCACATGTTGATAAGAATACAGTCTATTTAATTGTCATTAGTTCTACCCGTTATCAGATAGTAAAAGTTAGATTATTGTCGGAAAGTGTTTCTAATGGCACTCAAGTATATGCATATAGAACACATAGAACAACTGTTTGTGAGTATATCATGAAAATATTCATTGTGAAATATTTTTATATATGTAAAAAATATTTTTTTTGCTCTCAAGATGGGTGAGGTCGTTGGGTGTGATACATGTTATTAAGAACTTAGGAGTGTGGTAGTTTTCTTCAATTATAATGAAAACAGTTTCTTTAGTAGTATTTATTCAAGACAACTTTAATTATACAGATATGATTGTAATTAGCTATGGAGATAGCATCGAATGTGTGTGAACATTCCTATATCCGCTTCTTTGCATCATTCGTCTGATTCTTGGATGTCATAAAAGTGTCACTAATATTCATAAAAAATATTCTTAACAGAAAAACTAAAGAAGAAGAAAAAGAAGAAATAGAAAAATAACAACTACTTTGTTAATTACTTCATGCATAATGCTGTAGAAAATAGCCAGTACAAGTGTTTAGTTTATAGACGTTCTTAACGTATGATTTCTACCTAAGTATTCTTCTTTTGTTATTCTTATTCTTATACAAAAAAACAAAACAATATTTCATCATTGAAGTCAGAGATAATATTTCTATCGAACGGAAATGTTTGGCATGCCAGATGGCTTAACAATATTGACATTAAAACGAGTTCATAGTTCTTTCTCATAGTTATATATTCAGCATGTGTATTGCAATTTTTACATCGATTGCTGACAATGTTTTACTAATAGGCGAGTCGATTTGAGTGACAGACGCATCGTTTAAACGTAAAAAGCTCTGGTATAGTTCCTCCTTCTTTTTTTTAATTACTTCAAGTTACAAATAATTAGCTTATAGTGATGATCAAATGTCAATCATATAGGATGTAAATAATACTAACGATGACGAAGAAGAAGCTTCCTTCGTAAATCAAAATATTCTACTCTCTTTTTCTCTCTCTTTTTTTTATAACTTAGCTGCCGCCAAAAGAAGTGTTGTTGAATGCAGATCTGGTATGTTTCGACTCTCCATAACTTTTATAGATAAATGTTTCGTGATCACTTTTTATGTAAACAATTTTTAGAAATATTTTTAGTTAAAAACAAAAATTTCCCTGTGACATATTGCAGTTTTCTAGTAACTTTCTGATCATTTACATTCATTGAATACAAATTGCTAATTTCTTCTTAATGAAAATATTTTTATAACTCTTCGAAGATATATCTATCTACTTCATTTATTGCTTAAATCTTCTTTTCAGTAAAATAGATTAACAAATATGTTGAAATTATTCAAGATTTGTCTTCTTAATTATTTTTTTTTCTACAAGTAACCTCTAAGGAAAAGGTTTTGACAGTTAGACTTCATTAGAAACATAGTATTCATATTGATGTAAAGAATCTATTACTATTCAACCGAAATATAACATTTTTTTAAAAGAAAGAATAATAATTTCCAGATACACTTGTTTATAGACAGTTTTTAGTCGGCTTACAGATGATTATGCCAACGTAAGGATGAACATGAAGAAAAATAAGCATTATTATTGATGATTTTAAAAAAAACGTGAACTTTCAATGAAGGAAAAATTCATTTTTGAACAGTATCGGCTCTTCACGAAACAAGGCCTCCTTCAGAAATTTTACATTGTTGATAGTTTTATTCACATAGAAAAAGGAATCCTTTTTTTAACTGGATATTGTTAATATTTTATTTTGTCATTTAGATATTTTGAATCGAATAATTAAAAATGAATGATTCCAATATAGCTAGTGAATGTTCAGAACATAAACTGCTACCATATTTAGCGGCAATATGTCCATATGGTTCATCGAATAATATACAGGGTTGTAATGATTTTCGAATACTTCTGTTTTTTCTTAAGGCTGATTGTTATATAAGCCAAGTATTTCATCCAATAATTCGAACACTGATAGTGATTGGTACCATATTGAATTTATTTTCTTTATATTGCTTTTTGAAAATGAATAAACGTAATTCACAAAACGTTTATTTATCAGTATTATCATTAGGTGATACTATTAATCTACAAATTAATTTTACCTTACCAATGTTAAGACAGAATGAAAGATTTGATAACTACTTCAGAAGTTCAACAGTTTTATGTCGTATAGCTGGTGTATTAGCAGAGTTTTTTTTAATATTTCCAACATGGATTGTTGTTTTATTAACTATGGAACGTTTAATATGTATTTCATGGCCATTGAAACGTCGTTCATCATACACACAAACCCGAGCAAAAACATCTATACTTATTTTGGCAACACTTGTACTATTATTAAGTATCTATCGTTTATTTGATTTAAAAGGTATTGACCAAGCTAGTGTATTTTCTGTTCTTGCTTGTAATGGAAGCTATATATCTGTGGATTTTATGAGAGATTTAAATCTAATGATATGGACTATTGTACCTGAATGTTTTACATTAATAATGAGTTTAATTATAATCTATCAAATCAAATTAGCTACACAAAAATTTCAACCAAATTATTCTAAAGCTCGTCAATTGAAATACAATCAGGCCACAAAAACAGTTTTATTAATATCAATTTTATTTCTTTGTTTTCATACACCAACGGGTATGCTTTTGAAATGTATATTTATCTCTACATAATGAATATTTTATTCTTCTTTTATTTCTAGGAATTTTAATTGCTTTAGATTTATTTTATGGACGTGATGACAAAACATTGGGTATTGTGATAATTCTTGTTTCAAGAAAATTGACCATTGTTCTTTATGAAATAAGTTTATGTTGTAAATTCTTTATCTATAATCAAACTTTTCGAAATTTTAAGTAAGTTTTTTTTTTCTATTGTTTCTTTATTTGTAAGATACATTTTAAATTAAATAGAAAATTTAAACTAATTGTTTGAGTATTTTTGTTTTCATAGAGGAATTTTGCACACATCTATTTTTCGTTTTACTCGTCGAACAAATTCAGCTAAATTAGGTAGACCTGTTCTGGCTAATTCGCATGAACATCCACAACGTCGAACAATTCATTTTGGTCCAAAAAAACAATCAATTACATCTCCGATTAGTCAAACTGATTCGTTGATGAAAAACGTTGAAGAACATCATAACATCGTCAAAACTCATCCTCTACAAACTCGCCCAACCAGTCTATCAAGAATCAATCGAGAACAACATCAAACAATGACTGTTATTATAAATAAAACACATGAACCGATGCATGTCTCATTATCACGAACATCTGATCTGTTGAAACAATATTCAATAGATAAACGTCGACCATTAATACTAACAGGGTCACAAATAGCATTATAAAAGAACAAAATTTATTCTTTTAAAGACATTAATTATTGTTTCTGTTTTTGCTGTTGTTGGTATTTTTTAATGGAGTCATTCATTTTTCAGATAAGTAGTTAATCATTTACTTATTTTTATATTGTTTATTAGTATTTCAAAATAATAAATAATTAAACTTAAATGCCGTCTTTGCTGCTTTTGTTTTGCGCTTCAAATTTATAATTAATGTTATGAGTATGAATATATTTATTCAGCGAGTATGTTCACACATATTTATCGGATATTATAAGATTTTGATTAATGATATTGACAGAATGGTTCAATTTCCTCTTTTCTGATTAAGCCGTGGGCATGCAAGTATAAATAAATTTTTCTAGTTCATTTTATCAACTATTCATGACCTGAGGCTAACTAAAACGAATTGATTGTCTGAACAATATAAGAATAAAACCTTCTGTATATATATATATATATATATATATTTGCGAAAATAAATAACCTTGAACAAACATGCACGATTTTCAATTGAATCTGTCCTTCTACTTGAACAGGCTTCTTCTTTACTCTTTCATTCACTCAGTCACTCACTCTCTCTTTCTTTCTTTCTTTCTGAATATTATTTATGAATTGGCAACAGTAGCAGTCAGCACCATTATAGCTTGTTGCTTATCAAGTGAGTCATTTTGATTTTGTGCTAAACTTAAATTTGTTCGTTGTCGATTTAATTTATAATCCATTTGGTGTTGCTGCTGATGTTGTTGTTGAGGTTGATTCGGTGTCGTTGTATGTAATATACGCACTTGTTCACGCGAATGATTAACATAATTAAGAAAATTTTGTGGATTTCGTAAATCATTTATCAATACGGATGACATTCTTGGTGTTGACGTTTTTTTCTCACCTAATATTCGTCGTAAAATGATATCATCATTTTGTGGACGTTTTACACGTGCAGAAAAATTCTGTTGTTTTAAATTACGTTGACGTTCAATTTGTTTTATTGATTGACGAATATAATCGTATACTGTACGATATTCATGATATTTTCGTGGTGATAAATCAGATGTATGATGTGACGATGAACTAGTAGTTTTTAAACGAGGTAACGGCTGTTGTTGTGAATGTTGACTGCGTGGTGATGGTGATCGTGAAACTGATTTATGAGAACGATAATCACTACTAGTTGTAGCTGATTTTTCTCGTTTGATTTCGTCCAAATAGGTATTTCTATAGGCAACATCGGGTGCCTGTGATATATGTCCTATTTTATCCGAATGTCGTTGCCAAGTATTAGGAGACCCTGATGAATCACGACTATCAGAATTGTGATGATTAGAATTTGAACCAATAATATGTGCTGTTGCATGACGGTTTTTTCGTTGACGTGAACGTAGTTCAACAGAAACATTAGAATGAGTTTGGTGATCTTTAGTTGAACTTTGATTGCTCGGTGTTTTTAATAAAAGTACACTAGGAGGAGGTGTAAATTTTTTACGAAAACATAATGTTAAATCGATATCGGCACCAGCCATTATTATTTTGTGTTTGCTTTATTCGTTGTTGGCTAGTTAGAGAATAGCGAACTAATGTATGTTCACATTTCTTTTCACCGTAACTAGACACTTGAATGACAAGTATTCTATATAATAGTTACAACTATAGAGGTACCTTAATTCCATTTAAAAATTTTTTTTAAATGTTCGCCAGTGTTATTATTTCACTCCATTCCAATGTATGAATATATGCATGCATTTTCTGTGTCTGTTTCGATTGACTCGAGGTGCACCCTTCAGATTATTCAGTTTTCTTCTTCTGAAATGGTGACCGTTATGAAATGTTTTATGTGTGATCAAATTTATAGTCATCATTTTCAAACAATAATTAATGAACTGTTCAATGACAGAAACAAAAATTAATTAATTAAGAGTCTCATATACTTGAATACTGTTGATTCTTTTTTTTCTTGTACAAATCTTTGTATTTATATCCAAGATATAAACGACTTAATACATGCATAACTTAGATATGGTTCGATAAAGATTTATGATTTAAAGGAATTATATGTCATCGTGTTAAAAGATAAGAATTGAGATTTGACACTGCTTTTTTTTCTTATTGAGTCTTGATGAACTTCAAATAACGAATAATTTTTCATTTTCTCTTTTTGCTTTCATTCTTGACATCAGATTCAAGAGCAAAGATTACTTTTCATGGTCGTCGATCCTCAAGAGTAAATAAATATCCTTTTGTTCGATTGACCAAGGACTTAATTTTATGCTAGAGGTGAAAGCAAAGTTTAAAATACATTTCCTTCTTTTGGAGAAAAGCATGAAAAATTTCAATGAAAGAAAACTCGTCACTTCCTGTTTCTTTTAATATACTATGATTATCGTCGTTGACATCATTCTATCCATCATTATTCATTCTCTTCTTATTGGCTTATGTCAACAATATACACGAACACAATAGTAAGGTGAAAGGAGACACGAGTGAAAAAAAGAAGTAGAAAAAAAAAGAAGAAAGAAGAATAAAATGAGAATCGAATGTTGTCGCTATAGTTCTGATTTCGATACAATACCTAACTTATTCATTGACGTCTCTTTTACTGATAGAAATAGAAAGAACAACGCAGAAAAATCATAATCTCTGTTCGTAATCGCGAAATTTCAAAAGCAAAACATCAAAACATTCACCACTTCATTTTCATCTCCTTCATTATGACAGTTTAAATGTCTTTTTAAGTACACGAACGTTTATTTTTCTTTTCTGATTCTTAAAATTTTTTCATCTAGTAGGTCGATAAATATATTTTTGTTGGTCTTTTTTGTTGCTTATCAAAAGTCTTTTTTTTTTTGAGTAGTACGTGCATACATGCCAACATCAAGTCAATCAAAAATCCTTTCTGTTATTGATTATCAATCGGTTCAACAACAGCCTATTGGTCAAGATGAAGTATCCAAGCAAAACGTTCGTAGTTCTGCTAATAAAAATTCACTAAATGAAACAAAACGGCGTCATAGCAAAGATGAACGTCGTGCATCAGTCGAAAATAAAAATGGTGAAGATAATCATGCTCCATCACCATTTAATTCAAATGCTCGACGATTAAATTCAGGCAAAAATAATGATGGTAAGATTTTCAATATAATTAACATCTTTTTTTCTTTTTCAAACACGTATGTTTCAAAGCAAAAATTCCAATTTTTTTCCAGCAAGAATTAGAAATATTCGGAAATGTCAGAGACATTTCAGATGTATGCATTATGATCATTCTGGTCCGTCATTTCGTAAGGGTATGACTATAATACGATTGCTCGCTCCGCTTAAAAGTTTCTTGTCGTAAATCACAGTCGTTGAAAAACAAAAGGAACAGATTTGAACAACATATAATCTTTAAATATATTTTATATTAGGTTTACAATCAACACGGGCGACTCAACGTGGTGCTGATATACTACATGTACCTGTTATCAATCTTAATAATATGGCACAAAATCAATCACGAATACCGTCGAGTTCTGTTAGTGGAAATGATAATCGACAAAATCGAACCGTTAATACAAATGACGGTACAAAATTTACATTAGCTGATGGAACAATGAAATTATCTCAGTATCATCGAAATTCAATAGATTCAGAAAATGATACTCAAATGGAAATTAATAATCAATCAAAACAAATAAAAAAATATCCAACACCAGTTAGTGCTGACGAAAATACAACATCTGAATCAGATATAGATCAAGGTGATGATGATAATGGTGAAAACAATAATGATGATTCAAAACGTGAACGACGATCAAGTTTATTAAATGAAAATGCTCGACGTTTACTTATTTTGGGTACTATACGACCATCAAAAACTTTCTATAAAAATTTATCGGACGCTGATGCTGATCATCTTATGGAATATTTTCGTAAAATGAAAACTTCACATCAACGACTGACGTCAGAAGAAATACATCAAGAATTATCAACTAAATTTGTTGAATATAAACCAAAGATATGTAAGTGTAGTTCTACTTTTATTAGCTAAGTATAATCTTAACATATTTATTAAACTATAGAATAGACACTAAATATTTATCTGTAAATTTATATATATTTAGTTTTTGATTCGGCTTCTGTAACAAAACATCAAGTAACAGATATCGAAAAAATAGTTGAGCAATATGCTGATAAAATTCGTACTCAAAAGGCTGAATTTGCTAAACTTGATAATCCAATGCGCTTTGTTATAAGACAACTTGATAATGATAAACCATTAACAATTATACCACGTGAATATAATGATTGCTTTATTACACTTGTGACACGTTCAGATCCATTACGTAAATCAGATTTAGTTACTGGACTTGTCCAGGAGAAACTTTTAGAAGATGTCAAAGCTAATTCATTAGATATTAGGTAATGAAAGACAATTAAAAGGCGCGAAAAGTGCCTATTAACACAACAACTAACATATTTCCTTGTCATTTCAGTTACTTTCCCGGTGGTGTTAATTATGATGTACCACGTGATGAAATTGATGAAGATGGTCAAATGAATTTGGAGACATATCAAAAATTAAAAAAGCGTTTGAACAGTCGTAAAGTTTGGTACTTTGATGGACCACCAGAAAAAAAACCAAATGCTTTCTTAGCTACTGTTCCACCAGATACAACAATTACAATTGATCATCAACGTTTACTAGATGCTCTTTATGATCGTTTAAGAAGTTCATCAACAAATGCTAATTCTACGATTGAACAACAAATCCTATCAATTGAATTCTCTCCATTAAGTTGTATATTTAATTCAAATGATATATCAAATCAATTCATTGTTGATTGTGATACAATGGAAACAAAACAAAAACTATTGGAAAAACCTTTAAGAATTGTTTCAAATAAACATTCAGTAAATCTTGAATTACAATCCTACGATGAAAATATCCAAAGAGAATATGAAAAATTTATTAAATCAGAAAAATATCGAGAATTAATAAAAAACCATGATTCAGCTGTTAAACGAGCATCAAAGACAAAATAGTGGACGTTATATAATTTCCTGTGGCGTTTTTTTCCTTTTTTTCAACATCATAAATATATAAATCATACAGCAAATAATCAATTAGTTTTATTGCTGTTGTTGTTGTTCTGCTTGTGTAACATAAATGCTAATGAAGGGTTTTTTTTAAATTCAGTTACATAAATGAGCTTTTTTTCTTATAGACGAGACAACTTGCACAGCAACGTTGACTAGCAACAAAATACACTGGTTCCTCTGTTAAATTGCAATTAATATTTAAGTCTAGCACATACTACTTCCGTTATTATAATACACATCGATTTAAAACGTGCCTTTCTACCATAAAATAAGTGAAGGCAAGCATATAAATCATCGGTGAAATCTTTTTATTTTGATTGATGTATAACTTATTTGATTTTGATCCTAACATACAATAGATCAATAAAAACAACACACTTGCATGCATCTTGCAAACTATATTCTACTGTGAAATTGTGATTGCTGCTGATAAATCATAAGCATGATATATTTAAAAGTCAACTAGAAAATGATGAAGTCATAGCTTCGAGTTCAAGGTCAATGGGTTCAAAATAGAATAGAGTAAAAGAAATGCGAAGAGCTTGCTCAATCGTTTAGTATGGCACTAACGGGAATTTGAATATAATAATGTTAATGGATACCTGTGAAAATGTCAAATCATAAACCTCTAAAGTGAATAAATAAACGTGACAGGAGCACAAGAGATAAAGCTAAAAATTTATGAAGAGTAAGAGAATTGAGCAAAGATGACTTTTAGAATAAGTTTATTTTAGAAGATGTATCATGTAATACTCTATTCGCAGTTGAAGAACAAGTTTTTATGGCTATTGTCTAAATATGAATAGACTAGTAACATAAAAAACAGATATTTTATCGTACTGTTTTGCATCAGGAAAAATAAAAAGAAAGTCAAATGTATTAAGTTTTTGTTTTTTGAATATTTATTATTCATGTATTTATCTGGTCTATTAATGCTGAACGACCAATATGATGCATTGAGATCTTCAAAGCACAAGAATGTTCACTCACTCACATATAAAACATAAATGAAATGAAACTTCGATATCAATCGATCTGAACGCTTGATCTTGAAATAATTTTTTTCTTGTACTGCTTTCGGATACATTATCTAAACAATAAACTCAATATACATATAAGTGTGTTCTTTGCACTTAGAAATTGCTCTTTCTTCCCTATTCAGAAAAACGACAAAAATCCATTAAACTCAACAAAGAAAGAAACAAAAAGAAAAGTAGAACGAAAGTTGAACTTGAACAACGCATGGTAAACGTATCTTGAGAAGAAATCAGTACTGGGTGTTTTCGCCAGCTTCCTTTCATCGTTACACAAAAGTCCTTTGATCTTTCATCGAGTGGTTTCACCTTGTAGAAGTTTTTTATACTGATCATTTTTTTTGTCATTGTATCATAAAAACTGTGAAGAAAAATAAGAGAGAAATCGAAGAAGTATTAAAAGTACCCAGACTCGAATTTCTTTTTCCTGTGCTCGTCATGATTTTTTTCTTGTTACCGCTTAGTTCGCGCAGTATAATAATTCGGTCGATACAGATTACCATAATGAAATTGAAAGACAAGTTCCATTCAATATGTACGCTATATTTTTAAAATTGAGTGGATTTACTATTATTAACAGCTAGGTGCTTTCAATTCTTATTATTTCATCGTTGATATATCTGTTATGATCTTTATGCACAATCTACATTGTTTCCGTCTAAAATTTCTAGCTCATATACACGTTATTAGGTTTCTGTAATCTTGAATTAGTTTCAATTGAAGTGAATCTAAAGCTTTTAGAATAGATGACAAAGAAAAAGAAAAAGAAATAAACTACCGTCCAGTATAGCATTTTTATAATCATAAAAATATTGAGTAATTTTTAATCCGAAGAGCAGTTATTTACTTTTAGAATTGTTTTGATTGCACATGAGCTTTGTTGCAATACTTTTAAATTTTAAAAGTACGTAAACAGTTATGAGAATTTTATTTCGTAACATAAGTGAAACATGCGATAATGTATCTTTTGAAAACAAAGACAGATAAACATCTTATCGTAGAAACACATGTAGAACAATCAATGTGAAAATATTTATCTCATACCAAATATTACTTTTCTGTCTTATCAAAACAACAAGTTATTTCTTTCGTATTCACGTGTTCCATTGGTCTTTTGTATTTTTATTTACGTACATCTCGATAATCGCTTTGTTTTAAATACACACATCAAAAGAAAAAATTATTTTTATATGAAATTACTTGGAAGTTGTTGAAGAATTCAAATGTTTGGTAAAATCCAAAGTTAACCAATTCTAGGTGAAATCACCTGAAGAGAACATCTGCTAACGATCTATGGACGGTGCTGACAGGACAATGAGTGTAAAATTTTACTCTATACAGTCCAACATCCTGTTTTTTTAATCATGCTTCATAAAACAGCCATATTGATGGAATATACGGAGGATATTATTTTTCAAAAATTTTCTATTAATCGATATCTACATACATTTGTAGCTAGTATCTAGTAATATTTATTTATTTTTTAATTTCAATCGAACATATTTGAAAGTTAATTTGTTATCCGCCACCCATATATACGCCAATGAATTTTTAAATTAACATAAGTTTATTTTTAACTAAATACATTTTTCAAATATTAAATGAAATTTTTTTGGTTCAGTATTTTTCTTTCACAAAATTTTTTCTATTTGAAAATAATACTTGAATAAAGTTAAACGCAAAACAGTAAATACTTGCGGTATGTGAAGATGCTGGTACAGAAAGGGACAATTAGAAGACTTACACTTAGCGATACAACAGTGACGGTATTATCGGCAACCGTTCCGTCTCTACGTTACACTTCAATGAGTTGCATTTACTTTTCTATAAAATAATAATATTTTTGATGGTAAAAAAAAGGAAAAATTTCTTTGTATTTAATTGAACAAAAAAAAAACGATGAATTGAACACGAGTTCATGAGATATATTGAATTTACGGCAAAATTTTTAACTAATAAATCGTATGAAGTGAATGTACTGGTACGAATTCATAGCTGTAGTATTATAGTAGTATGGTTATATTTTGTCACATATAGAGTTGATTTTGAAAGACTTTAGTTTTACCGAAATTCAAATTCCCTACTATATACTATTTGGGACGCCAATATTCATATGCACCATGATGTTTAACGACTAATCGAACAATAGATTCATGCGATCCATATAGATTATATTCACGATCCAATCGAAACCATTGTACTTTTGATGCATCATCGCCTATAAAAAAAAAAGAAAGGAAATTTAGAAAACAACGCGCATAATTTGTTTTTTAGTTTTATTTTCCTTCAATCATGAATGTTTTTTTCAATCAACTTTTTTATGATTGATTTTGATTTACTAACAATTATCTATCATCAATAGATTTATTTATCGTTGATAAAACGTCTAAATATGATAATACGATCAAAAAGAAAACGAACGAAAAGTTAGTAGAAAATACATCGAAATTCAGTTCACCACGAATTACATCTCAAATGAAATCTCTCATAAAGCCACCACCACCACGTAATTCTTGGGAACTGTTACTCGATGATTATTTAAAACACTCTAATGTTAAAACAAACTTACCATTTGAATTATCACCAAATAGTCCTCCATTAAAACAACAATCAACAAACCCTTTATCTCAACCTGTTTCACCTAATCTATTTCACGAAACATTTATTCCATCGTCCCATTATCAATATCCACAGTATTCATCTAATACTCCATATGAAATACCATCTTGTCTTCCTCCACGTCGCTATAAAATGACACTTGATGAACTTGTTTATTTAATAAGTCAAGTAGGTCGATCTGATTTATACCGTGAAATGGTACAATACGTTAAAGCACAGCAAATATCAACATCTTCTCATGTCAATACTAACTCATCAAAAATCAATACTTATTCAAAGAGAAGAAGAAGAACAACAACAACAGAACCATTTCTATGAAACAATAAGAACAAGCACCGAAATCATAGTTCTTCTCGAAGTCAAGATGAATTAATTAAAAAATTAAATCGAATATAAAAAAAACTAAATAATTACCTGCTTCTAATATTAAATCTTTTGTTAATTCACCTATTTCATCATGCATATTTATCGCTTCAGATTCCATCCAAGCATTATCTAAAATTAAACAGACTGATTAGACTACTGTCTTATCTTTATTTTGTTTTTCACCTGTATTTCTTGGATCATCAATGTAGCCCTTATAAATCTATTTTAAAAAAAAGATAAACCATACAGTTTATTTTAAGTTTATGTATAAAGTGTTACTTACTGTAATGGTCTTTTTAAACAACGTCTCAATTTGCTTAGTAGCATCAGGATTCGAATTCATAGCTTCTTCAATAAATTCTCGTTTGACTGTTTCTAATGTATATTCACTAAACAAAACAAAAATGCAACAATAAAATATTTGAAATGCACAATAGATACCTACCCTGGATCAACCATCCCACCAGGTAAGGCTAAAGTACCAGTATCTCTTCGACTGATGAGTATAATTTCCAAAGTTTTATTTTTATTATTATCTTGTTGATCTTTCGACCAACGTGTAACAATAGGATCACCGGCATGATTTGGTCCCCATCGACCAAGTAAACCACGGCCCGATACTAACAGATAATTTTTCATAGTTAATTTGAATTAAAAATCTGTTCACTTTTTCACATACGTCCCGTACGACCTTTAGGATTTCTCGGTCGATTTGTTTGCTGATCAATGTCATATTTACCCATAAAACTTCTTCGGTCAATTTTTCCATCAAGTTCATTGTAATGTTTAATTTTAGTTCTATATTTAAACAAAATTAATATTGCCTTAATAGAGAAAAAACAAGCATTTTCCGCAACATTATTACGTGTCTGGATCGTCAGCCCACGGTGGATTTTTTAAAACTTTTTTTGCTGTATATTCTGTTGGTTTATAATCAGGCCAATATATATTCCACGAAACTTTTTCATCGGGCACGATTGCTCTCTGATTAATATTAAATTTCACGGATGATTTATATTTTAATCTTATAAAATCTTACATGAACATCTTTAGTACCGGAATAAGGCGATCTACTGGCTCCTATATGGACATTGGTCGCTATTATTGGTTGAATTAATTTCGAAACTAATTGTCGAAAAATCAGATGAGAACATTGCTGTCGATATGTCCACAAAATACTCATGAAAATTGGTAAAATCAATATAAATTTTGAAGTCAGTTTAACTGATCTATTGTTATTTTCTAGAAAAGAATAAATAAAAGCATTAATACTTTCCTAATTTTTACTGTAAAATCTAACAATAAAAAAGCGCCTACAACTAATATGTGCTGATCATAACTATTTTCATAGCTTAGTTCATAGAAAAAAAGTAGTCATATGACAAACAATGTGTCGTCTGGATCGTTTCCTTATGTATAAGCTTATATCATACTTTTTGTACAACTTGAACATTAGTACGCGTGTATATCTAAAGACTAGAAAGGCAGACACATAGCTTAATGAATTAGTAACATAAATGATAAATCTTCGTTTTTTGTTTTTACTCGAATGATTCATTTGAACATCTGGAAGTTCAATGCAATTGATGTATCAGTAAGGAAAATTCAACAATCGAACTCCTGTGATTTTGCTGAATTCATTTAGATAATTATTTTTTCAATAACTCTTCACGCTATTGAAAAACTGCAGACATCTCAATAGTTTAATAAAAACAATAATGATTCAGGTGAAATAACAATGGCTAGTCTTTTTATTTCCTATAAATGAAACAGGCATAGGTGAATCACATTCGGTTTTATATAAAAGCACCAAAAGATCGATTGTGATAGAAAGAAAGAAAGACAGAATACAAAACAAAAAGAAACTTGTTAGAAAATCTCAAACTATACTAATAACATCATCACTGAGTGGCAAATTAACCTAAACAATAATAACAAGCACGCACACTATAATTCTCTCTGTTGGATGTTTTTAGTTTGTCGAATCATTTTGATGATGAAACTTTAAGTCCATTTTTCGAAGGTGTATAATAATCTCGGCAACGTTCATAAAATGCCTAAATTATAAAAGAGTGAAAATTGATTATTTGAAAATATGATAAAACATGTTTATTTGATTTACTTTTTCAGTGTTGGTGTAAACAATTTCTTCGACATTTCGTTCATTTTGTAATTGTCGTCGTTGAAATGTTAATGCTTTACGTCGATTTTCATTCAAATCATTTTGTGATAATGAATCATTGGTACGTGATATACAAGCACTAATCAATTCATTTCGATATGTTGCACGTGAAGCAATCTAAATGTGTTAAAATTAAATTTCTACAAAATGCTAATAAATGTTATACTTCATCACCAAGTTTTTGACATTGTTTGGTTGCATCGGAACCTTGAGAACGAAATGTAGCTGTGAGAACGGTTGTATTCAGTGTATTCATTATTAAATCATCCATTTTTCTTAAATCTTTTAAATGATTTTGAAATTGAAGATAATCATCACACATATGAAGATCTTTTTTTATGTCTAATACGCTCATTAGTATAGATCGTTGGTTCAGAATTCACAACAAAATGAATGCAATTAACGAGGAGAATGGTGAGATTATATCTTAGAATATTATTCTAGCGCTACAATCAATTTCAAAGGAGTTTCATTTGTTAAATGGTGATTTATTTTGGATGGTTTATCTATAGTTCCAATCGAAATACAGACTGAATCATATACTGTAAATGCAATAACTAACCGTCTAATTTAAAAAAAAACAACAACATATAAACGGAGCTGTGCTTAAGTCAATTTAGTTTGATTCGATTTTGCATGAATACTAAAAAAGAAGAAACCTGTCTGACATCGAAACAAAACTGCACCATTAGAAATGAATAATTCAAATTGATAAGCAACATATTTCGAAATCTTCGAAAGAATGGATACATGAAAGTTGTGCGAAACAGTCGACATAATCGAGAAAATTATTCAAGATAAAACAAATAGTATTCAGAATATTATACGAAAAATAAATCAATATTCCGTATATTTTCAATTCGCAAATGAAATCCGCTCGTTTTTTTTATTATTTTACCAAGATTTTGATATTCAGGAAAAGTAACACAATTACTAGATATCTGTAAAATTGTTGATTGTCATTCTCTCTATCGATTATTTCGCTACTACTTCAGTTTAGATACTTGCAAAGTTGTTTCAGCATGTAGTAACATTTTGTACATTTCAAACAATATAAGACAATATTAAAACAGGCGGTCATCAGTGTTGGCGGAGCCGTTAGGCCTGGGTAGGCCCAAGTCTACTCTATTGGTTGGCGTAGGGTAGAATCAAACTAGGAGAGCGAAAGGTTTGGGTAGGCTCAAATCTAACATAGATCGAAGGAGATTGGGTTTAGGTAAACTTCAAATAGGGCACAACAAGGACCTGATAGACTCGGTAAAATATAAAACTTTTCTATTAATGTTTATTTTCATACTTTTTCGACCAATGACGCATTCTTAGATTGTCAGTCCACATTTCAGCTACTTCTAACTTTTGTTCAATGGCATATTTTTTCAATTTCATTGATATATAATTAAGTTGACATCGAATTTTTTCTTCTTCGTATAAGATAATTGAATTTATTTTTCCAAATTCTATTAAAAATGATTTTTGGAATTTTATCGTTGTCACTAAAATCAGGTAAATTGTAGAGGTTAATGGCAGTTTATTCGAAAAAACGCTGGCTACTGACTGTAAAAGAGCTGGTTAATGAAATTCTATTCAACAATTCAAATGATACTAAAAGTGAGTCAGGATTATGCGCAGAAATGTCATAATTCAAAGCAATAAAAGCCTCACTATCAACATGATGAAGCATTTGTACTGATTTTATTTTAGAAAGTCAAGATAGGAAAATTTTTTAGCTACAGAATAATTCTATTTCATGGCAGATTATTTCTTCTAGTGCTATTTTTAAGAACCATGTTCAGTTACTTCGCTAGTTTCTATGGTCTCAGGTGCAATTGTATATTAAATAGTTATCACGTTCATAAAAAAATCAAATCTAGGAAGACAATCAAAAACGACCATCAGTGTAAAAAGAATAAATAAACAAAAATACTTTTTTTTTTATCTCGTTCATATCTATCAATAAAAAATAGGGCTGGAATCAGATTGACATGAAATAAGCAATTTTCTTAAAATAATGAGTTTTAATCCATTTTCAAACGGTTTGATGAAAAAAAAAGCAACGTAAAACAGCGAAATTTCATGGATTACACGATTGAAACTGACTATAATCGGTTAAGACTTCATAAAAACTAGAGTGTAACTGGTGCAAACCACGTTAACACTTTTCATTTGTCAAAAAGAAAATAAATTAAACTCAAATGATAATAATCAAATTTGAATCCTTTATTTTCACATGGACAGACATCATTTTGCTATAAATGTGAGCCTACCCTAGGCTGGAATCGTTCCGCCGCCTCTGCTAGCGCCGAGCGAAGCGTCGTAGGGCTGAAGACAGTGATGCGGGTGTGAATCGAAATCTATCGACTTTGTGAATCACGAACGATAAGCGGTGAAGAAGGCATGAAACAGTACGTATTATATGAATTATATAATAAGAGAAAGTGAATACATTAGATAACGATAGAATATACAGAGAAGAAAACTAATCAAGAACAAAAAATTTAATTTGATCAATCTGATAGTGTATTTAAGGAGAAGAAATTGAGCGATTTCAGAGAAATTTGCATAAATACAATTCCGATGTCAACAAAGATAAAATTATTAATTGTCGATAAACATCTTAGAACATCATTCTGAACAGTTTGATAAGTTCAAATGGTAGGCATGCTCCATTTCAACAAGCACAAATACACATTTGTGCGCTTTCAACTTTAATATTGCGAATTTACGCATCGTATTATATTCTGTAAGACACATATTAATTGAACAAGAGATATCCTTGATTGTGAAATATCTAATCTCAAGTTTGTGTACTCATTTCCCTCTATTGGCATAGAAACCTAATCATGCGAATAAAATTTTCTTAGAAATACCTCATTGAACCTGTAGTATATAAATAAACAGCTTAGAACTCTATGACGCTTTGCTCGACGCCACGACGCTTCTCTTGGCACTAAAAAGTCTAGAAACTAATTTTTAGAAAATTAGGTTTTTTTTAGGATTCAATGAATTTGTCTAAAATTGTTCCAAAAGTTCAACCCGAAAATTCCGTGGTCCGAAATTCTGGTCTCCCGATATTTCAATTAAGGCGAGCATATTAAAAGGATTAGATGCATTAAATAAAGATGAACTTGAATCATATAATTTATATATTAATGTTCATAAGGTAATGCGGTTGATTCCTAGATAGAATACGTATTAATCTTCATTCTAACTGAGCATGTTCATTATTCAGTATGGTGTTATCAATAATGTATCAGAAAATAGATTATATGCGTAATAATAATTTATATCAAGTGAATTTTTGCTACGCATAATATGACTAGGACATACTAATATGTTCATAAAACGATATTTTCTGATTGTTTATCGCTATACTAAAATGTAGCACATGAGAAAGTTTGGATCACACAATTGCACCATAGTCAATCGTTAGTTTGAACCATGTAAATAATAATTTAAATTTTCATATTGATGAGTATAATGAATAATGCATAAGGAAGCAAACGTTCATCATCTTTATTTCCTTTAAGTTCAATTTATTCGATTGTTGAAAACAATGCAATTAAGATATATGGCTGAATTAAAGAATAAAAATATAACGTCTGTACACAAAGAAAACAACAAAGAGAAGTAATCATTTAATTTAAACTAGTAAATGGGAAGACAGTGAGGATATGTCAATGATTGTAGATGTGGACTGTAATAGATTCTAAGATTCAACCGCATCGATGGTTCACATCCTCATAGATTTACGGAATTCAAATACAAACTAATCAGAAGTAGCTGGACTAAGAAAATTATAGTGTTTATTCTAAGTATTTCTTTCTTTTGAAATTTCTAACAACTGCCGATGAGTTTCATCCTCAGTATTACAAGGCTATTTTCTTTGTTGCTTATCAGAAGATAATGCAATCTTGTGTTGATTATAAGATTCGCAGATGAAACATTTTGCCGAACATAACATTTGATTCAGCTACAACAAAAAATTTCCATATCTTTTGAAGGTTTCGAACAAAATTTCCAAGGAAAAACTTATTAATAATGACTTTAACATGTTTCTAGTTCGTCTCATGTAATTGTTTATTGCCACTGAAATTGCCGATAGTGATAATAAAAAATTATGACTAAAAATTATATTGGAACAGTTAATTCAATATAGCTACGCCTCTAAGTAATTAAGTAATTTTAGATACTAATATTTGTCTCGTTTCTTTTGAAATCTGTAAAATAAAAAGTTTATATTATTGTCGTGGTTTATGAGGTAGAAAAAAAATCGGTAAACTACTATATTCTGCGGTTTTTTTTTATAAATATTAAAACAAAATATCAATATTTTTCTCTCTTGCTTCATAAATATAATTAGGACATCAACTCGATATTCGTATAGTTGCTTATTTTTCATTTTTGTCTATGAAAATCATAAGACACATTATTGGAAGACGATACGAATCAGTAGTGCATCTGGAATAGTTCTAATTCTGGAGATCATGGTTATAAAACGTATTTTGAAGGTCATGGTAGGTAAGATTAGCCACTTCTTAGGTTTTTTTCTACTGTGAGGATTTAGAAAACAATATGATTGTCTGTAGCATGTATTTATTTATTCATCACTGATAAAGTGTGCAGATGTTTTGAACCATGAAACAAAAGAAAAGCGAAGTATTTACTTTTCTTCTGCTCTCATTAATGATTGATTGTGATCGAATAACAACATGTCTCTTAACATTGCATACAATGATTAAATAGCCATGGCTAGAATAATCGATCACTCTCTGTCTCACTTATTCTTATTGAATTTGTTTTGTTTGTATCAAGGTTTGATTTCAAGTGTAATACTTCTCAATATGTTAAGAGCTCATACCCAAATTGATCCAAAATCTTAGAATAGCTATTGTCAATGCTAAGAAAACAAAATATAAGATAGAAAGAAAAAGAAAATAAACTTATCCATTTATTAATCTAATCTTGGGTGTAAGTCATTCTATTGGATTAATATCTACCGCACATTTCTACTCGTTGGCAAGTACTAATTTCAGCATAATCTTTCTCTATAATATCTATTTTAATCGCATATTTGTAATTTAGTGCTATTTCAGTAGATATTCTTCATGAAGTTATAAATTAGTAAGATGTGAAGATACTTAGGGGAAAAGATATATCATTATCATTTGATAATTTCGACCGATGCCTTTTCATCTTAATGTTAAATATAACTAAAAATATAATATATAAGATCCGTACTCAAGTTAGTTTCTATTCATAACTAAAATGAATCAGCATCGATGTTGATGCATAGTATATATAAAAGTTGGATAATATTTTTTCCTTGTTTTAACCTAATAAAATTGTGGATTTTATATATTTTTTAATACTTTTATTTTTATATTTTAGCATCTATTAACCGTATTCATTGTCCTGTTTATTTATTTCAACTAACATATTCATCATGTTCAAAGTTAATTTGATTTTAATATTTATTTGTGTCGAAATATATTTCATTAACTGCTACATCATCAATAATTCGCAGGTAGGATTGATTCATTCATAAAGTGAATATTATTCTAACTCTATATTTAAAAAGAGAAATCCCTGGTCTGATTTCGATATTGAACCAAGCGATTTATTCGTGTCTAAACTTTTACATATGGAAAATTTATTTCAGCAAGACAGTTCTCCTATGAATCCATCAGATGAATCTGATGGTCGCCCAAATCATTTTCAAAAACGGGGCCGACGTAAGTTCAATTCAGTTTTGTTAAATTAAAATTTTTGATTATTGATCGTTTTCGTTTTTTCTTTCTAGAATGCTTATGGAAAGTATGTAGTTGGGCACTTGACAAGCGTTCACTTTCACCGAATCCTGGTAATAGTTTCTAACAATTATTGTAATAGAGAAAAGAATAAATTTTCGAATAAATATTTTTCCTTTGTATTATTATTTATTCTCTGAATCAATTTGCTTTTTTTATCATCATTCTATTAGAAAATAAATGAAAATATATTAATTAAGCTACCAATGACTTCATGTGATTGAATTTATTCAGATTGGCTTTTGATCGTTCTAATCGAGGTGAATCACCGGTTCCCATTGTTTTGCGATGATTACGTAATTGATGAGATTTTTCATCTTGTTTTGTGGACATATTGATTTGTTGTATTTGATCATTTGAAATTGGTGGAGGCGATGATACTACACATTTTCGTCGTTGAGCTTTTAGTGTTTCTTTTACACTAGGTAAATTTGAAATACGTATATCTTGTTCAACTTTTCGTATGAAATCATTCTTGACACGTGTATGTTCTTTCATTTTCAGATAATGAACACGAGATAAAAGTTTTTCTTTTTTCCACTGTTGTCGTTTCGCAATATCTAGTTGATCCACTGTCAAACGAGAACGATGAATATCGCGCATAAAATCCGCATAGTGATCAGCATCGAAATCATCTCGATCAATGTGTTTTGCTTTGAACAGAGACATCAGATATGAAAATAGGTGTGTGAGAAACAAGAAAGAAAATTTTCATAAATGAAAGCGTGTCTGTCGGAGCTCTTGAGAACAAACAGCAGGAGAAAAAAATTTGAGAATAAATCAATTTGTGTCGAGAACTCTAAAAGAAAAAAATGTAAATGGAAAAATAACTTTGAGAATCAATATTATTTTTTGTTGGATAAATTTAGAATAAGAAATTAGTTATAATAACTTGAATTAGTCAAATTCTGTGGAAAATAGAGCGATTTACTGTTTATAGTAACCAAAGTTCATTTATGTTTATCTAATTTGAAAATTTTTGAATGTGCAACTTTAGATACAATTTTATTTACTTCTATGAAAATTTTTGCTATTGCAACGTCATCAGTCAATCAAAACTTGGTCTCTCAAAATAGAAGAACAGCTTGAAATTGTTCTCATATATATATATATATACATTTAAGTTATTAACTGATTGCTGAGAGAAAGAAATATATATCTACAGAGCATTTAAAGGTTTTCAGGGCGAATAAATATATAATAAAATTGTTATTTGTAGAAGAAACATGCAAATTAATAACACCATTTTAAACATAGCTTTTTCGTACTCATAGGAAACAGAAAAAAATATTTTTTTTCATGTAATTTTTATTTCTTAAAGTTATATCAATGTTATATTCGATATATTTCTGAATTTATTTTTGCAATCAAACTTCATCATAAAATGAATCAACATCTTCTTAGATTAATCTTAAATTTAGATATCAATTTTATACAGAAATAATATTTCTATTCGAAACTATAAAATTAGAAGCCAAAATTACAATAGATTGTTTCAACATTCCAGAAGTTATTACGTTTATTTCAATTGATTTTGATGTTGCAGCAATTTCACAGCAGTAAACATTCTACGTATGATTGGTTTATTGTAGTTAAATACAATGCGTGATAAAATTCTATTCATCTTACTATTCATATATTTTCTATAAGTATTGATAGAGAAGAATTGAACTTTTTTAAAGAAACTTTCAATCATCGCTATTCAATTCATATATTATTTCTTTTAAAATAATTTTTCACGACTATAATGTTGAACTATGATAAATATGTAGTAATTTTATGAAGAGAAAAAAACAATGCAAAAGGAGAAACAAATCTATGAATGTAAATTAATTTATTTTTCCATAGAAAAATCATTAAAAAAAGAGATGATCAAAGCTTCATTTTTTATTTCAGGCAACTATGACATTCGTAACAATTGATAGCGGTGACATTCGTAACAATTGATAGCGGTGACATTCGTAACAATTGATAGCGGAAAAGTATAGATCTGTTGGGCGTGAAGTTTTCTACGTAGAAAAGTAACACCATTGGCATGAAATGATTCACTTTTTTTTAAAATTTTGATTAACATATTTTTATCAAGCGAATAACAGTACTTAATTAAAAGTATACTGACATGGAAACACAAAGAAAATACTTTTCTGCCTGGGAAAGACGACTATTCTTTCCTCGCTCAATGTCTTCACATCAATCCTCACCACTATTAACAGACAAAAACAACAAAAGAAATTTCCATGTGTATGCAAATTTTTAAATTATTTGTTCATACAATGGTTTCTTGTCATCAGTTCTCCCTAAAACAATGTGTCACATTTTCCAAGATGATTTCATCCGAGTCCACCTTTCAAATGAGTTTCGGCTGACGATTCAGTATTTTAAAAAGTGTTGCTCTGGCAGGTTAACGTTTCCATCAATCCACGCATTTTCGTCATCGCAACAAGTTCTTGATCAGTGAAGATCTTTTACCTCTTGGTAAGTTCTATTAAGCAATTAGAGAGCCTCGTATCCAGGGCTGAACATTAGTTTTGTCTTTACACTTTTCACGTAATAAATGTAGAGAACGCAAGAGTGTGATGAACGAGAAGAGAAAAATTATCACAAGAGCATATAAAATCACAATATGGCATCGTTCTTTCGTGATATATTTAGTTATAAATCAATTAACTTTATAAAGAAAAACAAGATCCATCGATTAGTAGTTGTATTGAAATTACTGAATAGAATTGTTGAATTTTTTGTATGGTAACAAAAGAGAGATATTATCATTAGCCAACCATAACTGTGTTAGAATCAAATTTTCGTGCTATACGTAAATTATATTTTGAAAGTAATGATGATCATTTGGTAATCTCACAGATTGATTGTGGCTTAATCAAACTTAACCAAGATGGGAACAAAAAATATCTGAATATCGAAGAAGAAAAATTGATCTTTCTCTTAGATAGTGATTCTAAGCATCTAACAGTTGATTACTTTTCTTCTTACAATTCTAAACTGTGAATTTGAAATAAATTTTAATTTTTAGAAAATCAACTTTGAAAAGTACCAGAAATTTTCGATACGAATAGTTTTCTTTTTCTTACATTGTCTTTAGGATATTTTTACAACGGACCTATTCGACTGAAACATTTATTTTAACAGACATAAACGAAATAAATATTTGATATAATATTAATAAAAGTTACGTTGCTATTCATGGTCATGTGTTGTTTGAATTATTGTCGTTATTTGTTAGTCTGCTCCATGTAAGATTAGCTTATCGTATTTCTTTTCGTTCCTTTTGAATTCCAATGCTCTTTCTATATTCTTTTAGGCCTTTTCAAGTGTAGTTTTTTTGAAGATCATCAATGAGTTTTCAGGTTGTAAGAAAACAAATGGAAATAATTGTCATAACAATGAAAATGCTCACTGACATTTATGAGCTATATGTTTTTCGTACAAGGAACTAATTGAATATTTTTTGTTTGTTTATAAAAAAATATCAAGTGCAGTACTTTCATAGTAAATCAAGAAACATCGTCGTATTTGTTGATAGCATAGAAATCAAAATTATTAATGTGACAACATTGACAATGACTCTATTATCAGCATCGTGACAATCCCAAGAAAGAAGAACGAACACGCATATCAAGTGGACTGTTTCCTCATCCTTGCCAATGATTGAGCCGATTCCAAGCAGCGTTTGTCAACATCAATCGAACAGATTGTCATGACTTACGCATGTTAGCATACTACAACAGTAACAAGAAATAAGAAACGATAGAACATCCGAATGTAGGAACTGCAAACATAGAAGAGACATGTGTAATCGGCCGTGAATCGTGTCATGTAAGCAAAAGAATATACATTCTTTTCAATAATAGCATCAAACTATAGACTTCGATTTTTCTTATTATACTCATACATTTTAACAATAAAAATGGAAAGTCCCAGAAGTAGATCATCTACTGAAACTCAAGAGGCAAATCTATTGCAACCTTGTAATATACCAAATAGAGCAAAATCATTTCAATCAACGGTATGTGAAGAATCTGTCGATGATCATATCATTTGTTAACATAAAATATTTAGCGTAGAAATTAGTCGTATGCATAAAATTAAATTTAAGGAATCAGTTTTCGTTCATCGAGCCAGAACAAATTTTATTTTCTAGGGAAATTTGTTTATTTGATTATTGTTAAGAAAAATCAATTGACTATGACTTTTTTGCTCCTAAGAATATTTGTTTACAGCCATCACATGCTACATATTTATATTCTGTCTACATGTCGATATTTTCTAAAACTTCATTTAGGTTCTTCGAACACAACGAATGGTGCATGTTGTTAAAACAATGAATGGTGTGAGTGAAGAAGATAATCGAACAACTCAAGATGAATTTAATGTCAGCGACAGTACACAATATCATAGACGTGGTGCTAAAACATTAGAAAAGGTATTTTAAACAGTTTGAAAATCTCGCCGAATAGTGATTGATATAAACTAATTGAAATGATCGAATTGAGTTCATTTGTTTGTTGACGTTTTTATGAAGATAAAATGAAATGCAATCTTATTAAAAAAAGATATTTGCTTTCTTTTTAGCCATGAATCGAAAGACGGAAATAAGCGGTTCTATACATTTCTATATGTCGATTTAAAACGTGTCTGTAGTGTAGCAATTCAAAGGCATATTGAATTATATGGCAATAGAAGAAAAGAAACGTGATCAATATATTCGCGGAGGAAATTTTGTTTGATTCTTAAAAATAGTTCTAAAATATTTACAAATGATTGATAGATGAAGAAATAGGGAATGCTCATTTCTATTGAAACTATCAATTTACCTATCGATCACGAACCAATTTGTAGACGCTTTGAGTTATCAAACACAATTATAGCCTCTCCGACTTTTTTTGTTTTATAATAAAATTAAAATAAAAGAACCGCGACAAAGTAATCAACTAGGGAGAATAATTTAAGAATTTTTATTCGAGAGTATGTTGAAAACAAACGTGCTGTTTATTAAATCTTTGTGTAATAGCAGACCACGATAATTATGAATAATGACAAACAGTGCCAATGAAAAAGATATCAAAATTTTCTTCACTTGTTTCAATTGAAACTCGACCACATATATGATTGAAGCGAGAACTGCTTTATGTAATTTATTAGTATTATTTATTGATTTCGTTTAAAATAAATACATCAATCTATGATCATTCTCTATTATCTAGGCAGCGTCAGAAGAAAGTAGTGAAACATCTAGTATCGTGCCTGTATTAGATCAACAAGAAAATACAAATGAAGCCATCGCTAGTTCACGTCGACTTGGTCAACGATTTATTATTCTTCATTATTCGCCATTTAAAGCCGTGTATGTTTATACCAATGCAGTTTTAGTCATTTGTTATTGTATATTTTTATATTTAATCTAGATGGGATTGGGTAGTTATTCTACTTGTTTTGTATACAGGTATTATAACACCCTATACAATATCATTTCTATCTGATGATGATCAAAAACGAACAACATTAAATACACATGCTGCTACACGACAATTCAATCGAGAACGAACAAGTATACATGTTTTAGTTATTATTGATGTACTCGTCGATTTTATGTTTATATTCGATATATTAATTAGTTTCCGGTATGTTTATTTTCTAATAATAATTATTTGGTTCACGTGTGAAATGTATTTATTTTAGAACAACATTTTTCTTAAAAGAAACCAATGAAGTTATCACAAATCCAATATTAATTGCTAAACATTTTGTTATTGATTCATGGAAACGTTTCGGTACCGATATACTAGGTGCACTACCATGGGATATTCTTTTTTTTGGGAATGGAAGTCATTCAGTAATTTCTGTTTTATTGGAAAAGAAAAAAAATCTAGTTGATTGTTTTTTTTTTCTATTGCAAAACAAACATTAGACGATACGTCTAGCAAATTATTTTAAATTAGCTCGACTTTTACGACTTGTTACATTTGTTCGAAATTTTCAAAAAACAGAATATCGAGCAGCTGTGCTACTTCTTTTAATGCTTCTATTTGCAATTGCTGCACACTGGCTTGCTTGTATATTTCATTTTATTGCTATTCTTGAACGACCTAATCTACAAGTTAAATATTCATGGCTTGATCATCTGGCTGATAAATGTAAAATGCCTTATCGTACGTGAATTTCGATCAAGATTCTAATCAAAAGTTTTCACTTATAATCAGTTACTGATGACTGCGTTCTTGAATTGATTTAAAATAATAATAATAATTGACCTGTGTGTTTTTTTTCTTCTTCTTCTTCTTCTTCTTCTAGTTGTGAATGATACATTAAGCGGACCAGATACAAAGTCAAAATATTTAACAGCACTCTTTTTTGCTATGACTTCGCTAACATCAGTTGGTTTCGGTAATGTTGCTGCGGTAAAATAATTATTTTTGCAATTTTGTTCTTATCTTTAAATTATATCTATCTATTACGAAATAGAATACAAATGGTGAAAAGTTATTTTCAATTCTTTCAATGTTAGCTGGATGTAAGTATAGCTAGATATTAGAAAATTGAATGCGTTGTTTTGTCTTTAGCTTTTCTAAGTGCTTCCATACTTGGAAGTGTAACAACAATTATTATTAAATTATATCAAGGTGCAGAAGAATTAAAAGAAATGAAACAAAGTATTGATGATTTCATTAAACATCATCGTATTAGTAAACAACTTGCTAAGAAAATGCAAGAATCATTTGATCATGAATGGAAAAACACGAAAGGTATCGATATGAATAGTGTATTGAGAACATTTCCCGAATGTATTCAAGCTGATATATGTCTTCATTTGAATCGAGAATTATTAAATAATTGTCCTGTCTTCGAAGATGCAAGTGAAGGTACACTTATATTTTATTATATAAATGAACGATTGGCTGATTGATTATTAGTTTTTCATATAAAAAAGTTTCTTCTCTTTGTTTAAGTTACACTTCGAGCATTAGCTCTTCTTTTTAAATCAACTCATGTTCCACCAGGCGATACACTTATTCATCAAGGTAATATTCAATGTCTCGATAGTAGAAGACAATTCTTTTAAATTACAATAGAAAATTATTAATTCATTATTTTTGTTTTATTGAATTTCTAGGCGATGTTCTTTATTCAATTTATTTTATACATGGTGGTCAAATGGAAATATTAAAAGATCACGAATCACTAGCTATACTTGGTCGAAATGATATTTTCGGAGAAAATCCATGTAATAATATAACACCAGGAAAGTCTCGATGTATTGTAAGAGGTATAATAACACAATATATTTTAACTATTAGAATTTCTAATACTCATCATAGGTCTCACTTATTGTACATTAAATAAAATTGATCGTGATGCTTTATTACATGTGTTTCAATTGTATCCTGATTTTGAAAAATCATTTGCTGACCGATTTCGTGTTACTTTTGATCTTTATCAAGTAAAATAAGAAAATATTTTTCAAAAATAGATATTGATCTTTGATTTTTCAGTGTAAATTAATTGAAGCAAAGCCATTTTATAAATTAGATGATGATATTCAAACACTTATTCGACAACGTCAACCAAAATTGCAAATTGAACGACAATTAAGCATAATAGGTCACTATGAAGAAGGTAAACTAGCAAGAAAACAAGAATTATCTATTGATACACTCTATCTTTGTTATTCATTTGATAGCAACTACAATTGCTGCATTACGATCATACCGTAGTGTTCGTATGAGTGCTGCTGCTGATAAACGGCGATCTATTAGTACTATTGTTGAATTATCGCCTGATCAAGCATATACGTCATCTGAAGATTTGGATTATAGTAGAGAAAAATCGAGAAGATCATTAAAACCTTTAGTTGAAGGTAAAATTTTAATTTTCTCTCTTGTGTGTTTTTTGAGAAGAGTGCGATGCATTTTATATTCGTAGGAACTTTGAGTAGTGTATTTTCGACAATTGTTGCCATGTCAAAAAGAATGAAAACAAATGTGGCAAATAAGAAAGAGGACGTCGATGAAAAATTACTATTAACAACTGAAACTAAGTTTGTAACGGAAAAGTCAAAGTAATTAAATTTCAAAGAAAAAAAAACGATGAATATTCATTAATTTAAAGACGTTTTATTTTTTCATAGATCAATAAGAAAATATGAAACAAGTCCTGTACGAAGTATGGCAGATGTTGATGCAGAATTAGCTCTTCTTCAAAGGTAAGATAAAAATGAAAAATATTTTTTTATTCGATTATCATATTTATTTTATCTTTTTGTTTTCAGTCGTTTTGATAGTTTAGAACGAATGATGGAAGATAAAATGAAATTATTGTTCGATTTTGCAAACAATATTCAAATAAAATAATAATAATAATCAAGCTAGCAATCCAAATTAAACTAATAATAGAATAGATAAAAAAAACATTTGCTTTATAATTGATAAATTAGGTTATAATAAATAAAAATATTTCATAGTGTGTGATTTCTAGTGTTACTGTTCTCTCGTGGACGAATGATCATAATACTGAGACATATATCTAAGAAGAATAAACGTTGAAATAGACAAAAAATATACCCGTTTGTAACTATTCTGATTTTAAACATCTAATAAGTATTAGTTTATTGATAATGAAAGTTAAAAACTATGCAATATAGCTAGAAAAATATAATGATGACGAGTCTGTTACCTAAAGAATAGTGATTGTCTCAACGGGCTTTTTTTTCAACAAAAATGAAGAGTTCTACCTAAAATACTGAATCCAGAGCTGTATTTTACGATGTAATTATTACACAAAAATTCATTGTTTTTCACACAAAATTTGATTCCCTATCAAATAGAAATGTTGACAAGAGGTTGACTCACGAGAGTGAAAACTTATTTTGAATCATTCAAATGAATTTCAACATTCGAAAACTCTGTATTGATCATTAATCTAATGCTGACATCAATGACAGAACCTATTCATTATGATTTCAAATAAACTCATTAAAATTTAGACTAGCAAAAACTTAACACTTCTAGTGTTCTATTTATATCAGACAATATCGTGGAAGATAGTTTCACTTTTTTTTGAAAATCAGGATATATTTTATGTCTATTTTGAAAAAAAAGAAATAAATACTTTTCCCCTCATTTTTATTGAAATGATAAGATGAACTAATCCATCTACTTCAGTATTCATTGGTGAACTGCAGCGAGTTTTTTTTTCGGGTTTGCGCAAACAGTAAATAAAAACTTTACACCGATATCAAACTCTTTTTTTGAAATGTGGGTTCGATAGAGACGCCCTCCAGCTTGCAAATGATGTGCCTTATTTCTGGAAAAATACTCAATCCATGAAGTTGGACAAGGAAAATATACCAAAAAAATCGGAGTCCGACTTAAACTTGATTCCGAGTTTTTTTGCGATCGTTTTCTGCGTAGAACTGCAGGACTAAAAACGTTTTCAAATCCAAATCCATCATTCGACAGCTATACGATTGCACTATCGAGTTCACATCTCGAAAAAGAATTTGATCTTGATGAAATGTTTTTATTTACTGTTTACTCAAAACCCGAGAAAAGTTGTTCATACAACTATTACCAAGAGGTAAATGATCTTTGCTGATCAAATACACCCGTCGATGACGAAAGTATGCGGGTTGATAACAATATTGACCTGCCAGAGCAACATACATCTAACAAAATTAAATTAACCATTCGCTTAAACATTTGTACTCAATTAAAATCTCATGTAATTGCAGAAAATTTTCCTAATTAGAACAGTTGTTTGACATGAATACGGCCATGAGTAAGTTTGTGAATGATTTAGGCATCCAATGATCTGCGTGACAATAATTTATAATATGTTACTTATTTAATTTTTTTCGAATCTTAAATAATGCGAAATGAGTCAACCATAAGAACTTTCATCATAATTTAATACGATATCCATTATTTCTCTAAAACTTTGGAAAAAGAGAACAAGAGTTTTTTTGTAAAAAGAAGTACAAAAGACTCTAATGAATTAATAGACAGAAATCTTTTCAAAAAATGAATGATTCATTAGGATCGAGATAACATGGATAGTGACTAATGAAAAATTACTTTACAGTTTAAACTAAATCCGATATACCTAACTGATTCGACGTTATGATTATTTCTCAGACTTTACACTCAGAAAAAAGACGAAAAATAAAATGTTACATTTTATTGACAATCCTAACAAAGTAATATAGTCATAATTTTACATAATTAATCATGCTTTCTTTCTAAGATTAATTTACAAAAGAAAAAAAAGGAATGAAGCTATACATAAATATTGCTTTTTCAAAAATATTATATACAAGTTTTTAGATAGTTAAGACGGATTTGTCGAATTTGTTCATTGACTCTATCATAAATGTGACCCTTAGGAGTTTTATGAACCTAGTAAGTAAAAATAAATATAAAAATACATTTAAGAATACTTCAACATACATGTTGTTTGATAAATGGTTCTAGATGACGAAGAGGAACGCTTGTACAAGTTGGATCATCACTCATGAGATATTTCATAATTTTCGGATATGCAACAATATGCTTGAAATATTTATTTCGACGAGCTTGACGTTCAATAATTGACTGTATCGATAATTTCCGGGCTTGTAAAAGTATTTTAGATTTATCCATTTGTTTTTCATCATCTTCGTCTTCATCATCGTCGTTATCTTCCTGTTTTTCATCGTCTTTGTTTTCTTCTTCTTCTTCTTCTTCTAGATTCTCCTTTTCGCCTTCGTCATCGGAATCCGGATTTGATGTTTTTGTTGAATCTAAAAAGAAACAAAGTAGATAACTAGACGGAAAATGAAAAAATTCTAAATCATACCACTATTTTCTTCTACATCTATTATTTCTCGTTCTAAAATAATCCATTAGTCATTATCATAATACTTTTCTCAATACAATTCTCACTTGTTTTTTTTATAGGTGTATCATCTAATAAATGGAAAACAGATTATTTAAATGATTTTATAAAAATTTCTTTCTTTTACCTGTTTGCGGTATTTGATTTAAAAATTCAATTGAATCTTTATTCATTTTATGAATAATTTTCATAAATCTTGCTTTTAAATCGTATAATCGCTCAGATAAAACTTGAATATCTCTTCGAACTTGTTCATCTTTAATTGAGTCGCCATCATCATCCTCTTCATCATCCGCAGTTTCTTTGTTGATAAACAATAAAACAAAATGAAAGTGTTGCATCTTTTATTTGACTTACTTCTTGATTTTCTATTTGGTCTCATCTGTAAAATGTGAAATGTAAAAAAGAAATTGTTTTCCCATAAGAGCTTTCGGCAAAATGTTTTATTTTAAAACAAAAAACAATCAAATTTGTCGATAAGACAGCCTCAGGTATGCGTTTTATTTTTAAAAACAAGAATAACAAGCTCGTTTCAATCGTCAATGAAAAGAGAAAACAAATTATGATGCTCGTTTGTCTTCTTTCAATGAAACCGTTCGATTGAAAACATACTAAAGCGAAGTAATAATAATGAATAATAATAATGAATAATTTTATTTTATATTTACTTTGTCATTAGTTGAATCAGGATCAACACTAAAAAATCCAACGCGTTCAAATTGAAATTTATCGAACGGTTTAGAATTCTTGATGCCATCATCCGCAAGAGCATTGTTATTGATTGTTAAAGAATTCTTAAAACAAGAAAAGAGAGAAAGTCAAGAGAAAAAACTGAACGGATAGTTTTCATACTGTATTGATATCCGAAAGAAAACCACCAGGTACTTCTTTAGGATCATCAGGATTTGCATGAATAAAGCTACGCGAAAAGAAAAACAAATAAAAATTATTTAAATTAACAAACAAACTTACAGTCGATCGTAGAGCCGAATTTCACATTTATTCGGATGAGATACCCAATGAATGAAACCTTTTGGTTTTGCAATTCCTTGATCTGTTGCTTTTTGACATGTTACTTTCAATTCAATTGGTTCATTATTTGAATCCTAAATAAAGAAAAAAATGAAATTTAATATTTTCCATAGAAATTCTATTTACAATTATGAACTACTTACTCGAATAATATCTTGAACTGTAATAACATAATTAGCATAACGCAATCCACAAGGTTGATTAGGCGCTAGACGTTTATAATCTTTAGCTGGTTTCTAAAAGAAGACAAGCAAAAAATAAAAACGTTTAATTCAAATTACATCATCCTGCTAACTCTTGTCCTTTCAAGCGCATAAGGGTTCAACAATAGTCATTTCATAATGTTCATTTAAAATATTTGAAAATTTATGAGATGTGTATAGGAAAATATTTTAGAATGAAATATTCTAGCATAATCTATTGAAACAAAAAACAAAAAACAAATATACGATATAACATCTGTCTATTTCTAAACTTCAATATTGATCGATTATCTTTTCTCGTTTATACATTGATGTTATTCATTTTCTATACCAATAACTAAAGTTATCTAATACAACTATTAAATTCTCAATAGACACGTTTACCTCATGAATTATATCAAAACAAACTTGATGTACCTCATTGAAATCTGATTTTTCAATATAAATAACTGAATCAAATTTTATTTTGTGCGATCCACGAGATTCATCAGCTGGAAAATTTGGTATGACCAATTCTATAAAATGTTCACTTGGAAAATTTGTAATTGTCACTTTCAATGGTTCTGTAACCACCATCACTCTGTAAAAATTATAAAATAAATTTTCTTTATGAAAACTTAGAACTTAATTTTCATACCGAGGAGCGGTAACATTAAGTACTTCACGTACACATGCATCAAGCATATCCGGATGAAGCACTGTCTGTGACATTGTTACACCAATTCGTGCACAAAATAAATTAATGGCTTCTGGCGGAAAACCTCGTCGTCTTAATGCTGTCAGTGTATATAAACGTGGATCATCCCAATCACTAAATTTTCAAATTATTCTTAAGAATGATTTCATTAGTTTTCTCTTACTGAACAACTCCTTCGGTAATTAATTTCGCAATTTTACGTTTGGATGTTACAGTATATTGTAAATTCAAACGACCATATTCCCATTGTACTGGACAATAAACATCAAGAGCATTACATAACCAATAATATGAAGAACGTCTAAATAAATTTATCCCTCAAAATTTAACAACAATTCTCTTTTTTTTCTAAATTAACAAACCTAGATTGAAATTCTTTCGTACACAATGAATGAGTAATATTTTCAATCGAATCATTCAAACAATGAGTATAATCATATGTTGGATAAATACACCTTTAGTGAAAAAAAACGTGTCAAAAAAAATTTAGAGAAAAAATTATTTTAAAATTTCTTACCATTTATCACCTGATTTAGCATGATGAGCATATTTGATTCGATAAGCAACTGGATCAAGTTTACCATCTTCCATAACACATTTCATTCGTAATGTTGCTTCACCTTCAGCGAATTTCCCATTTTTCATATCCTATTTCATAATTTTATCTGTATATATATATATATATTCTTAGAAAAATTTAAATCTTACTTCAAATAATTGTAATGATTCTTCAATTGGTCGATTTCGCCATGGTGATTCAGCAACATTATGTCCTTTTAATTCTTCACCTTTTTGATGACAAATATAAGCTAAACCACGACGAATTAATTCTTTAGCCCATTCATATAATTGATCGAATTGATCAGATGCATTAGTTATTTTATATGGTTCATACCCTACATAGGAGATTACGAAGTTCATTTCTTTAATGTCTTCATTGAAACTTACCGAGCCATTTGACAATATCAAGAATACCAGTAAAAAATTTCTCTTCTTCTTTCTCTGGATTCGTATCATCATAACGTAAATAACAAATACCATTATTACGCTAAAAATAAAACATTTCTTGAAATTTCATTGTTTTACTTTCGAGTAAATTACTTTAGCAAAACCAAAATTAAAATTAATTGCTTTAGCATGACCAATATGTAAAATACCATTTGGTTCTGGTGGAAATCGTGTAATAACCTAGAAGAAAAATTAAAATTAAGATAAAATAAATATTAGCTAAAGACTGTGATCCAGACCTGTCCACCAGTTGTCTTTAAATGTTCACGTAGAAGATCCATAGTCTTTGGTGTAACAACATAACCTTCAGTTTTGTAATTTTCACCTATTGAAAAAAAACAATATATTATTTTAAAAACAACTTTTTATTTTAGAATTAAAATTTTACCTGTCTTATGGAAATTTAAAGCTTCACCAGCTAAATCGGAGAATGATTTTATATTGCCATTTTCTTGAACTAAATTAAGCTAAATAAAAACTGAATAGAAGAAATCTAATATTTAGTTTACCATCATTATTAGTCGTTGCAGTTGGCTTGGCTTTTGAAGCTGGTGGTTTTGTAGTCTAAGAAAGTATTATTTATAACAATGAAATATGTAAAAGAAGAAAGAAAAAGTTAATTTACATTCTGTTTGCCTGTTGTACTTTTAGCTGATCTATCATTAGGACCAAGAAGGTCGAGTAACTGATTAAGTTTAAAAAAGAAAAGAAAAAATATTTTACTCTTAATTGCAATGAAACGTCTTACTTGAATATCCATTTCAGCCTTAACTACTTTTCCATCAGCCCATGGTAAACGTTTTCGAGCCTCACCTAATAGAGTGCCAACTGAAAAATCATAGCGTTGTTCAAGTAGTTGAGGTTTATTGTCTGCAATTATTTCTTCGATGATTCGCTCAATCTGTTCTGGGGTAACTGTTACTCCTATACCAGCATTTTCTTCTAATGCTTTTCGATCAACTGGTTCAGTAGGATTCGATAGAAGATATTGGATAGCAGCTACAAACAATATAGATAATATTTCTAAGAAGATATTGTGTTTCACTATTCTGGGTACCTGTTAGCTGAAGTTCATTTTTTATCTTCTCTTCGCATATATATTGAAGTAAATAATGATGTAAATTATGAATTTGACTTTTGCTCTTGGTTGCAAGTGCATAAAGAAGATTACCAATTGATTTTGATATTTGAGTTTCTCCAGATAGAATTTTTCTCGCCTAGGTAATATAAAATAAAACTGAAATAAATGCAGAAGAATAGAATGGAGATTTTTTAATACTTCACTAATATTTGTTTCAAGTAAACGAGTAACTTCTTGATTTTTTAATGTTTCTCGAGCTTTTTGCTCGTTGAGACCAATCGATTGAAATAGAGTAATTCGTGATTCATTATCAGAGGATACCGCCATTTCTCAAAAACAAAATGTATACGCAAGATGTATTATTTATTTTTTTCTCGTTTAAATAGTCAGTACAAAGGAATTTTCCTCTCACAGCTATTCAGTAGCTGATGCAATGTACCATGCGGCTTATGACACTACACCGACAGAAAAGGAAGAGGAACGAAAAGACTTATCGACTGCTTGAGTCACTGTCAAGGTTTCCATGATGCAATGCAAATTATGAGCGAACATAAACGATAGCTACTATATGAAATCATGACAAATAGAAATCATATTCATTAAAAATTGAATCATATTTTCAAAGTATATATCTAGAAATCAAAAAAAAAATGAATTCTTTTTTATCACATAAATTTAAATGACATGTTCTGTGAGAAATTGGAAAAAAAACAGCAAACTCATTTTTATATTCTACTTTCATATTAAACATTTTTTTTAGAACAAACTAGATACAATATAGTGTAGAATATGAATCTTCATTTCTTTCACAAAACTTATAGAACCATCACCGGCACCTACTTGTCGTATGCATTATACATAGCTAAGTAGTATGGGAGAAAGAATAAAGATAGAAAAGACGATGAACAAAAAAAAACATCTATGTATATAGATGTTATCACGTAACACTTTTTCAATATTAGAAAACAAATAATATATAAAGAAACAGTTATGTGATTAACAAAAGAAAACACGAATTTAAATACTATTATAAATTGTGTATCAATGAGGGGTAGACGATGTACTATACTTTCGTTTATTGTGATTTCGCTTGTTATTATTTCGCCGATGATCACTTAAATATCGATTTAATGTATCTAATGTTTTTCGTTCTTCATTTATTAAAAGATTTATTTCTTGTTCAATGCATGTTCGATCCTTAGAAAATTTCAGCTTATATGTATTTCGAAGTTGATCAAGTTCACCTTGAAACTGCTCGGCAAATTGCAACATATTATTGGTTGCAACTGATTGAATTGATTTTGTATCCGCTTCAATAGTTGTGTTTTGATTCATGAGGCCATTATAATTAGTAGCTGTGGTTGCAAGCGGAGGTGATGACGATCGAAGAGATAACTGATCGGCTGAAGGATAATCCGTAATAATAGTGCGTGGTGGTGATGACCAACCGGATTCCGTTTTCCTATTTTTTTTTTATATTATGATGAATTTTAATACTATGCAACAGTTAAGAAGAATTAATTATTTAATAAGAAATTTCCATCTGATGGACTACTCATACAAGGGCTATGAAATAACATCTAAAGTGAATGGTGAAGTATTTCTAATAGAAATTTTACATCTGACTCTCTGTCTCCTCTACAAATCAAGAAAAACAAATTTCAGGAAAGCAATTTAATCGGGCGACAAATCTTTTATGGCACTAATATTGTGATAAAAAAAAGTTTCCATTTTCTCTTGATCTTAAGAAGGAAAACCAGTAAAACTTACTCCGAAGATGATATTAATATTGACTCTTGGACAGTAGGCGGTGGTGTAGGATTTAAAAATAATAACAAACGCTGTTGGATATTCTCACGTTGAGGTGATAGTAAGGCAAATAAAGGTAATTGATTTTGCATGGGTGATCGATTAGCAATAGGCTATGGCGATGATACTTTTGATACAAATATTTATTTTCATCTCATCATCATCGGATATGTGGCGAGTCAATAATGCACTTTTTTCCTCTAATGAAATCGGACAAACCATAGTTTATCACGGCCAACAAAATAACTAGATGTCGCTGCGTTCAAATAAACATAGCTCATGCTTCTTTTAGAATATTTTTTTTTTGAATAACGTTTAATAGCAACAAGTTAAAGAACTACAATTTTTGCCATTGGAAAGAGAAGATGAAGACGTATCACACCATATATTACTGATTTTTCTAACCTGTTTTTTGTAAAGTTTACCTTTTAAAGAACAAACCTATCTCGCGCGTTGTTTACAGTGAAGTTTTAATAATCAGGCTCACATTCAAACCACTAATCGAACATCTACAAACTGCGACAGACTCAGGTGTTAAATTCAATTATTTGGGAAAATACGTATTCTAGACGAACCATTACTACGATTTTCTATCATCTCTTTTGTTTTTGCTTTTTTTAATGAAAAAATGGATTTTTCCGAAGGTTAAAAAATTGAATAAAAACACTTAAAAAATCCTATTAGAAAAATCAATGATCTACAGTTCGATGCGCCTTCATCTCTTCTTTCCAATAGTGCTGACCGCAGTTCTGTACCTTGTTGCTATTAAACGTTATTCAAAAAATGCTCGCGAGCATTCATGCTACGAGTACTTATGCGAAAGAAACAGATCTTATCGAAAGTTTAGTATTATGATGTTAGCTGAATAGTGATCAAATAGCATAGAAAAATAGAGCGAAGCACACTCTATCTATTGGTAAAAAAGAAACTTTTTTCGACTGCTGCTTGAGGAAATAAAGTACTTCCCTCACTTCTTTTCGATTGCCCTAAGTATTACTACGTATTTGGAAGCACGAATATCCAGAATTGTATTGGCAAACAAAATTCGACATATCTGCATCATACCATAGATAAAATACGTGATTAATGCCGAGAAAAGTCATTCAAGACAACATGAAAGTAATTGATTGAAACTAGTCTGAATAAGATGTTTCTCTTTGATAACTTACATTTATTATTACTTTAATAATATGGGAAGATTTATGTTTATATTCATTCTACTAGTTATATATATATGTAAAGGAAATAGAGCTTTGATATAGAAAAGCCAATGGTTACTAGTAAAACAAATTTAAGTGAGTAGTTTTATATAGTGGCGTAACCAGGATTTGTCGGGTGGTTGGGCTGAGCCCTAACGTTTTTCCAAAAATTAAAGAATTCTACTATTTTTGTGGAAGTCAGCAGAATTCTCCATTCGTTTTTCGAAACTATTGCTGAAATCGTGTTCTACCTCTAAAACGTGCAAATCACTCAGCCAAGTATTCGACGTTGTATTACGTGCGGCCATTTTTATCAGTTCATTTTACTAAATATTCTCTCGTAACTGATAAACGAAACAGGTATAGTCATAACAGCAGCGGCAAGAAATATAACAGTTGGAATTGTCTGTTTCAGTGACACACAAGCAGAGAGAAATTTTCGAAAACGCGTTTAAAAGCACAGAGAATGACGAAAAATCGAGAAAATGGGCATGTTTGGATGACAATAGAGGTTCCCAATTTTAAGCGAAAACGCTCATTTTTCGCTCTAATTGTGCATTCAAACGCGTTTTCAGCTGACAATTAGAATCCCCGATTGTCATACAAGTACACCCACTTTTCCTGAATCGTTTTCCTCTTTTTTTGTGCATTTAAAAGTGGTTTTCCAAATTCTTCTTTGCTTGGGAAATGGTTCAGCATAGAGATCATTACTGGTTAATTTTGAACCTTTCAACATCTGCTTCCGAACTTAAATTCCATTGCATAACGAGGAGAAATTAGTTTTCATTTGTAATGCAAAAAGTTTTAGTATCAACTGAAAAAGAATGCAATCGTGCAGTGTTCTATTGTGTTTAGCGTCATAAAAAATCACTTTTTTCTAAAAACGACCAGTGGTAGGGCACACATTCCCGGTGGTTGGACTGAGCCCAACCATGCCTTACCCTGGATACGCCACCAGTTTTATAGTTTCTTCATGCATATTCCTTTTGTTGATAAATGATGAATCAAATCGTAAGACATGAAATTTCTTATGTGTATCTTGAAAAAATTAAATTATCCTAAATGATAGAATATTAAAAAAAAGACAAGTCAATAGTTCAGTAATTATTAAATCAAAATAAAATTTCTCACACAAATATAGTAAACAAAGAGACTACAAAGTCCATAATCATGCATATCATAATAGTAATCTTCTTCGTTTTGATATCACTAAAAGTTATTTTTATTATTTTTTTAAAAGTTTCATAACAATCATTTTCTAGTATTTTCTTCCTTTCTATTCAATGTTTCGTCTTAAAAAATACAAGATTAGATAAATACTCAATAGTAAAGAACGTCATTCTAACCTCGTAGAGTGTTTGAAAATGATTGTTTGTTTAAATTGTATTGGAAAAGTTTAGCAATGCGTTCTAAATGCATATGAATCATTAATGATAAAAGCATAAGTCGAGTACTGTTGCGTGATATTTGGACTTGTTCATCATTGAAACGAACAGAATCTTAGTTAGGTAAAAATAAAAAATCTAAGTTGTTTGCTATTTTTATCATCATAAGAATGACGTATGCCAAAAGTAAGCATACGTACAATAATATTAAAAGATTTTTTTCTTGTCTATCTGATGATCTTTGGTTATTATTCCTATCCACGAATGAGGAATATCGTTATCTTTACTATAAACTGATTGGCAAAGAACAATTAATGAGATTAGAGACACGATTACGTGAAAAAGTAACATATGCATAGTTAATGTTCAATTCTTATTGAAAAAATAAGCAAAAACTAGAAAAGAATTAATCTTGGATAATATAACTTACACAATTTTTGTCAAAATATTGAAAAATAAAATCTCAATGATTCAAATTCAGAATTAATTTTGCATCTTTTAAACAGAAGCGCCCAATAAAATTCGTTGTTTAAACATCTCATCAATTTATTTGCAACAAAAAAACATTTTGAAAATTTTAGAAACCCAAGATGCACTTAGAAATCCATTTTTAGAACAGTTTTTTTCGAATATTTGTTTATATTCCAGCCGGTTAGCATTGCATTCATAGTTATTTACGAGACTACTTTGTTCTAATTATTTTCCAGACTTGTATTAACTCTCTTACTGGTTACGGGGATACTATGGTTCTGTTTTTTCCTAACTGTAAGCACACCCTCATGAATTATTGACGTAGACTGATAATAACAGGAGTTAATAAAGAATAATAAGATTCTGTTCACTAACATAACCGGTTACAGATTGATCAGAACTTCTACAACTCGAACTCGAACAGGAAAGAACTAAGATTTTCTTAATCCAACAAAGTTCAAAACCCAGTACTTCCATATAGCTACCTGAAAGCATATCTCTATGGAAAAAAAAAGTTCATAGTTTTAGAAGCAAGAGATAAAAAAACAGTTTGATAAAATAATACACGATACGTTAATATGAAAAAATTACATAAAAACATAGATTTTCACCCTATAACTATATATTCCTACTACCAACTCGCCGATGAAAAATTATTTGTTATCTCATTTTGTATATGAGAAGATACAACTGCAAATCTTTGCCAAGTTATTGATTTAGTTAATGAATACATATAAGTATTTGCCGAACGCTCTGTCATAAATCTAATAATATTGCTTTTCTTTTGTGACAATACTTGATTTATTGAACTACTAATAATAAAAATAATAATTAGCAATAAATACTATCAAAAACATCACCGGATTTCGATCAAAAATACACAAAAGAAATCAAATACGAAGCAGAAATGCTAACACTACAGAATATAATTCAACAAAGAAAGAACTAGATTGAGTGGATTTCGAAGCAGTGTTTTTAATTGTTGTCATGGATGCTTCCATTTGCTTATCTAATTGACAATAATTTTGGCATTCTTGTTCAATATGAGACCATCGTTGTTGACATTGTGTAAAAATTCCTGTAATATTTCCAATTTCACGTCCTAACCATTGTTTAGGTGTTGCACATCGTGCAAATAACGACAATTCTATAGGTAATCGATAAAAATCACCACGTGCATGTGCTTTTTCTAAGTGACGTCGAAGTTCTGGCCTTAATATCCATTGATCAAGGTAGGTATCAATATCTGTATGTACACGATCAATACCATTTCCATCAGTTAATAAAACTCGATAGATATCACCATATTTTAAATAAAATAAATCACATGTACAATGAAGTGGATTGTCCATTAAATAAAGACGTCGCAATGATGGAATTTGATCATAAGTACAAACGTCAAGTGAGCGTAAATGTGTACTTACAAGATCAATTTCGATTAATGAACCGGCACGACAAAATGTTCGTTGTAAACTATGAGATGAGTCGTTTACTTTTGTTTGAAAATTATTTCTTCTCAATTTAATTGATAGCAAATGTTGATTGGAAATGAATAGAAATGGTGAAAGATCATTTAATTGAGTGTTTTCAAGATCGAGATATTCCAGATTTTTGATTGGCTTCATTAATTGATGTGTTAATAAACGTTGCCCTAATGGATTATTACTCAAAAGAAGAGTTTTTAAACGATATAATGAACGAAATGCATTGGGATCCATTATAGATATTTGATTATCGGATAAATCAAGTGTAATTATCGTTCGGCATCGACTAAATATAGCATAGGGTAGATAGGTTAATTTATTTTCACGTAATATCAATGTTTCTAAACGTCTAAGATCAGTGAAATCTTGTTTATGTAATTCATGTAATTGATTTTTACTTAAATCAAGTGTACGTAATTGTTCGAGATGGCGTAAAAAACAATTATTCAAAAGTGAACGAAATTGATTACGTTGTAAATTAAGATTAATAAGAGTTGAACTAAATGATTGAAAAATATTATTTGGAAGGTAAGAAAGAAAATTTGAAGCTAATATTATTGTTGTAACTGGTACATGATAATTAACGAATGTATTTGGTTCTATATTTGATATACCAAGACCATCCAGATTGATTGTGTGATCAGTAAATAAGAATGATGTTAATGATAGATTCGATTGAGATAAAGAATCAAATATTGATGAACTTAAATGGTCAATTGGCTCCGAAATTGGCACAACTAAAATATTGAGAAAAAATTTTCATACGAAATCTCAGTCTTTTATTTTCAATTGTTTAGATTCAATGAACAATAGGATATTATGATAGGTAATCGATGTAAATGGATGAGATACAAAAACGAAAGATTCAATATATATTTTTCTTAATAAAATTTGTATGAGAAGAAAATGTTTTATGCATTAAACTTATAATTGGACTTATTATTATTATTGATAGTTAAGATGTACTTTTATGCATGTGCAAATGTAATACAATAACAGTACAAATGGTCTTCCGTACGATAACATCTATTTACTTACGATTGTCTGTATAGTAATGTCAATAAACAATGAATGCTATTCTCAATGAAGTTTAATCATTTCGAAAACTGATTTTCTTCGCAGTTACTAGCTAAAATCTTTTTTTTTCTCTCATAATTATGCGGTAAAAACTGTTACTAAATATTGTTCTTTTTAATTTATATATAACTTGATAAATACCATTTCGATAACTTCCAAAAAACACTTCGATTTGTCATGATTAGAGTCTCTAAACGTAATGTGTTATATAGGCTTTTGAACCTTGATATATTGAGAAATTGACATTTATTTGCTAATAATTATTGATTGCGATATTTCTGTTATCATACTATATCGTACAAGTTTCCCAATGTAATTGATTATCTCTCTGTCAGAATGATCCTGTCAAAAAATAGCCTTCATGATCTTCTTTTTACATGATGACCATTAAACTTTCGAAGATTTTCAAGCCACAAAAAATGTGGTTGAGCAATTTGCTTCACGTTAGATAACATGAATTCATCAGTCTTGAAACTAGAACACAAAAGATGGCAGATTAATGAATATTGGTGTTCAGGAAGTATCACCTCTGTCAATTTGTTCTATGTGACCTTCTGCGAAACAGATCAATGATATATCATCACATACATATGTACATGTGTTTAAACATTAATCTCTACACAAGCAAAGAATTCAATCGAGGAAGTAAACGATTTTTTGTAATTACTCTTGAACCTACTATCGAAAGGATTTACACTGTGTAAGAAAAAAACCTATAAGTAAGTTCACCTTAATTAATAATTATGAAAATAAATCATAAAAAAAATCATGCTTGGCACCAGATAAAGCAATATAACAAAAAAAGAAAACCAAAATTAAACTAAAACTGAAATAAAACAATTCATCATTTAATTATTTACTCTATTTGAATAGCTATACAATAACAGATTCTATAAATAAAACGATTATCTTTTCATTTAAGCACAACAGGTGTTCGCAGAGAATTACATAGACAGAAAACGATTATAATGGGAGGAGATATGAGAAAGAATTGATGAAGTTAATTTGAATTTAAGTATTCTTTTTTTTCTTTCTCTTCTAATATCAATTCTAAGAAGTATTTATAAAAATTAGGGGGGTTTATTGTAACATAATCAAGACTATGACTATTTGTTAATATGTTGTAAAAGAATGAATCAATATGAATGAAAAAACAATTTTCTATTCGAAACAAAAATATAATATAGAACTGATTGCAACCGTAACTATGCATAATGTTTATTGATGTATACTTTTCAAAACAGAATTTCACCTTGACGAAATCATTCGGATAATGATAATTATCAGTGATATTTTTTTAGAAATGCGTAATTAGAAAACAATGTCTTCAATATGTCAACAAAAAGTCGAACGATAGACATATGTGAAGTGACACAAGGCTGTCTAAACAATATTATAGAAAGATTTTGACAAAGCAAGATAATATTATTGATACATTTTTACAGCAAATCAAGTTTATTCTCATTTTCATAAGGCTCATTGACTTCATTTCTTCGAATAAGTACATTCATCATTGTCAATATTCATCTCAAGCTTTCTTTCTTCATTGGCAACTGTTGTCACATCGTTTCTATCACTTTCTCATATATATATATATATATAGTATACCGAACATTGACAAATCACAGTCGTTTTTTCTCCCTTCTTTTGTGTATACACATATTGATGTCAAAGACATATTACTGGCACTTCGACTAGCACTACCATTAATAAGAAATAACAATAAAGACAAAAATAAAAGTAAATAAGTAATTCTTATATTAACCTTGCATGGGTTAAAGAATGTAAATATCTGACACGAAAAAAATGGATAGTGATTGGAACCGGATGGTGAATCTTCGAAAACATTGAAATTATTCCAGCACATCAATGTATGTAGTCATTGTAAGACTAACAGAGAAAAACGCAAACGAGGGTAATCAAGAATAATCATCGGATTTGTCTCACATATATTCAAAGATAATATTGTTCAATCAACCGAATAACCTTTTTCCTATTATAATGATGCTATTAATGAGAAGATGATGCAACTTATATTGAAACAGAAATGTTATCAGAAAATATTTATCAATGCTGACTGAGAGGTATCGAAAGTTTTATTGATGATTGAGAACACCTCATTTACTATACGTGATAAGAAAAGAACGGGCCAGACAATGAAAGATAATATGATATAGTAAGATACTCACATGATTGTGATGCTACTTGTTGTTCAACATCATAATCATCATTATATTCGAATGTAACTGTTATTTGAATAAATATCGCAAGAAAATAGATGATGATTGAATAATCCATGATATTGGCCTAGTACTTGTTTCATTCGTAAGATTTATTCATACAAAATGTCATTGACGCTTTGATTGCGTCGTATCTTCATTCGTTTTTGATTTGATAAGCATTGAAAGACGGTAAGAAAACGAATAGGAAAAAAAAGAAACTCGAAGATAGTCAATTTTGATAAACGTTGAATATGCTAGATATACAAAAAGAATTACAATTTTCGATATGTATATGTAAGTACATATATATGTGATAGAACGGGATCAATGACATGCGGATGATGCTCACCTGGTTCGATCGATGACATATATGCAAGAAGGAAAGGCAAAAAAAAAGTGCGTGAGAAAGAAAGAAAAGGAAGACTAGCTATGTGTCTTTCTCTCTCTCTTTTTATCTGTCTGCTTCTCTTTCTTTTTACGCTTCTTTCTCTATATACATATGTATATTATTCGATGCAACGATGAGATTCTCCGATAGTGCTCAGGAAAATATTCGGAACATTCATTTTCTTTTCTTTATAGGATAGCAGTTATTCCTTTTTATACATTCTATAATGTAAGAATCCACAAAATAAGGAAAAGAGAGAGGCGGACAGATCCCTTAATGTAAATGTATTATTATTTATTATCGCTCGATAAGAGTCAATTCGTTGATCTCACTTACTTCTACCACGATTCTTGTCTTCACATTTATTATCAAACGATAAAGCATGGATGTGACAGATGAAATTAAAAAGACACTTTCTACTCGAAGCTATCGTTGACATGTCTTAATCTTGCATTTATTTTTATAATCAACAACTAGCGTCTGCTTTTAACAATGGAAGAGGTATTGCCTATATTAAATATGCATTATAGACGAATGACTCTCTCGCCTCGTTAATGATTCTACTATGGTATTGTCTTGTTCAGTGAGATCATTGTAGCCAATGGTCTAATATTCTGTTGTAAATCCAACAAGCTTGATCAATCATCTATTTTCGTCTGATAGGCGTATGATTAACTATATTTGCGTGCAGCTATATATATGTACCAGAGACCAAAATCGAATCAAATTGCCGAATAATACGATTCGATTCATCTAGGGGCGAATCGAACCGTCTCCGAATTGAACTTCGAAAGTGTCGAATCGAATCGATTCATTTTGTTTCAGTTTCATTCGGTTATAGAAAATCATTTTCATTGTTCTACAGTGTTATGGTCGAGGGCAGTTGACTAGCATAAGAGATGAAGAATGAAAAAGGCCGTTCGCTGTGTCGCTTTCTTTTTTTCTGTCAGTCGTGTTTGTTTAATGGTCACCTTTGTTCTGTTATGTTCATGTCGTTATCATGGTCAAGTGCACTTTGATTGGTATAAGAAATACCCACTTACAACGAACGTTCCACCTTTCTTTCCTTCTTTCTTTTTTTCTTTAGTCATGTATATTTAGGCTTCAATCACGCTGAGAAATAAATTAACATTGTAGTTGAATTAAGTCATGTGATTGGTGCAGTAAGAGTTAAGTAATCTTTTAGAGGTGATTTAACTCGTAATGTATCAATTAGATTGCCTAATACGATTAACTTAATTTACTTTTTCGATGTGATTGGGGTCTTCATATCAAAATCTGTATTTATTAAGTATAGTTACGGTGAAGTGTAAATATAGATCCATATACAGTAAAAGACATTATTTTTCTTCGTTCTATATACAAAATAAACTTATTTAATTAGTCTACTTGCATGCGCTCATTTGTTTATATTTTATGCATTTTTTCTTGAGAAATTGGATAATTGTTATGCATATGTTTATAAATTATATTTATTCAACATGTTTCTATAGATGATCGACAGACTACTATCACTCTAGAAAGATGACAGTCTGAAAACAACAATACTATGTAATAGTGAATATCATGTTTTATAAGCCCAATTTGAGTCAAATCGAATCGAATTACAAGTTTGAGAAATCAGAAAAGCCGCATCGAATCTCAACCCCAGCCCTGAAAACCTAAATCGAACAGAATGGCACTTTTGTCATTCGTTTCGGTCTCTGATATGTACAGGATAAATTGAAGGTTCGACCCATTTTTTTCTCTTTTACATCGATAATCATTTGCGACAAATTGAAGGCCCAACTCATTTTTTTCTCTTTAATATCGATAATCATTTGCGACAAATTGAGATGCTAATCGACGTAGCTACGATTCTTCGTATCCTATATGATATATATTGAAAATGACCATATATTCATTTAAATCTACTCAAACAAACAAACAAAAATTGAATTACACGTTTTAACACTCGATCAGGAACCGCAATTGTGAGCCATCAACGCTCATTATAACCACACTAGAAATATGTTTCGTTTTGTGCAAAATTTTCATTTTTAGAGCGTCAAAACGGACGAACATTTCAGTTATGAACTGTTAAAGGTGGTATTACTCTAGAACTTGAAAATAATACTTTTCAATTCCCTGAAAATGAAAATTTTTCGTTAAAAAAACGTATTTCTTAGATGATTGTGATGAGCTTTAATGATTTACAATTGAGTATCTGAATGTGTTATGACAAATTTTTGCCAGCTTGAGTATTGAAAACTTGCCAGAGAAAAGAATAAAATGTATTTGTCTATGATCTGTGTTTTGTTTGTTGATTATGCAAAACTGTATGTAATAGATCCGATATTTACGTTTCCAATGATGCATCGATGTCTGTAGTAGTCGTTTAAGCAATCTATCTATCCAGTATCTAGTGATGACTATTACTGATGATCCATAAAAGCAGATCAATGAGGCATTGATTTTGGCATATGGAAAGGAAAATATCAAGCTAGAGATTGTTTTTCTGTAACATAAAAAAAAACATCATTATGCAAAAACAAATGATTGACTTTTAGCATATTTATGTGGACAAGATGGTAAACTAGTAGAAAAAACAGATATTGCCGAGTCTCAAGTGACAGTGAAAATATAATTAATTGTATTGATTTGTCGTGTGTTACGAGTGAATAAAACGATATCAAAGATCATTCTATCGAACCAAATGCTAATTATTATTTACCAGATTTTCTTCGATCATTGCTCTGTTATATCAATCAGATAAACAATCTATTTAGCTTGACAATTAATGATGAAAATAGAATACTGTTTTCATTGATTTTAGCTGTGATAAATTAAGCAAGAACTTCTTTTTTTTGTTCTGCCTGTCCTTATTAAATTGATATTAAGACAACTATAAATAGGCAACGTCTAATAGGTTAACTATAGTGCCAACAAAAAGCGTTTTGATTGGCAGACGCGTGATCGTTTCTGTTGACAAAATCATATTAAACAATAACGTTTACATAAAGTATAAAGCAAATGTACAAATGATAAGACTTACTAAACTTATCAAAAATATTATTCTGCATAATTGTGTTGATGTCCTTCATGAAATAGACATAAGATTATTCACTCATCGATATATCTTCATTACTTAGCCTTCTTTTAATATCAACGAAGGACACAAGAACAATTTTTCTTAGCTATGAATTTGAGTTCCTTAATTATCTCCGAATCAATCAATTTTAAACCTTACTCGTCATTAGATACCTCTAACATTGACTATTGAATAAAGTAGTATTGTAAAAATCTTTAAAATGTGCAGTATAATTAGTTCGTTTTCATGAAAAGATTTTCAAATTTTAAATATCAAAACTATACTTATACTATATCAGTAGATATTTTCATGATTGAAGATCATACAAGATTATTTGAATTATGTTTTATTGGTGTACTAATGCATTAAATATAAAAACAAACTAGAACTTTATTGGATTAATCGACAATCAAATAGTAATATAATAGTAAAAATATTAATCACAATCTTAGAAAGCATTTCACTTACGAGTAGCAAATGAGATCTAATGAATCTTGATTTGTTCGCCATGACAACAAGTTGTAATCGATATCATTCTCTCCAAAGTAATCAATCATAAAAAAAAATTATTATTAATGATTCTACTGAAAGATTTCATTGTCGTGCACACTAATTGCTTGTTTTCAAGTATATATCTCAATATGTGTTCTTAATCGTTGGACTCATTTGTAAAATAGTAAGTCATTAGCTAGTGTTAGTTTATTAAAAGCTTTATTGTATAAAAAAAAAACGTCATCAATGAACCTAGCTTTGACTATTTGTTTCTTGTGGATCCGGTTTTTTCATTGAAGGTCTTTTTTCCGCATTACTTGTACCAGTTAATGATTGCACATTAGTACCATCATCTTGTTTAAAAGGAGACTCCTGTTTAGCAAGCGGTGAATACGGTCGTAATAATTTTCGTTCTCGATGAGCTTTTAGCATAACATCATACGTATCTTTTAACATATCCATTTTAATATATTCTTCATCTTTTTCATACAATTGACTATGTGCAATAGCTTTTCTTAAACCATAATTTTGATCTACAAGATCATGTTGAGGAAAAAGTCCCGCATAAACAAGACGATTGTCCGATAGTAAAAAATTAAATGTTTCACATGCTTGTGTCTACGTGAAGAAGAAAACATAAAGTAGTAAGAAAACAATAATAAAAGAGATCTATTCTTACTGTTGGTAAGATTTCAAAACCAATTTTTAGTTTACGTATAAATTGAATAGTTTCTGGAGGAATTTTATTTGTTCGTGAACCAATACCCAAAATGAAGATTTCTATTTTAAAGAAAATATGCTTTTAATATTGTCAAAACAAGAAAAAATAAAGCTGTTCACCTGGGCGAGGTTGAATTAATTCTAATAAAGCTAAAGATTCAGGTGTTATTTGGTCTGGTGAATAAACCTATGAAAAAAAAATTAAAGAACGATACAATAATCTATTTATATTCCATCTATGATGCAACTGAAGAATTTTCTATACAAGTTCTGAATTTTGTTTCATAATAAATATGACGAAAACATTCAACGTCTTAAAAGGTAGTAATCTAAATATTCAACAAACAAAAAATGCTAAAATATGTATTCAATTGTTAAAACACGAGGAATCATATTTCTGACCAAAATAGAGCAATCATTAGTGACTATTTTTGAGTGACCAAGGATTCAATTCGATTAATTTAGAAGCATAAATAAATACTTGAAAAATATCTTACATTCCAGCAAATAATTTGTCTAGGAAAGGAAAAAATTGCTCCAACAATTCTATCTTTTCCAGTAATCATAAAACCATTTTCATATAAACCAGTGATTAACGGTAAACTTTTTTCATCTTTATCTAACGCTGAAATTGTTGTTGGTTCATATCTTTCACTGGGGTAACCCATACGACCTTCAGCAGTATGAGAAATCTTTGATAACGAAAGAAATCGTTTTGTTAATTGTATTGTATTGAGACATATTCTAGAAGGACTTTTTAACAAGATATTCATCTAGAATAAATTAAGACAAAAAGAGAGAGAGAGACAATAATTTATTTATCTGACAACCATGATGGAAATGAAAAATTATTATTTCTGAGAATCTGAATTAACTTTCGATTGTGTAGTAAATAATAATTATTTAAAAATTTACGTGCATAGGACGACATATTTTCATAATAACGTCCTTTACTTTTTCCAAGACATTGAAAACGTTTATTATTTGACACCGGACAAAAGAAACCTTTTTTCTTGTTATATCTATTTAAAAATGAATGAAAATTTCATACTTTTTAAACATAGAGATAAGATTACCTGACTAGTTCTGATGAATTCAAAGGATTTTCTAATTGAATAAATGATATTTGAATATCATTAAGAATTACACGAGGATCACGACGAAAGGCATCGCCATCAATAATATAAATCTAAATAAAAAATAAAATTTATATGAAAAAAGAGGTGACTTAAAAAAAGACTTCTGAATCACTTGTTTAGATGAAAAATAGCTTAGCCATTGAAGAAGATATTCAGCATAATGACCAGGTTGAAGACAACGCTGTCTTAAATGAAATTCATTTGAACTTTGATTACCATTTAATTGTAATAAATCATCAAATTTTATTGTTTGATTAGTTCGAGCAATTTCATGCTAAAATAAAATCCAAAATACAACGAATAATTCAAATTGAAATCGAATGATAAGAACTAGTTGACTATTGGTATAATATGTAGACGAACTTGTTTTGCCTGGTTCTAGATTTAGTAAATGGTAAATGTCTTTCAATGATTCGATCGTTTCATCTAATGAAGCTTGTTTATCAATAAGATAAAGAGTCATCGCGCTCATTGAGAAGATAAATGGATTTATCTGAATACACTGCTCTCTATTTTAACATTTTGTATGTGATTTTAAGAAGAAAAATAGAATGAGATTGATTTAAAAAATTCGCTAACTGTAATATCACTTTTGATTCAAGGTCAAGCGCATTTTATGTAACATCGAACGTGGCATGCTTTGTCGCACGAGATCAATCTGTTAGAGCATTTTCCTCGTTCTTCCATGTTTCAACGTTCATCGTCAGTGAAGTTACATCTCTTAAAATGTGCTCTTTGTTATTTTCAATAAACTTGAATCAATCATCAAAACGAATGAAGGAGTATCTATGAGACATGGTTAATTTATTCTCTTTTTGTTAAAATGATTCTGCAAAGGTTTCAAATAATCTTTAGTTATAGTTTTTATTATGCGAGCAGACAAAAAAAGACTTTCTATCAAATAATATGATTCTGTATCTCACTTGATATCGTGAATAAGCACGTGTACCAGGTTCTGTTAGTATAATTATCAAACGAATATTTGGTAGTAATGCTTTAATACGTTTCATAGCCAATATAGAATCGAAATAAGTTGCTGATTTTTCAAAATTTATCGAACGATTCAAATCCATATTATCCGAATCAAATTGACTCAAATACCTAAAACAAATTAAAGTCAAAAATAGATCTAATGAAAAATGCTATCTTTCACTCTTTCTTGTTGTTGTACTAACCAATTAATACCATTATAATAGATTGTATCATTACTAAAAAATTGCAATTCTTCAAAAGTTATGGAATTTTTTTTCGATGGATGTAAATCTGGATGTTGAGAAAGCATACTATATAACGCCGTAGTACCTAATATTAAAGGTTTTTGTCTGCATATTCTATCGATAATCTATGTTTGCTTTTTCACCGAACCTGTTTTTTGTGGACCAACAATTAAAAATTGTGGAAAAACTAGACACAATGAACGATTTCCATTCCATAGATTCATCAATATTTTATCGTTACATGGATTCTAATAAATTAAAGTTATCCTTGTATGAAATCTATTTATACTTACTGTAAATATTGGCATTTGTTCATCTGGATAGTAATCATAAAAATACTTTTGAGCTAATTCCGATGTTGATAAATCATTTGAGAATTTAATTCTTGTCCATTTTGATAATAAATAAATAAGTTTAGAAAAAACATAATTACCCAAACGATCATGACCATAATTAACATTATGTGACATAAATATTGAAATCTATAAAAATTTGTATTTATCTATTTATTTACATATAGAGAAGAAAAAGTTAATTACTGGATTCGTTAAAATTGTTCGGAATAGTTTTCCACCCATCAAATATTGTTCTAAACGATGACTACCGTTAGGATAGTTTGTATAATTACGTGTTGTTGTATATAGACTACAAGATTGTCGAGGTAGAACCTTTTTTTTTAAATAAGCTACTACCAATCTTAAGCTAAATAAATAAGATACTTACAGAAAGACCTTTATAAATAAATCCACGTCGTTCCGATGAAAGCATGAAATGGTATGGATAATTTTCTGTACTTGTTACAGTAAAATTCATAATACGAGGCCAAACATCATAAACTATAGGATTAATGGGATAGATACCAGAATGATGAGGTGCTACAGCATAATTTCGATCCAATGGTAACTTGTATTTCTAAAACAGATCATTTTTTTCCATCTTATTTCAGTTGTTGCTATTTTCAATAAAAAAAAACTTGAATCGAAGATTATATAAAATAATGTACGATAAATCTAAGGAAAATTCTTTTGAATGCGTATGTACGAAAGATTGATATAATCGAATATTAATATTTTTATATTCACGACTACTTAACTTGTAATAGCAAATATGAATTCAACTTCAGAATACTACGAATAATTGACTTTATTTTTTCCTGATAAAGTTCAAAATAAAAAATGACTAACTTGTGCGAAAGCTAAATTTGTTTCAATTGAACTAATCAATGAAATTCTATCGTTAACATTTGTTAATTTTTCATGTTTCCATGTATGATGAAACCAAACAAATTTATCTTTTTCGTCTAGATAACAAAAAAATAGATGACGAAAATTATTTTCTCGAAAAAACACTTACTAATCAACAAACGATCACCTTGACTTTCATCGTCATTACCTGAATTATAATAATAGCCAGAAAATCCAAGCCGAAAACGAAAATTTGATATATAATTTTGAATGAATGATTGAGAACGAAGCAGCTCTTGGATGTCATCTAATTTTAAACGATCATGCGATTTACCTCCCAAAAACATATCATCAATATCAATTTGAATATGTCGATTTAATCCATAATAATCATATGTATTCGAACTTAGATATCTTAATACATCCATGAGTAATGGCCAAATGAACCAATTATGGTAAAGACATTCAGATAAATAAATTTGTTTTTCTTTTCCTATAGCAATTAAATTAATTTTCTCCGACGTTACTTTATTTTCTACATAAATAATTGTACGTGTTAAATCATTTTGATCTATCGGTAGACCAATACATTGATCAGTAAGTCCATAATAATGAAAAAAGTAAGGTAAAACTTTCTCGAAACGTAACAATTTAATTAGTTTATTTGACTGATTGATTTTAAATGGACTTTTCGTTGTAAGAATAATTGGTTTTAATGCCTCTCGACTAAAATCAATTGTTTCGTAACTAGCATTTGAGTAAATCATTTGAGAATATTTTATCGATGTACATATTTGACATTTGTTATTTAAAAATATTAATAAAGCAATATGATATTGATTTATAAAGTTATAAAAATCACTTGTTGGAATGTGATCGAGGATAATTATTGATGGCAAATAAATTTTTACATCATTATAAAGTGTTTCATTAATTTTTCTATATTGAATATATGACAAACGCAGCTCGCTTAGAAATAAGATAAAACGTTGAATATTTTTTGAACGATATAATGAAAGAATAAAAATAGGTGAAGATTTCGATTTGAAATTTAATTTCTTTACATTAGATTTATGAGAATGTGAAGATAAATTTTTAAATACTACTATTACAATTATAAGAAAAATTATTGTTTTAATTAAACGTTTAATTGAATAACGAACCATGTATTAAAGAAAGAAAAATAATCTAGAATGATTGTATAGTAAGAAATATATAATATTTATTTTGATGCAAGAGAGTTCTCATCAGATTTATGCAATAATCAATCAAAAATAGTTTCATAATTGATGGTGAGATTTACAAAAAAGTTAGCATAAACTATAATTAAATTTTTTCTTTAGCTGCATCAACTAGAACAAATTAGAATAGGAATCAATTAGTAGAAGTCATGATAATACAATGATCATGCAATGTGTCTGAAAAGCTATATTGTGCTATTTATGTGAAAGTTCATGACTTAATTGCGTACCACTCTTTGGGGATTCAAATAAAAACTGAATGCAATTGACTGAAGATAGATCTTGAAGAACTCGCAGACGTCTGATTTTGTTTCGAAAATGTATTCTCTATTAGATGTTGATGTTTAGAAGAAAATTTTGATAGAATATCGATAACCGACTTTGTTATTCTTAGTTTTTGAGGCATCCTTTATTGAAACTTACTCATAGAAGTTTCTTTTGGTTAAGTAAATCTTGTCTTTGATTTGTACAGGTTATATATGCTATATCTCTAAATTTTTCGTCTAAATCAAAATCAAAATAAACTTACATATGAATATGTTGAAACATCTGACGTTTATTTATACAATATCTATCAGTCAATCTTGTTTTACATATAAATTTGATCATACTCTATTAAACTTCTCATTTTTTTTAAATTACAGAGAAAATACAATAATAATAATCAGAAGAGAAACAAACAAGAGCGTATACCGTTAATTTTTTTTTCTTATCTATCTATAGAAACAATGTTTAGCATAAGACATCATGTATAGTAAATGATTCGTTTAACTAGAGTGTAAAAATAAACCGAAAAACAAAATAACAGAAGAAAAACAAAAAACAGCAAAAAGAAATGAATTATATTCTCGCCAGTAAAAAAAATCAATTATTTCGAAGATCAACAATGTGGCATAGTAGACCAGGATCATAACTTGTGTGCGTCGAAGGCTATGAAACGAGAACAATATTATTTTATTTCATTCGGTTATTAGAAAAAAATTTTAATAGAATTACCAAAAATAGAGGCGGATTATTGATATGTTCATGAAAACCTGTCTTTTTACATGTTGATATAATGGGAATACCTGTATCTGGTGTTAGCGAAAATATTGCAGTCCTAAACAACAATATGGACATTAAAAAATAATATTCATTTAAAAGAAAATAATATTTTACTCGTTGTATTTAGGACTTATAACAATAGCTACTGCTTCTTGCATTAACATTTGATAAGGTAAATGTGTGTGAAGATCAACACTTGATAAAAATACAGTTTGTGTTGGATGTGTCTAAAGAGATAATAGAAAAATAATCAAATTGAATTTGAATTTTTCAATATACATGAATCCAGCCAAGTGTGATTAAATTATTATTAGCAACATATTCAACCATTTCTTCTTCTTTTTCTGTATCGCATGAATCTAGAAAAATAAAACAATCAGTGAAGGCTTCCATATTCTAATCATTTGAAAGACACGATCTATAGTTCTGTAGACTATTTTTTAAAGTTTCTTAATTGTTGAATAACTCACGTATAGAAGAATGTCAAAAAATAGGTATACTACAAATGAAATGGCTTTAATCTCCAGATAATTTAATTGAATGAAAGATAACAGATGATTCTTCATTTCGATCTGCTGTTACACTTTTTTTTGATAGTATCTATTTCGTTTCAATGAAGTTCTCAAATTATTTCCTAATATACTCTTATATTGAGTGTATATTAATCGAGACACATCATCGTTTTCATCTAATGAGACTAACGGTGCCTAAATCTTGCTCTATTTAAAACAAAAATTGTTGTACTTGAGAAACTATTAAAAATGAATACCTCAATTTTATCAGTAAGATAAAAAAACCAATTTGGTCCATATTTAAGTGAAAATGTGGCTTCGATTTCTCTCTCTTAATTCAGGATTTACTTAAAGATTTTATTAAAATTATTATTTTACCTGGTCCACCATTTTGTTTTGGTACAACAATATGTGTTATCATATAATTATTATCTCTCTAGAAAAAAAAAAGTAGTAAATAACTCATCAGCAAAGAACTAACATAATTGAATTTATCAAACCTTGCTGCCTGCGAGAATACCACATGTTTCAATTTTTCGGTCTATTATAAAAAAATTGTAATTAAAAAATTGTTTCAAAATTATATTTTATTAAAACCTGTGTTTCGCTGGGCAGCTTGAAGAAATTTTGCTGTAATATCACATGGAATAGAAATGCGACGGAGTGTTGTCATAGAAGAATTTCCGAAGTCTATTCATAAGTAAAATTCAATAACGAAATTGATCAGCGAACTGAAAGTAGACATACTCATCATTGGTTTTCGTGAACGATCAAAAGCAGGCCTTGAATAAATAATAGTAAAAAAGATTCGAAAATAAACGGAATCGAATTTACTTGGCAGGTTCTTTATTACTTAGTGGCAGGACACTATCCGTTGGTGGTATAGCAAATAAAGCAACATGTGCTGGTGGCATTGGCGCATAAGTAGTTTTAAGTTGTTCAAGTGTTTGTTCATTTTCATTATGAAAACTAAATACAATGAAGTAAAAAAAAGCTAGTCTTCACTCTGGTGGCTTAATAGCAATGAAATTCAAAACGTTTTTATTCAAAATTTTTTATTGATTTCTATTTTCTATCCATACAAAAGCAAAAGTGAATATCGTTTTCTTTTCAACATATTTTAGTACATTTGAATTTTTCTATACATTTTATGAGTCGATAAAGAAATCGTTTCTTCTCTGATTGAATTATATATTTAGAACGGAAAAATTGCTCAACTTCTTTTATTATTCAAAAACTTTAAAATAATTCTAAATAGTTAAATAAATGTAATTTCTAATATCTTGAACAGATAGGCTAGCTTAAAAATTATGTAGCATACAGTGTCAATACTAGTAATCTGCGGAATCACGTTCTGTTGGTTCCGGTAGCTGTGAATTCTTTTCGAATGATTTGGGTGAAAAACTCATGATGCAAATCATGGTGACGTTTGTCTTCTCAATATGCATGTAGATAGTACTACCAAAATTTATTCTTGTCATGTCTAAAAATATTCTTCAGTACTAATTCTTTGGTTTATTAAGTCGATGACTGAAAGCTTTTTTAGATCTTATCTGTTGAATTATGCCCTAATATATATATATAATTATCCGTCTAAAAACAATGAATATTAAAGAATAATCTTAGGTTCCAGTTTGTCAAAACTCCAGTCAACATACGCAACATTTTAGGCTACAAGTAAAACATCGTGTAGATCAAATAAACAGAACTAACAATGAACAAGTTTATTGTAGAAGAGCTCATTAAAAATAAAATGAGATAAGCTCACAGATATTCTTTTCAGTGATATTGTTGTGTGTTAGATAGTGTAACATGTCTTTCGTTTGAACTACAGATAGCTCAATTGCTCAAGTGGTTTTTTGCGGCACTAAGTATATATTTTTATCTGAAATCCAATATTTTCATGAAAACATTTTCATCATGTCCAAAAATAATCAACTCAAAACAAAGTACTTCGATTCACATTTCATATCAAAGCAATCTTATTCGATTTTTTCAGAACTATCCCACAGCACGTAGAAAATCTTCTATAATAATTTCAAAAATCGAAATGCATCCAGTTGAAATTTTCAGCTACTATTAGTTTTTACCAAGATCGAGGGGTATTCTTACCATAAATAATTGAAATCAAATATTACACATTTTCCTTAATAGGTCATATGCTTTTATGACATATCGTTTCATGTAAATTCAAAACTTGCTACTCTTTCTAAGTGACATATCATTTTCATTTGCAAACTTTTGATTCTTACGAAGAATGATTTGTACTTCGAACTATACGTATGTTTCTTTTCAAAGAGAAAATATCTTCGAAAACTTTGAAATACACGAATACAGTAGTTTCAGCTATCAAGAAGAAAAAGGTTTGAGTATTTTTTGCTTTTTCAATAGAATTGCAAATCAATCGAAATTAAAATAAGTGAGAAGTTTTATTCTTGTTTTTAAATAAAATCTCATTGTTCTTACTTAGTGGCTGGTTTACCCAATGGTACAGCGGCAATTTTAGCTACTTCTTCTTCTTGTATTGCCTTCTATAATAATAAAAATAAAGAAAATCATTAATATCAAATCAAAATCTCATTGTTCTTTCTAAAATACTTGTTTTGATTCATATTCACGTGAATATTTTTCTTTTAATTTTTCTTTAAGTTCTTCTGCGCGAGGAAAAGCTTTTGATCGAATAATCTATTAGTAATTACATTTAAAACACAGAAAACTAAACTAAAACTTTACTTCTTTAACATGTTCACGGTCATTGACTGATACTGTCGCATAACCTGGATGATGTAATTTAAGTTCTTCTACAAATAACCTAAACAAAAATCCATTGGTATATAAGTCATAATTATTTCATGTAACGTACGTAATATATCTTGAATAGAGAATAAAACTTTGTTCTAATTGACTATTTCTATAATAAAAATCAGCTTCATCAAGTAACGTATCCGATGTTTTATAATAGAAACTAATTGGTGTTATTGAACGTATTGGTATTCGACATTGATTTTCAAGTAACCATTGAACTTGATCCCGAGCATATTTTGATGCGTCTTCGGTAGATGACATAAGTATCTGAAAAGAAAATAGATTTCAGTTTGTTTTATCAATTTTAATTATCGTGATAACAAATTGCATTAGAAAAAAAATAGTCATTTGAGCATCACATCACGTTGTTTATTGAATGTTTCAATCGTATGAAATCATTCTTGCGTACGAATTTTTGTATAATATTATGTTATATGTACCGCTGTTCATTAGGAACATAATAATTTTATTTTTTATGTCTAGATGAAAAACTGATTGTTGATATTTATTAAAAATAGATAAAAAAAAAAGATAATTGCAAGTACAAATACAACTACAATGTACCAAGATCGAATAGGGTTAATGTTCTCATCAATGAACTCATTTCATTAAGAAACAAATAATGCTCTAAACCTTCAGTATCAGATGTCGTAGGTCTCGATGAAAAAATTATAAAATATGCTATATTTATTTGTTTTCCTCTTTGTCGGACAATAAAAGAACGTGCATTCACGATCACGATAATTGTTATGCATCATTTCACTTATTTTGCTTGATTAATACAGCTTTTTTTATTGGCAAACATGCTCTAAGTGAAAAAATACAGATCTAAGTCACATGAATAATGATTAATAGACTGACTAATTTGTTGTCTTATTTTTTCGTCTTGTATACGAGCAAAAATGTCATGTGGAATGAATTCAACATGGTTAAGTTTTTATGTCCATTGTCGTCTCACGATAGATGGCAATAGAGAAACAAATAAACAAATAGGAAAGTATGGATCCTTGTTTTCACTTTTGAATAATTTACTTTATTTATCTTTGTATTTTGAATTATTTTATGAAAATAAAATTATAATGAATATCGACGCAATATTTTCAACTGGTGATTCGTTTAACCACACATGGATTTGTTTGCAACGTAGATACATACATCACTTGGATATTTGCTTTTCTTTCCAATGAATATGACGTATCTTGAGATCTTCTATAACAGTGTTAGACAAGTATTGCTACTTTCATATCAACATGAAAAGATAGCAGTATAAAATCATAGATTTTATTTTTATTTCTTATCATATTAATACTTGTTTTATCAGTCATGTTACTGTTTTAGATAAATTCAAAACAAAGCAAAACAAATTTAATGTTTATTCAATTACAACGAACACGCGACAAGAATTTGATAGGAGTAATTTTTGATTCTCATCAATTTTTTCATAACATTCAAAAGATTATCTTTGATCTATAGTTCACTGAAAATTAGATTCGATTTCTTTTCACTAATGTCCCTCAAGCTTGTTCTATTTCGTCGCTAACATTTTTGTTTATTAACACTAACGTCATCATGAGAAATCTCACGTGTTTTAAGTGTTGGATAGAATTCGATTTTTGTTTTCGAGCATCGTAATACTTTACTCATGTTTCAAACAGTAGCAAGTTCGAATCATATATAATTATACTGCATTACTGTGCGCAAATAATCGCTATCGTTTGTTTTGAATTAACATAAAAAACAATACGCTAAGCAATGCTTACATCGATTTGATATTGACACATCAACTAATCTAGAGTATCGATTTAGTCCAATCGTACAATACCCTCTTCTTTTATTTGCTAGGATAGAAGAAAATAGATGAAATCAATTGGTTCTGTTTTTTCGTCATGAAACAATATTTCATCGTGCCATTATTCGAATAAACCTTGACTTTTCTTCGTAAATAATAGGTTTTTTTGGAAATGGCATAGAGCCCTATCGTGACTATTCGTTCGAAATTTTACCAATTTCATTTGAAAAATATCTAGATACAAATTTGAATAGTACGATAAATTACACGACATATCTTTTTCATATGAACATAACTAAACACTTATTCAAACCATTTTGTTTTCAATTGTTTTCTTTTTACATTCTAATAGATTTTATTATTATTATTATTCATTTAATCAAAGCATAGTTACGCTGTTTTGCTTCTTTTTCTGTGCAAATTTTACTGGATTAAATAAATGATCCATATTATTAAAACGATATATTTGTATGAATGAATTTCAAAGCAGGTATCGAGTCACATACAACAATGGGTACGTTGTCGACATCATCATCAAGTCGCCGACGCAAAGGAAAACAACCAAAATCAACGTCAATTCCAAATTCGTTAGTTCAATTATACTAATATCGTATATTATGTGAATAAATAAATTTCTATTTTATATTTTAGTAAATTAACCACATCATCTAAAAATCTTGAAGAACAAGAACATTTGTTGGCAAAAAAAAAGTCACAACAAGAAATGTTACGTCACGAAGCAGATAAAATCGTTCTATGGAGACATCCAGTATGTACAATTAACTATTGTGTACTTGAATTAATTTACATTTTCCATCATATTATTAAACGTTTCGTATCATATCGGAAAACTTTATTTGCATCAATTATTCTAATTCTATTTCTTACATTTTTGTATAATACTGAGGGTTCACATCAAACAAGTATTCAAACAATTGAAACTTTATTTTTTTGGTTATTATACTGGTTTGGCCTTGGTGTAGCATCGTCGATTGGACTTGGTACAGGTTTACATACGTTTCTTCTTTATCTTGGCCCATTTATTGCTCAAGTTACACTAGCGGCATACGAATGTGGTTCGATTAAATTTCCTCGCCCACCCTATCCCAATGAAATTGTTTGTCCATCATTAATAAGTACATCAACAGTACGCACCATAACAAATGATAATGATACAGTTTTAACCGATCTGTTAGAAACAGGACCAATATCGTTTTGGAAAATTTTATGGAAAGTTAAAATAGAAGCATTCTTTTGGGGTTTGGGTACAGCCTTTGGAGAATTACCACCCTATTTTATGGCACGTGCAGCACGCTTAGGTACAAGCGATAATAGCGATGATGAAGAACTTCTTGAATTTGAAGCATTAGTAATTAATGCTGAATTATATAGTTCAAGAAATTTAACATTATTTGAACGTGTTCGTTATTTGGTCTATCGTCTTATAAAACGTATCGGATTTTTAGGCATACTTTTATGTGCAAGCATTCCAAATCCATTATTCGATTTAGCTGGTATAACATGTGGTTATTTTCTTATATCCTTTTGGACATTCTTTTTAGCAACTATTATTGGAAAAGCATTGATAAAAATGAGTATTCAAACAGTATTTATAATATTTTTATTTAGTGAACATCATGTTGAACGTATTATACGTTGGATGAAACATATACCACATTATGGTGGCCTATTACAAACACCATTTAAAGATTGGCTACTCGAACAAAAAGGTAAAATGCATAGAAAACCAGGAGAAAATTTAACTAACCATGTTACAAAAATCTCAGCATTAACAAAAGTTTTTAATTTATTTGTTGCTGGAATGATTATCTATTTTATTGCATCAATTATCAATTCATTAGCACAACGTTATTATAAACGGACACGCACTGGATTAAAAACTATGTAAAACAAACGATAATATCGAATTTTGTTTTCTTTTTCTTCATCTGATTCCCACTGTTTTCATGAATGATGTATTTTTTGTTTCGTTTGAATTTATCCTACTTTTATTCACTATGTTGGCGATCAAAAATCATCTTTAAGCAAAAACGAACACCATAATAAAAAGCATCGCTGTGAATCTTCCTTTTCACACTCTCGCTTATTCCTCTGTATTTATATTTATATATATATATACATATATATATATATATCTTCATATGTTTGCGTTTTCTGGGTTGATTGTATTTTTTGTTTGTTTGCTTGTTTCGTTTCTATGTTTTTCTTGAGCAATCTATGCATACAGAACAGATGTAAGGAAATTAAGAAATATCAATAAAAAAAGCGATTCGGACAAAAACTATGACTCGATTAATACATCTATCAGATCGCGTCAAGACGATATAAGAATAATTGGTCTAAGTTTGATATATAAAAACAGTAAACATTTCTCAAGTTGATATAGATATTTGCTCATGAGGGAATTCTGGATTTGATCATTCTTTCCTTGTTGACGAAACTATATCTATCGTCTTTGAGTTATCATTGTAGAGGTAATGTATTTTTGCATTTCTTATTAAGTTAAAGTAATGATTTTTCGAGAAACACTAGGGAAATTCGTGTTTTCCCGTTCAATTCGAAAATCTGCACACAGTCAAGTCTTCACGTAATATAGTTTACAATAAAAAAAATCTCATGTCTTTAAATTATTGGTATCGTTAAAAACGACCATGGTAACAGCTTGTCATACACGTCATGCATTTGCATCGACAGAGTGGATGTGTTTGTCTTACAAAATAAAAATATTAATAATAGAGGATTCTCGATAAAGTCGATCTAAGTCCAAAATGTCGATGCAAACATTAAAAATATTAGTTTTTTGTACGGTTGCTGAAGAAAATGACTATTTTGATTTAAAAAGTTTCATACCAATTGCAGTATATTCACAATTTTAAATCGATGACTCGATTTTATTCGAGAGTATTTCTAGTTGATTGCAATGTAGATAATGCATTTAGTCTGTTCTAAAATCGAAATTTATTACTTGAGCACATTTTTTCGTAAATTTGCATATAGCATTTTATAAGATAAACATTTCCATGAATTTTATCTAAAGCATCGATTATATGCGATTAATACGAAAGTTCTTATAGAGCTCAATCTTGACAGTTTTTCTATGTTCATATACATATGTACATGTATATTGTTATATCCATTAGTAGGACATGTTTTTTATTTTTCTATGGATGTTTAGAGCCTTAATGCCGATTGAATTCATTGAAATGACAAAATATTCGAATATACAACGAACTTGAACACAAACATGTATCAGTGTTAAAATCTAGAGTATGGATTGAAAGAATGCATCACGATGGAAGAAAAACTTTACTTAATAACACAGTAAATTTTTTCAAATCTAATCTTAAGTTAATATTTACGGGAACAAATATTAACTATGTAGAAATAGTTAGAAAGTCATTCTTCATAACTACTAATTTTATTCATATAAACTACATTCTCTGGAACAATGTCGAACGGCATGCTAAAGGATTTCGCTGAATCAAATAGAAGTTGAAAATGAAATTTAATTGGTGCTCCATTGTATCGCTATTGAAATATGACACCTTTGGAATTGTTTCCATAGATTCAGTTTTTGTTGAAAACCCATGTATAGTAGGAGTATTTCAAAAATTCTATTTAAGAAAAAAAATGTAATTTGAGCAACACGTAGAGTACTGTCGTAATATGAGATGAGTATAACATCTAGCTAGTTAATGATGAAATTAAAGATGACTCAACTCTTCTTCCTAAAGAGTTTTAGGTCCTCCTACACAAGAAAGTGCTCATTATTAAAATGACTATGGCTCACTCAAAAACGTTGATTAGAATATTTTTGCTTGTTGAGCAGACGTTACTCGAAAGATTAAATCCATTTAAATATGTTTCTTCTTTTTTTTATTATACTTCTATTGTTAATCTATAATAATTGGAAAAATATTATATTTTACATTGTATTTTGAATACAAAAGATTTATGTTTTATATTTAATTGGATTTGAACCAATCTTTCATTATTAATCTTAACAATATAATGTACTGACAAAACTTTTGTCTTCCATAAAAAATGTACACCAATAATATTTAACGTCTAAATATAGTAAAGAAGTATCGCGTGTTACACTAACTCTAGCATGTCACAGTAGTTCAATATCTACTATCAATTGACGCAATGGTACTAAATAACAATTGTTTCTAGATGAGGTATGACTTTTTCCTTGATTAAAATATTATTATTATCATAAATTAATTATGCACTTACGTTAGGTCTGACTTTGTAAGACTCGAACTATCCATACGAGAAAGATTAATTTATTGATTGAACAACCAAATATGATTAGAAATGTTTGTAAAACTATGATATTGACGTTCAGAAATAGTTTCCGAAAACTATGTACTTATAAGTTTCATTTAATATTTAGTTTAGTTCATGTTATCATAGCGGTCGGAAACAATGAACACAACATCCGCTTTACAGTAAATCTTTTTTTCTTTCTATGGTGTAACATTAATTATATTGTGAAATAAATAGAAGTTATTCAAACTGAATCATATTTGTCTGCCATGTCTCTAAGAGTTCACCAGATCCACCATCTGTAATGATACAATATCTTAATCTTTCTACGCTACATGACATGGGCAACTACTAATATTGTTCGAGATAATCATCATAGAAAATAAATAAATTGAATAAAATTATTTATAAAAACAATTCCACGATTCATATTCGAAATTTTTCATAGTGAAAAAAACAAAATATTGAAAATTACGTTTACATCAAATGATTATTCTATATTGACGAACATATTCCTTTTATTGACGTCGATAATGATGTTATGTTAATAATTTCGGGTAATCTGAGAATATTATTCGACTAACTGAATGCTATCTTTTTTCAATAGCGTTCGATATAATAGTTAGCATATATGATATAAGAAAAACAAATGTAGGCCTTTAAAAAAATCAACATAAGTGAGTGATGTCTGAGAAACTTCATCATAACATCATACTCAAAAGTGTCAATACAATCGTTTTATTTGACATATTTAGATAACATTAATTACAAACAAATATGTCAACAAATTTCTTTCCGGAAATATTATTTTAAAATGATAATTAGCATTTCTTTTTTTCATCAAAATGCTCTGTTCTTAAAAAAATATGCTTATTATCAAACGACTAGATACGTTTCTACAGCATCGAGCTATGAAAAAAAGAAATGCATAATGGGATTTTTAGTCTTTTTCATTTCTATGTTTCCCTACAAACAGTAATTACTCTTATTTTCATGTAGTGTGTTTCTACTGGCAAAATAAATTCATGAAGAAAGTTTTCTAATGTGAAAATACAATTTGTAATTGATAGATATAAATATTACATTGAAAGCAACCAGTAGATTGTCAAAATACGTGGCGCGTATATTTTCAATAAAAACAAAAATTGAATAAGATGATTGATTTCAATATGAATTATTGTAATGTAGGCATGACAATTTAATATTAAAGTTACAGTCATTAATACTATGTTTAATAATTTCATACAGACTTAAAGAAAATAATATAGTTCTTTTTTTATTTTTGCACAAAATAAAATAGTAGAAGACTTTTGCACTAGTTCAGAATTAGTATTAGTAACATCAATATGTAACGTGTAAAATTAGCAATAAATTATTATTATTAATACGTATTTTCAAATATTAGATGATACAATATATCTGCTATTAATTATAAAATATATTTTGTTTAGGATTTATAATTTACTCGTATATTAATATTTGAGTGTTCATGCCTATTGGTTGTTTTTCAGTCGATAAGATTTAGATAATGATGTCCTCAAGTTGACTATTCTTAGATAATACATTTGAGGTGGATGCGTGGTACTATTGATAAGAAAGCTTGAGGCTATAATCACAATGCGTTCTCTGCGAAAGTCAGATTTTCTCTATGGTATCGCTTGCGAAACCTATTCCTTGACACGAAAAAAAAAGCAAACGGTTCGATTAAGCTAGATGCCTATAGAATATATGTAAAACTTCTATAATATTGATGATCTGGGAGCTGTTCTTTTGACACTGTTTACTCAATTGAAATTATGTAATTATTCTTTTCCCTATTCATCATATTTTCTTGACTGATAAATGTCGTAAAAATTTTACTTCGAAAAAATAACAATTTTTTTCTTTCAATTTGAAACTTTAACGTACAGTGAAAAATCGAGAAAAGGCAAACTATATTCCGTCGAAAATATAATTTGCACAACATAACCTCACAGCGTATGCATTTAATTTGAACATTGCAAATTAATTTCTCCGCAGAAAGATTAAAAGTTGTGGTAGGGGCATTCGAGTCATCATAAGATTAATCAGTAAATTGCGTAGGTTTTCTTTGAAATTGATTATTCATTTATGTAACGCATAAATGAACTATAGTAAATATGCACTCTCAAAAAAGTAATTAAACACTACTAATATCTATTTTCTTAGAAAAAGAAAAAAATCTTTACGGTCTTACATTATTAATTATACATATAGTAAATAAGTTACACAATTTTTTGCTAAATCATATGCATCATTAAATGATGTAGGGCATATTTTGACTTCTATCGAATAACTGCTATGGAAAATATCTCTTTTACAAAAAGAAAAGAATCATATTTCACAAATAAAATAATTGAAAAGTTGAAATAACTTAAAACTACAGATTTAATTGATAGATGAAACAAAAATTATTAACAGAAGAATTTATGAAAAAGACAAATTAAAAATGTATAGGATAATTTTCTGTTTCTTTAGGTAATGTTTCAATACCTGAAGAAGGTAGGAATCTGTAATATGTTTCAATCTCTACTCGTGAATTATCTTTTAAAAAGATGACACATACTCTTGCATAAATCATTTTCGTACTATTTTCTGAAATTTTAAAAGGTTTCTTTTGATTTTCAAATCTTATTCATATTTTGTATTGAAAACTTCCGATCATCTTTAAAAAATACAAATACTCCAATCAACAAATTTTTCATATTCGTTTTATTCGACCCGCGATTCAAAGCAGCTTGTTACATGTAATAGAAATAATCGCAAGAGTTCGATTTACTTGTTTTCTTCGTAGAATCTCATCGATGACAGTATCTAGTTAATTCAGTGATAGTACATAAATTATCACAACACGCTTCTGTAATCACTCGTGGTGACCTGAAAAGTTGTGAAAACTTTCGATGAAAGAATAGTGTTGATGGTGGCATTTTTTTTTGTTGAATATTTGGCACGAATCCTATTGTTGTTGTTGGTGTTGTTGTTGTTATTGTTGTTGATTTTTGATGTGTTTCAACAACTCGACAAACAATATCTAACATTAACAATAAGTTTGGGCCACATGCACGAAACACTCGTTCTAATAAACAATTTTCCAAGCGATAAAGTTTTTTTCGAATTTGTGTAACACTATTTTCTGTTAAAATTTTACCATCATATTCAACAACGCATTGACCATCACGTAAACGTTGATGATAAACAACATCGGCTCTTGCACGATGCGATTGACCATCAATGATTTGGTGAATATCGCGTAAAAATTTTCCTTTGTTGTATTCATTGTCTTGTAGATTAGTTGCAATTATGAAGCCTACATTTTTATCATCATCATCATCATTATTATTATTATTATTATTATTATTATTATTACTCTTATCATTCATGTTGTTCTTATTGTCTATTGTTGATACTGTTTGAATGATAGCAACCAGCGCTATGAAGTATAATGGAATTATATTATTCATCATGATACTTTACTAAGAATTGTTGACTACTGTGAACTAGCACACTAAAAAAATCAAAATTTTTATTTTCTCATCCATGTTCATCACTAGCATATGATTGTAAAAGCTTACATTTTTTTGCGTTACCTGCGCTTGATCAATCCAAATCTAACTTTACCTGAAAGTTTACAATGATTTTTAAATACTTCTATACATATATTTAGACATTCATATATATATATAAATCAGTTGATTTCTCCGAAAATAACTTTTAAGAGAAAATAGAGAAGATAAACAATAGAACTAGAAAAAGCAAAACATTTATCTTATTAGAAAAAAAAACTTATTTGTACCTGTTGATTATACATAATAAATAGAGAAAAATCGAAAGGTATTGTTTACTGGAACTTTGTATATCATCTATATTTACTGAGTCAATAGAAATTCTTATTTCCGTATACATATTCAAAAAGAAAATAGTAAAATCATATCATAATGCTTTAAATATATCATGATATTCATATTATGTACTATACATATTAATTAGAATAAGATATTCCAATTTATATCAAAGCCATGACATAGTGTAGAATATGTTGTTTTACTTTTATCAAGAGTTTGCTTTTCTGTTTTTGATCGGATGTTTAACTAAGTTCATAACAAAGATTCCAATCAAGAAACAAATATGCAGAGAAAAATGTGGTCAATGATATACTATACTATAAATTATTCATAATATCTATTCGTATATATATAGATATAAAATATTCTAATGATGTTTTCATTGATATTTTAATAGTTCCTTAGGATTTTGCCATTAATTAAACGGACATGAAAAAATGATGTATATATAGAAATACACAGTATGTAAAAATAGGATTTCAACACTCCCTACGCCAATCTTGTAAATTGAATTTCATATTTAAGGAAAACGATTTTCTTGACTTTCATTACATCATTCGATAGCTCAGATTCTCTACTTTATTCTACAATTAAATTGTTTCTCTTGAAATATATCTTCAATGGATTTTCAAGAAGCCCCTTGATTTTCTGCGCAAAGCCTTTATTTAGACACTTGTATTATTTCTTTTCTAGAACGTTAATTCCAAAGTAACAAATTTGAAAAATAGCTCATTCCATAGAGGAAAAAAACTGCTTCGAATGATGTTCTTCATTTGGAAAATGTTTAAACAAAAGCGAAAATGAATTGCTAAATACTACTAGTTTAGTTTATAAGCCATTCATTAATCTTGATTTTTCAGTCACAAGATAAGCTCAAACACGCTCTTTAAAAAAGTCATCGATGTATATAATTAAATTCTCTTTAAGATGATGTATCTGAATCTGTGCTACATATTTTCCTTCCAGTTGCTAGCACCCTTTCGTTTCACGTGCGCATTCAAGCATGGAGAGAAAAAAAGTAACTTTTTCTCGTCTTGGTGCTTGCTATAGAATATTGAAATAAGTTTACTCGTGATTAGTACGTTTATTTCGAAACAAAAAAAAATTCCTTTTTTCTCTCCATGCTTAAATGCACGCGTGAAATGAAAGGGTGCTAGCAACTGGAAGGAAAATATTTAGCACAGATTCAGATACATCATCTTGAAGAGAATTTAATTATTTACATCGATGACTATTTTAAAGAGCGTGTTTGAGTTTATCTTGTGACTGAAAAATCACGATTAATGAATGGCTTATAAACTAAACTAGTAGTATTTAGCAATTCGTTTTCGCTTTTGTTTAAACATTTTCCAAACGAAGAACATCATTCGAAGCAGTTTTTTTCCTCTATGGAATGAGCTATTTTTCAAATGTGTTACTTTGGAATTAACGTTCTAGAAAAGAAATAATACAAGTGTCTAAATAAAGGCTTTGCGTAGAAAATCAAGGGGCTTCTTGAAAATCCATTGAAGATATATTTCAAGAGAAACAATTTAATTGTAGAATAAAGTAGAGAATCTGAGCTATCGAATGATGTAATGAAAGTCAAGAAAATCGTTTTCCTTAAATATGAAATTCAATTTACAAGATTGGTGTAGTGAGTGCCGAAATCGTTTTTTTACATACTGTGTATTTCTATATATAAATGAACTTTTTTTTAGTGTATTGATTTCATTTTGTACATATATGAAGAAGAGAGACCACACGAACATAAGATTATATGGAATCGATGAATCTTGTGACAATACAGAAAACTGAAAATAAAAGTTTCAATAAGGCTTTAATGATTGGTTCGTCTTCTTTTTTCGTGCTTTCTATTCTTTTTTCACGAATTTAAAGGACAATATTGAATTAATTCAGAAACTGTACACGCACTGTTACAACATTCACGGTAATATGATTTATCTATAATATTAATTAAACCATCTTCTGTTTGTTGTCGTTTCGATACTTTGTTGCTGTCATAACTTTGTTCAGCATATGAGCACACAATATTGAGAATTTGACGCAACAGTTGTGAACCACATGAGACCATATATGCTCGATTTAATCGACAATCTTCAGCTTTAAACCATTTATTTTTTATTTTGATTATTTCGCCCTCAGTTAATATATTTTGTTTGCCGCCATTGCCATTTAATTCGACCGTACATTGACCTAAATATGTATATATTATTACAGTCGATATTATCTTTCTTGATTTTTATCTAAGTAGAAAAACCTTTTTTTCGCTTAAAAATATTTTAATCTCCGCTTATTGTATTTAAAGAAATAGATGAAATAGTTGATAGGCTAAATGTTTCAATAAGTTGACAACCTACCATGATTAGAAACACGTTGCGTATATGTTGTACCAACACTTTTTAGTGTATATTGTTTTCCATCAACATTTTTTTCACTGTCTTTTAAATCCGTAGCTGTACTGATAACTAATGATAAACAGCAAACTAAGCAAAGAGAAGTCGTGAACATGTTGTTGTTTGTTTTGCTATGCGGAAGAAAATGAAAAGAAATAGAAACGAAGGATGAATCTATAAAATGCTAGTGTTATGATAGAAAGAAAGGAAAATTCTTAGAAGAAAAATGCTTAATAAAGATTGCATGACCAATGCGTTTGAAAGATGATGTAGAACATTGAGAAAGCCAATTACATCCGATTATTCTTGGCATCCATTGTATCAAAGATTCCCCTCTTCCCTTCATTCACTTTCATGTTTTCATTTCCGTATGACGGATTAGTGAAGATCTTTAAGTGGGACAGATTTATTTTAAGACAAATTTCAATAAGACAAATAAATAAATCATCCATAAATAACAAAAGAAAAATAATTCATATACATATGATTTCTTTTTATCTTATCAAGCTAGTTAGTTTTTGTTCAAGACAATTAAAGCGATCATCAATATATTGTTGAAGTTGTGAGAACCGTTGGTCTATATTTGTTTGTAAACGACTTTCCAATGCATTTAATTCTTGTTTCATATTGTCATTGTCTTCATTGGTAGAAATTTTCAGTTCGTCATTCAAAGTTTTAATTTCCTTGAGTATAGGCGTAGAAACTTCAGGTGCTAACTGTCTGAAACCAAACCAATAGAATGATTAAGATATCAAACAGTAAAAAACAAATAGCTGAGTTCATGTGGCATAATATGAGACTATACATTGCTAGTTTATTCCTAATACTATTGATTGATCAAACATAATATTTACGGTTAGGTTAAAAATAATAATTTCCGGAGTATTGTTTACATAAGTATTTATACCATAGAAAAACTGTTTCATTTTGTACTTCAAATGACAATAGATAATCTTCTTAGAGAAAATTTACTTGAATAAAATATACCTACTTCCCCCTAATATCTTTTTGATTAAGTTTTTAGTCTATAGAACGTAATAATTATTTTTAATTAATACGGCAGACATGAATATTTTCATTCAAATATGCATCTTATAATACTATGTGATTTAATTTCATGTGGCTAATCATCTGTTAGATTTAATCAGATAAATCTGAGATCGGAAAAGCTCCTTACTTCAATGCCATAGCTGATTAAAGTGGAAAGACCCTTTTTTACAGTAGGAAAACAAAATTACTATTTCACGCCTATAAAAAAGAATAAAGAATGAGATTTTTGATTTTCTTCTTAATTATTCATATAGACACAAAGCTTCAATTTTTAAAATAGTTAACAAATTTATTTCGTACTTTGCATTAGCTGATGCGTTATTATTCATTCCTAAAAAAGAAAATGCTATATAATTATAGATACTAAAAGAACTAATGAATATTCTAACCTTTCATCATGAACATGAGTTGAGCTAAATTTAAATCTTGCGACGAAGTTTCTTTCGTACGTCTTTGTTCTTGTGTATGTTGAAGATTATTCATAAACTGACGGGCGTTGGAAGATAAATTTGTTTCATCAATCATTGAACGTACACGATTGAAATCAAATGGTAAATTCATCAGTGGTATCGATTGTGCAGTAGCTTTTACTTTAGTTAAATTTATTTGTAAACAATACACTACTAATTGTGTTATATCAGCAAGTTTTAAATACTAATTAGACAAAATCAATTCATAATAAGAAAACTCAAAAATATTCTATTCGTCATACTTTCAATGTCAATGATTTATGAATTTGATTGAATTCAAAATTTGATTCATATATTGACTCACTATCAAGTTCAGTTATACGTGAACCTTGAGAACTACCAATATATTCTTGATCATAAAACTAATAAAAATCAAGCATGAGAAAATAGTATGATATGAAAACTAAAGTGTTTATCACTTCAATGTGTCTAGCATTTGATAAAACTTGAATGGAAATAATACGATATTCAGCTGGTTGAAGAACACTTAATATAATAATTGGATCTTCTCTTTCGTCTGTTTGATTTGATCGAAGAATAACACTTGTAATATTCTCATCGGATGGATTAGTTTTTCTAGACAGAATTATTAAAAAATTTGAAAGATTTTCTTTATTCTATTGAATTTTTTTTGCACATATATTAATTGATGTAGGCTCTTTTGTTTTGAAAATTTTACTTGATACGATTTCCAGTAAGAAAATAAAACAGCTCATTTCAAGAATTTATGCATGATTTCACAACAATAAAGAAGAATAAAAATAAATTGCGGGGTTCCAATGAGTAGAAAACTGTTATTAACCTGTATACATTGTAACTCATTAAAAAATATCATACCTCTTTTACTCATGGTAAAGCTACATAATAAGTTATACTCAAATATCCTTGAAATTAGTAATAAAAAAAAATATTTTTTTAGGGGCTCTCCCCAATTAGATATTCGTTAATAAAAATATTTAATAAAGTATTTTAATGAGAAAATCATAAGAGCTATGCGGAGAATATATATCATGTGGAAGAATTTATTTGGAAGAATAGTTTAGTATTTAACATGATTCATGTCGTTTCTCTAAATAAAATATTACACTCCTGGCGTAACTATGAAAAAACATGGAAAAACCAACCTAGTATTAATGTCATCATTAGTATCTTCTTGTTTATCCATCATCGTTGACTGCTGTGTTTCCTCAATACTAACATCACAAATAAGATCAAGTGATAGTGAATTCAACGATGGCCAATTTGATCGAACTGATATATATTCAGCCATCTAGAGTGATTTTTTTTAAACATAATTGTTTTCTGGTCAACATAGTTTCCTTCATTTCGTTTATTAGCGAAAACAAAAAGACATGATGATTTTCTGATTTGTTTTTTTTTAATTGAATAGAAAGTAAAAAAATAAAGAGTAACAAAATGTGCATAAATGAACGATAAGAAAATTTTTTTTTGAAGACGCGTTAGAGGAAAAAGAACAGTTTTATCTAATAGCCACGCACACGCACACGCACACACACATACAAGAAAAAATTGATAATCTAATGGTTTTAAACTATCGCACGTTTTATTTTTTTATTTTTTTCATATTGCTTGATAAAGAACAATTCGTAAAACAAACAAACAAACAAAAAAATGTTTCACTGTTTTCTTATTATTTGCTCGTTGAGTTTATAGTAAAGAATAAATAAAGCGAAAAAAAAGTAAATCAAGATTTTATTTTATCAATAAAATAAATATGATGAAAAGTTACAGAGTGCCCGGTAGAAGTAGCATATCATGACTACATACAAGTGCTATCGGATATACCAACGGGCTTTTAACTGGAGGAAATCGATCTTCAAGCGAATGTGTTTGATAATATTGAACTAATGACTAAATTAAACAAAGAGGTATGCTTATTAGTATCGATTTTTATTTTCTTACTTGTAAACTGTCAAACAGCAGACTATCAACTAGATAATGTTTAACAGAGCCATCAATTTCTTGAGTATATATTCGAATATGATAGACTTCATCATTATGTCTAAATATAATTGATAATATTTTATTATTAAGAAATTAATAATCTATTCATCTTTTGTTGTTTTGTTTTATTGGCACAAGATCTTGTTTTTCCTCAACGTGGAACGATCAACTCGCAGTATTTAAAGAAAAACCCTTCTGGGCATTCATTGAAGAAGGTGTAAAGTAGCACAGATATTAACATCAAAACTTGCGTATAAATTTGATGAAATAAAACTATGCAATACAGTTATAATGAATAAAAATAGTTGTAGTACTTTCGGTATCTTGTAATGAAATGGAAAATAGCTTATTTCAACATCGCATTGATCGAAGACAAGGAGTAAAATTTAAACATACTTATATGTCTTTTATATAACCCCATTAAAGCTATATCTATGACGAATATGTAAATAATCAGTTAATTAGTTCCCTTAGCCGTGCTATATTTGCTGTCAGGGATCAATTTATACTCTGTAGCTATTTTAATCTCTGTTTAGTATGTTGTACTTTAGTTAATTTCATTTTTACAAGTACTACTGCGTTCTTAGTCAAGAGAAAAAAAATGTTATCTTTTTTATTTTTTGTTATTTAAAATTGTTTTAAAAGAATATTTAAGAGGCTTTGTATGCTTTTTTTTGGATCTTTACATCGAGAGACTAACACCGATGTTCTTTTTGGCATATTGATGCTTACTTTATCGATATAGCGTGTCCTTCATTTTTTCCTTGTTTTCGCACAAGAAATGTATTATTTGGCACAGCTTCGTTTCTTAATATATCTTCTGCTTGATGTCGACTGATATCAAGATACCTAAACAGAGAATAAAATTAATAACAATAAAATTATTTTCTAATATTAAAAAGTTAATACAACACCATTAGAATTATTATTAAAATTAAAGCAAATGAAACTAATTAATTAAAAAAAAACATATTCTCCCTTTATATATAGTTAGTACATTATAAAAGTATATGCTTTTAAGATTTGTTTTCTCTAATATTCAAACATTTGTTTTACCAATCGTATAGACCATTATTCGATAAGATTGGAACAAATGTCGGTGATAAATGTTTATTATCAAACGAAGATGATAACTGTAAAGTTCGATGTTTATATGAAATATTTTCAGGTGTTATTGCTGACGAAATAGATTTTGAACGTTGAATAGGTATAGTATTATTATTTGTTGATGGCGGATTTGAATATGTATTTCCATATGGTGTACGCTTTGATGTAGGTGGACTATAGGCTTGGACAAGCGAACGAATAAAGGGAAAGTGATGTGCAAGCGTTGATGATATATTCGAACGCTGAAAATATGAAATCGAAAATATGAATGAAACCTACCAAGATTCACAATCACATACCAATGATGATGTTTCAGCCTTTAAAAAAAAGGAAACAGAAAAGTTTATTATAGTTTAACAATAAAATCCATACGAGAGTCGTTGATTGACGTTGATTTGTTTTTGGCAAATCACCATCAATTGCACCAACTAGTGTTGCGGGAATAAGACCAATTTCATTTGATCGCAGATTTTTCACCTAAAAAATGTTTTATTGACAAGAAAAAAGAAGAAATCAACACGACTTACTTTCCACATATGTTCATCATCATCTTCAATTATTTCAAGTTCATCACCTTCATTAACTTTAATATGTCGATCATCACATCGATTGACGTTAGACTTATTATTATTATTATTATTATTGTTTATTGAACCATCATAATCATATAAAGCATAAACTCGATCTAAATTAGTATTTCAATTGAACTAGTTCGCGACAGGAAAACAAAATAATTTTGCGAATACATACTGTGATTATTAACATTAGATGCACTACTAAATGCACGGGGTAGTTCAATTGAACCTCGATCAAAACTTCGAATACGTTCAAGTGAAGCTAAAATTCAAATAAGACGTTAGATAAAGTACTTCTATTTAACATGATCTTTTCAAGGATGACTGTCCGTCTATTTTTTGTGATTTCTAGACGCAGGATCATTGTATAAATTTTATTTTTGCCTAGTTTCTCCAAAATATTTTCCTGTAAATACTAGACATTTGTTGGTATTAGAATATCATTGCTTTTGTTTTAATCTCACGAGTGGGAAAATGCAAATATAGAAGATATGCTAAAAATACGTGTTCAGATAGATCGAAACAAACAGAGCACCACTATACTATTCTATTCTATTTTTTGTAAATAAGCTGATATGACAAAAACATGCAAATAATGTAGATTTTGGTTTCTCCTTACCCTTTTAAGATTTGAAGTCAATTTTTGAATTCCGAAATGTAGTTAATAATTAGATATTACTTTAGACTACATGACGATAACAATTAGCCAAACATGAGAAGAAAAATAATTAAAATACACAGTACCAAACAGAATAGCTTTAAGTAATTCTGCATATTCAATGCACAGATTATACTTGTTTAATAAGTGATCGTCACCCGATATGACAGCGTATTTTCAAAGGAAAACATGAAACAGAAAAGTAAGATAGCATCGGGAAAAAACACCTATTCTACTATGTAGATTTATTTATTTTCAATAAAACTTTTTCCCCAACCATAGTTCATTAATCGGATGTTTTCGCAAAACGATAAATCGCATTCGAGATTGATTTCAATTTATTATGTAGAATTTGTTGTGCTTAGTAAGAAAATCTCAAACAGACTGACGTCATTATATTATACTTTTTGATATAGGAGTAATTAAATCTTTTTATTAGCGAATTATCATTGTGTTCTTTCAATCGTGTTTAAAAGAGACTTAAAGGTTCAAAGTTTTCAGAAATGGATTATGAGCTCGGACGCAAACTTTCTGAGTTGCTTGATCAATATAACAATATCTTACTGAAAAAATGGATTGAAGCAGCTATAACGCTTGTGAAAGTAAAGATTTTGTTTTAGAATTTGGTGTAATTTCAAAAAAGTTAACGTGATGATGTCAATTCTTATCTCAACAACAATTAGGCATTTGATGAGTTTTTCTCATCATAGAAAATATGTCGATATTTTTGCCACTATGAATAAACGGTTCCCACATTTTATTTTGTTGTTTTTGGGTTTCTTCTCATCATGATCATTGTAAAAAGACTGTTGATTAGAGAATTAAAATGATTTACGATAAGCTTTAGAAGGCTTTTCTTTGGGTGAGTCGAATATTCAAACAGTTGAGTATCGTATGAAAATATTGGAATATGAGCTAGTGCATTCTATATATGTATATTGTCATCAATATTGTTTAGTGCTTAGTGAAATCTAAATTTTGATTAGAAAAATTTATCATTACAAATACTGAAGAATTAAAATCTAAAATGTAATGAAGTCAAAAGTCATTACTAGGTTACAGAGAGATTATCTCTATTTTAGGACGCATTTCTTGATCATTATTTTATATAATCTTTTAGAAATGCAATCGGGAAGTAGACAACATTACTGTGCGAACTGTGATGAGAAGAGGATATTAAGATCGAAATATATGTCTCTACGCGTCGACATTTGTGTTTTCGATTGTTCCAAAAACAAAAATCGATCTAATATTTTTCTATATATTAGATATAGTTCTCTTCAACTCTATCACAAAAACTATTCTATGTATTGTATAATAAACTTTCAACTGAAACATGAGAAAAAACTATAAAGTATTTTTTTGTATTATTCGAATATAATATTTTGTTCATTTAACACGAACAAAACTTCAATTCAATAGATTCAGTCAGACCTATTTTACTCAATTAAATTCCTATCTTCAGATTGATTAAGAGTAAAACGAAAAAAACAAGCATGAAAACTATAGAATGTTCATTAACGAAATGTCTACCTCGATGAAAACAGGATCCCAATTTCTTTATACATTCTCGGTGGAGTTTCTTTTGGCATCTTGAACATTCATAACCTTGATAAAATATTCCACTACAATAAACACAAAATCTTTTACTTATGTTTATTAATTAGAATATTGTTTACCATAAATATCGATTACATAGATCGCAACGTGGGTTTATTTCATCAAAAGATTTCATTTGAAAATAATGTCCATTTTCAAATAACTCGGGATTCGAGCATCGATCACTAAACATTTATAATAATGAACTTTTATCATTTTATTTCTTAATCATATTCTTACATAGCATCTCGTAAATGTTTGAGCCAATATGCGCGTTTCTCTTCAGTCTTCGCAACAAATCTATATTCATGCTTCATATTATCACGTAAAATAAATGGAAACTAAAAAATTTTAAAAACAAAAACAATTCAACTTTTTTCTTAACCAAATAATTATCATTAAAAGTAAACCTCGCGTTTTGCAGTTTTTAATTCTTCTATTTGACATCCTTGAATAAATAGAGCTGCACGAAACGTATATTTTTCTGAACCCTAAATAATAAAAAGTGAATTCAAGCGTAAAGAAATTCTTTTCGGCTTACTTTAACTTTGCATATTAACAGAACACGATCGAAAAGAAACACAGTTCTACAAGAATACACAACAAATTATACATAAATAAAGTATACTTTGAAGAAAGCAAAAGACCTGACCTTGTTGCACTTCGATGTCCATCATCACTAACAGCAAATTGTTCATCAGCTATAAATCTACCATAACTACGTAAACATCTATCTGATGGTAGTTTGATATCACAGATTCTTTTTTCTATATTATTAATAACTTTTAAATTATCATGTGCACGCTTTGATTCGTTTATATATTGATTAACATCCTTAATAAAAGTAAACAAATAAAAGCAAAACATTAATCGTAATTTTTATTTTTTACAATCATTAATTGTTCGGCTTTTTCTAATATTTGTCGTTTTGTATCACCATTTAGATCTGTTGTGGGGACATTCTTTTTCATTGTCTACAAAAAATTGAACAATACAAATGAGGTTTTTAGTTTTCTTTTCGAAAATTAATCGCTTTACGTGTAATAATAATGAATATTTAACAATGCGTTGAAACGGTAAAACAACTGTATCACGTAATTGAAATTTACCAAGTTCGCCTGCGGATAGACGACATTGCTAAAACAAATATAGAAATCGTTTTTTTTATTTGAAATATACTTAACAAAAAAAAAATTTACAATCAATTACTCAAGATGCCGGAAAAAAGTGTAACGAACAACGTACTTTAGACTTTCTTTTCTATAATTTAAGCATCTAGGTCAAATCTATATACTCGACTTTCAATAAATGATGGAGTTTTCTATCTGATTCATTGTTGTGACTCAATGATTCTAAAATCTAGGTCACGATTGATCTCAAGTCTCTGTGAACTTGACCAAAATTATTTTTTAAATAATACTAATTAAAAAAATTGACAAAACTAGTCAAACAGCCATAAAATTAAGATCAAACAAAATTTATGCAAAATCACTTTTTTTGTTGACTACTTGTGATACTTTCAAAAGTTTAATCGAAAACAATAGTGTCATAACTCGCATTTTGTTGTGTATGAGATTGAATTTTTCAGAACAAATCCTTTCAGACATACAATCCATGAGATGAGATGATATCGAAAAATTCATGAACCATTGCAAATCAACATTCCTGTATTCCAGCTAATTGTTCGAAATGAATCAGAAATATGTTTTTTCTACAATGCTCCCCATCATGTCGCATGATTAACACCTCACATATCTGACTACTAATAATTTTTCAATCAAAAGATTTCGATACAAATACAACTAATGATTGAAAGCTTATTTGATAAAATTTTCCCTCAGAACGTTATTTCAGCTTTTTAATGAGAAGTCTTCAGGCATGTAAACAATTGAGTTACAATCAAGCTTTTGTGTTTCTTCTGTTAGAAGAGTCGAGGGTAAGAGAAATATAGCCTTACAATATCTGTAAAATTTTTCTTCGAGGTTTGTAAAAGTAAATTGTTAAGACGGGTTAAGATTACTAAATACGGTAGATACACATGTAAACAGTTTTTTCATAAATTGTTTTATTAATGTTTTTCTTTGCTGCAAGAATGTACTTTTCAATAGCTATTTCTTAGTCACTTTTCTGAAATGAGTGATTCTATTCGTAATGAGTACGAAGCAAAATCACTCTTTATGTTATGCTAAAGGGAAAATTCGGAATATCTTGTATACAATGTAGCAGATAGTTGTTTCTCAAAATACCAAATTTTCTATCTAAAACTTATTATTATTCCTCTGTATAATCGATTCATGAGCTACAATTCCTAGAAGAATTTTCCTCAGATTTACTAATAGTTTCATTGCTCATGTCATGTCATGAAAAACAAATAATCATTTAATTAAATGACTTATTCAATCGTAAATGATGGCACCCTTTCGAAAGATCGAGTACGACATGGCAACATCTGTGATTTGACCTATAAAATTTGCTCTTATCTAGATAAGTGTAATTGGGATGTATTTGAATAACATCTCATGGTGTAAATAGAAAATTTTATTTTATTTTATAATTACTTCAAGTTTTTGAGCAAAACTACTATCTTGTTTGATTTTTCTATCGAGAAATTCTTGAGCATCAGGCAATTCAGAACAATATTTTGCATAAATAAGAAATCGATCTTGCCATTTTGTAAATAAATCTACAATACGGGATGTACGACCTTTTTCATTTCGTCCAGCTGCGCGTAAATCTTCATAGAATTCTGAATGTAACGCATAGATATCCTAAAAATCGATAAAAAGAAACACAAACAATTTTATTTAATTAGAAAAAATTGGATATTCGTAACTTACAGAAATATTTAAAAAAATGTTCTTTTTTTCCTCTATTTTTAATGGTAGTGGTTCGATAAAATGCTAAAAGAAATTAAATTATCTACTTTTGTATATTAAGAAAAGTATATTCTATTTACTGTCACTATTTGATACAAAGAGTCACGATAATTTAATTCTGTATCAAGCAATTCTTTTACACAATGATCACGTGGCAGAAATGCTTTATGATTGTCCTAAATAGAGCAATCAAACATTTTCTAAGCAATTTGCATTTTATCAAATAACAAGAAAGTGTTAATTCATAGTAGTAAGCATTAAGCAGAGAAAAGAGAAAAACTAACAGGTCTTTTTTGTTTTTCACATAATTGTTCATAAACATCATCGGCAATACTTATATGTGAACCATAAACACCTGAATCACCATTTAATATTGAAAATGGAAGAGATGATGTTGATAAACGACGATTTGTTAATGTTATTAAATCAGTAGAATTTTTATCTGTTGTTGCTGCTGCTGACGAAAGTGTTGATGCAGCATTAGCAGCAACAAGTGACGCTGATGAAAGTGCTTCAGTTAAATTTGTTGAACTTGTGGTTTTTATAAATGATGATTCTTGTTTTGTTGTTGGGGATAGATTAGTTGTATGAAATGAAGGTACATGGTGGATGCGTGCATAACGACATGAATGACATAAAGATGACTGACGTTGTAATTTAGGTGGTCTAACAAAAAAATAAAATAGGGTGCAGAAAGTAGCAAGAGCAACAAGCAAATACAAAAAGCAAAGAGTGCGTGTAGGTACAAAAAGAAGCACTAAAAAGGCAAAGCATAATTTTTTTAAGGAACCAACCCTCTTTTTCTCAATGATACGTCCATAGAGATCATTTTGTCCTGTTGGCGAAACAATTGTTTCAGGTGATGCATAATATAGAAGTGCTCGAGAATCATCATCATCATCATTATTCATCATAGGAGTACTGAACAATGGTAGTTAATATATTTTCATATTGAATGAATAAAACTATACATAAAAACCAAAACAAAATCAAACTTACTCTTGTGTTGGTACTGTTTCATCAAGTGAACGAACAGTTGGTAACATTCCATTAGCATCCTCTTTTGCAACATTAGCATAATTCACTGGGCTATTTATTGGAAATGGTGTTAAATTTTTTCGTTTAGCTATATCTAATCGAGATATTTTCGACAGTGTCTCAATAATCTTAAATAGAAGAAAAGAAAAACTACTATGCATCAAAACAATCGAATTTTCTTTACTTTATCTAAATCATATTTATCAAATAACATATACGGATCGAAAAGATCTCGATCACGAAAATTTAATTCACGTCTGCATGTATCCAAAAATAGGCGAATATTTTGTAAACATAGAAACTAAATGAATTGAAACTTTTCATTTAATAAAAATCATATCGGATTTCTTACTCGACTTTTTTGTGGTCGAAATGAAACATCTGTATAATTTATTACTCCAGGCACTAAATAATTCAGTAAATTACATAAAACAATACCTAAAAAAATCAATAATCAATCAGCTTTTCTTAAAATAACCTCGAAAGAAAGATTTTTCAAAAATATCTAACCATCAGTTAGGATAACTGCTAGATCTTCAATTGTACTGGCTGGTAAACTTAGAATACGATTAGCTTCAGGCGCTAATACATGACATTGATTGAGCCATTGATATGCTTGACGCCAAAATGGTAGAAAAGTCTTATTTGGATCAAACAGAGGTGGTAATGCTGATGGACTATTCATTATTTTGTTTATTGACCTTTGATTGAATACATCTTAGAAGAAGAAAAAAACGAAAACCGTTAAGCAAACATTATATCGTCTTTTTTTTATTAATCATTGGTTGTTTAAAATAACCAATTAAAAATTATTTTTTGAACCTCTTTTTATCGCAGGAATAGAATTATTTTCCGTAATTCCATAAAAATTTGAATGAAAATTAAGAAAAATATATTATAAAGTTTATTTCAAAATTATTTTTTCAAAAAATCATAAAACCAACAGATAATTTTATTAGCTAATGTTTCCTCTACAATCATTTTCGTATGACGATCAATTAATCAACATTGTTTATCAAAACTTCGTCTTTACATTAATGTTTTTATCTTTATCATCATTACTGATATCGTTTATTGCCTACCATTACTGCTGTGATGATAAAGATTCTGTCCTCTCACTCACTTCTCACGAGGAACAAAACATTTGTCTTCGCAGCAGCAGGTAGTCGAGAAATTTTATCGACATCTTTCAGTTTCATTTTTCTAGACCTTTCGGTGACATTTTAACATTATATTCTGGAAAAACTATGTCTTATGGTACTTGGTTATCGCCAATAAATTCTTCATTAATCGTTGAAAATACTTTAACATTATCAGAAGTTCAAGTTGATGAAAAAGGAAATGCTTATTGGCTTGAACTTCGTCCATCTGAAGATGGTCGTTATGCAATTCGTTCAAATAGGCAACAAAATGATTTAATAGAAACACCATTTAATTGTCGTACACGTGTTCATGAATATGGTGGTGGATCGTATAATGTTAAAAATGATATTCTTTACTTTACACATTTTGTTGATCAACGTATTTATCAATTGAATCTTAAAGAAAATAATTCACCAATACCATTAACAAATGAATCAAATAATTCATCATTACGTTATGCAGATTTTGATGTTGATTTATCTCGACAACAATTATTATGTGTACATGAAAACCATGAAAATGAAAGTGACGTTCAAAATACCATCGTTTCTATTTCATTGAAAAATTTACCTTCATCCGTAATTACATTGGAATCAGGCTATGACTTTTATTCATCACCAAAAGTAAGTCATGATGGAAAATATTTATTATGGATTTGCTGGAACAATCCAAATATGCCATGGGATCAAACAGAATTATGGATTGGTGAATTTAATAATGACGAAAATTTAACATTGATTAATAAAAGAAAATTGTTTGGAAAAATTGATGAATCAATTTTAGATCCAAAATGGTCACCAGATGGAAAATTTATTTATTTTATTAGTGATCAAAATGGTTGGTGGAATATCTATCGTACAGATATTAATGGACAATCATTAGAACATATTTATAATATGGACGCAGAATTTGGTGGACCAGCATGGCAATTTGCTACATCATATTATGGTTTTGATTCCAACGGAAACGTTATTGCTGTTTATTGGAAAGATGGCATTGCTAAATTAAATCGAATTGATGTTCAAACCAAAACACTTACTCCATTGATCGAAACAGTAGAATATACTGATATTCGTTTTGTTCGTGTTTGTAATAACAGTGTTTATTTTATTGGTTCATCATCTGTAAAACCATCTGAAGTAGTAATGCTTAATATCGAAACGAATACAAAACAAGTTCTAAGTCGTTCAGCAACTTTAAAATTTGATTCACGTTATTTATCTGTACCTGAAATGATTACATTCGCAACTGGCAATGATATTGCTTACGGAATTTATTATCCACCGAAAAATGATGATTACCAACATCTAATAAACAAAACAGAACTGCCACCATTACTTGTACGTACTCATGGTGGTCCAACATCAGCGACAACAAGTGCATTCAATCTTCGTATACAATATTGGACATCACGTGGTTTCGCCATGCTTGATGTTAATTATCGTGGTTCGACTGGTTATGGACGTAAATTTCGTGATAGTCTAAAAGATAATTGGGGAATTTATGATGTACAAGATGCAATAGCCGGTGCTAAATATCTTGTTGAACAAAATAAAGTGGATAGAAATCGTTTAACTATTGATGGCGGGTCAGCTGGTGGTTATACCACATTATGTGCATTAACGATGTATGATTATTTTTCTGCTGGTGCATCACATTATGGTGTCAGTGATCTTGAATTACTTGCACTGGATACACATAAATTTGAAGCACGTTATCTAGATAGATTAATTGGTGAATATCCAGCTAAGAAAAATATTTATGTTGAACGTTCACCAATAAATCACGTGAAGAATCTATCAAAACCGATTATATTTTTTCAAGGTTCAGAGGATAAGGTAGTTTTACCAAGTCAAGCCGAAATTATGGTTAATGCATTACGTCAGAAAAAGTTACCCGTTGCTTATGTTTTATTTGACGGTGAACAACATGGTTTTCGTAAAAACAAAAATATACGAAAGAGTTTAGATGGCCAATTTTATTTTTTTTCAAAAATATTTCGATTTCAGATGGCTGATGATGTTGAGCCTATCCCAATTGAGAATTTATCAGAAGATTAAAAATTTCTACTTTAATTAATCTTTTCTTTTTCTAGATAAATATTAGTTTTTTCTGCTTTTTCAAAATAAAAAGATAACAGTAAACATGTCGGGAGGGTAATTAAAAGTGATTCAATAAAAATTTTGTTGTTGTATTTGTGTCTTTTTTTTATTAATAAAGTGATTATAATAATCAAAGATCACCTGGACGTTCTCGTTCACGTTCAAGAAGTCCTAATCGTCTTTCACCATCACATAATAATCAACAATCATCGCAAAGAAATTACTATCGATCATCATCGAAAAATAATAGTTCATTTAATTTTCATGATAGAAGAAATAATCGATACCCATCAAATCATTCAAATAATAACAATGGTAATGATCATCGTAATAATAATGGTGGTGACCGACTTAGTCAAGCAGTTAATTTATATTCCGATCGTGAGCTTGGATTAAAATATCGGTATGAAATTTATTTTAAAAAGGCATGTGTATGTATATTTTTTTTAATCAAATTTTACTTGTGATTTAGATGGGAAAAAACAGTTCATGTATCGAATATACCTTATGATATGAGATGGACAGCTTTAAAAGATTTATTTCGTACTGAAGGTTTGATGTGTCAAAATTGTTTTCTCAGTTAATTTTACTGCTATTAAATTTTAGTTGGTGAAGTCATGTATACAGAAGTATTCGAACGAGATGGAAAGTCACTCGGTTGTGGGTAAGATTGAATGAAAATATTGAGATTAAGAATTCTATTATTATTATTATTATTATTTCTAATAGATCGGTTGAATTTCGAACTGTTGAAGAAGCAAAGCGTGCTGTGGATAAAATGCATCAATTTGAATATGGTGGTCGAAAATTAGCAGTAAAATTGGTAAGATAAATGATTCTATAGAATATTTAAATAAGAAGAGCAAAATCAGATTGTTGCATGTTGATTCTAAAACATGTTTACTTAATTTTAATCAGATAAATTTCTTTGTTATTTGATTTTTAATCAATAAGTTGAGCAAGATTCAATTATTTTTAAGTGAAAATTTGATTGATAATCCAAATAACTGTTTCAAAATAGTAAAACAAATTTTATTTGCATTGTATAACAGATAGAACTATAATTATAAGAATTTAAAGAAAAAATTCACGAATAAATATTAAATGTCCGACATTAGGATGTGTATAGAAATATCTATAGTAATGAAAATGATGAGAACAGTCAATCAATGTATAAGTTTCTTCTTCGAATGATCTTTTTCTACTTATCGAGACTTTGTGTTCACTCGAGAGTGATACTTCTGGATTCTATTTCGAAGTTGCCTCTCTTTCACAAATCTAAGATATTCTAAATTCTATGAAGGACCTCACTTTTTGTATTTCCACAAGTAGATAGTTGTCGTAGTAAAATGAATCATAAAAGAATATTTTGAGAAATTCCTGTCCCAAAAGTATTAAGCCTTTAAGCTTCATTAATCTTCATAAAAACTACTGTATATTCGATTTTCAAAGTAAAATCTATCATAATAGATGTTTATCATATTTCATAAGATTCAAAACATTGGAGAACATCAAAATATAATTAAAGTTTTTTCTTCTTAGCAAAGAAATAATCTTAATATTTTTGTACGTTTGTAGGATGAGGAAGGCTATCGAACACGTCGAGCTAAATATCAGTCACTTGAAGGACGTCTATCTCAAAAGGGTAATATGTTTCAACATCAAAGTAATTTATCGAATCAATTTGGTAATAATAATGGAGATTCTGGTAATCTATCACGTTCATCTCAAATAGCTGGTAAAATAATCCGAAATTATTTAAAAAGCAATAGCAAGTTTTAAATGATTTCTTCTGGTAGGCCTCAATAGTGTAGGTGTTTCACTTTCGGGTTATTCTTCTGTTGCCGGCATTCCACCGTATATGTTACAACGATTAGGTATTGAAGGACCTATTACAAATAAAGTCTTCGTTGCTAATGTAAGTGAATGTAATATGATGTTCGTATTGAATTTAAAAAAAAAGAAAAAACTTCATTTAGCTCGATTTTAAGTGTGATGAAAAAAAAGTTCGTGAAGTATTTTCGTTGGCTGGTCGTGTTCGTGATGTAACATTGAAACGAACCAAAGAAGGACAAAGTCGTGGTATGGCTATTGTTGAATATGAATATCCACTAGAAGCTGTGCAAGCTGTATCAATGTATAATGAACAACAATTATATGATAGAATAATGGCTGTTAAAATTGATCTTAAAGATGAAGGAAAAGATGATGGGAGACCAATGAAATTACCAAGTAAAAATAATCATTGTTTCTATATTAAATTAATTTATGATCGTATTTTAGGTGGTCTAAAATCAATTGGTGTTGGTTTAGGCATTGCTGGAAATCCATTACGAGCATCTAGTATGAACATCATATATTTACACGGAATACAAAATTTCAGATATGTTTATTATAGATGTAAATCAACTTGAGCAACCCATCTCACAAATAAATCCAATAAATTCAAATCCAATGCAGAACATTACACCCAATGTTTCAGGTTAGTCCTATTTCTATTTCATATGATTTAAATATAAGAACTATTGTGTTTATAGACTATATGAATCATAGTGATTTAACTGCTTTACAAGCACTATCACAATTATCACCAAGTGCAATTAGTGCTTTAACACAATTAGCTGCGAGTGGCTTCACAGGACTTAATTCGTTAACTGGTTAGTTTGAAGGATTTTATTTTTTCGTATAAAATAATTTTATCGTCAAATTTTTTAAGGACTTCAATCAACAAATTTGGGTTTAGGTTCATCATCATTAGGTCTTGATTTACATTCAAATTCTAGTTCGTTATTTATTTTTCTCATACTGATATGAAATAACTGTTTGACATTTAAATATTAGATTCACTATATTCATCGCTGGCTGGTGGATATTCAAATTATCAGCAATCATCTGGTCTTAGTGGAGTTTCCCAATTATCATCTCAATTATCAGGTATTGTAACAGATTTGATGTCTCCTTTTTGTTTTTCTTTTGGTTGCTTGTTTTTGTTTTGAACCTCAATCGATTTGAATTCCTATCTATACATATATCCAGGCTCATTCTACAAAGATGACGATGCACGTTTGGGTCAATCAGCACCGGTTGGTGTATCAACCGTATCATCGGTTCGTACACAACCGACGTCATCATTTGCCGGTGGTCGAAGTGTGTTGGGCACCGGTGTTGGGGGTGTCAGTGGTCTTGGTTCATCTTTGAGCGCATATCCGACATCGAATACTAATACACAACGTTCAGTTGGAGGCGTACTTAGTACAGGTGGTGTAGCCGGTCAGAATTCGGGCATTTACGATCGTTCACGAGGACGGTCTCCATATCGTTAACATTGAAAGCAAAGAACAAACTAACAAATAAAACTTTTGATTTCATAGAATTGTATATGTCTAATTGGTGGATTTATTTGGATTGATGCTGCCTTTTTGCGTTTTGAAGTTAGATGATGATCATGATAAAAAAAACTCGTGCATTTGCATTTGTCTATATTGTCTATCTCTATTATTCTTTCGTTGTTTGTGTTTTTGTTTTCGTTTTCGTTCTCTATTTGTCTCTCTGTCTCTCTTTATTTGTCTCTTTCTCAAACAAGCTCATCTTCGTTGTTGGTGTCAGTAGATATTTAAAAAAAAAATGAATGGATCAAAAACAAAATGCTCGTTATTATCTTAGTTCATATTGATGTTTGTATTTCTGAGAATAGGAAGTTGTGAAAAGATTATTGCTCCTATTTCTTGTTGATAATATTGTCACATTGGAAACATGTTATTTAAAAATGAAGATACAAGTTTGAATTTTTGTGATAATAATGCAAAAATAATTGTTTATTAAATTGTGAGGTGAGATAAGAATCGAAATTCGTCGTAAGTTGATTTTTGATTTTGTTTTATATATTATATTTTTATAAACTCTCTATTTTTTTTTTGTTTTGTTTGATTGTTGAAAATTGATTCTAGTTCATATGTTTCAAGCCTGAACATGATTCGTTACATGAAATTATATTGCCATACAAAAAAGCATGTTTCCTTCTGTTACTTTTAGCAAAAACACCGATTTGTTGCATTTTTGCTGGTAATAACAATATTTCGTTACATCGAATTTAGTTTATATTGTTGTTATTGAATAATTCACTTTTTTAAAATTATCTATATTTGATTATTCTTGTTTTTTGAAAGTATTAGAATGACGATTTACTTGAATTTATGTATGTTTCTGATGAACATTGTATTGAAGAATATTTTTATTCAATTTATCAATGGATGATTATTGATGGAATTCGTTCTATTTGGCTTTCGTATTGAAATTATTGTTTTTTCTAGAAAATATTGTTGTATATTTTTTTTCAAAATTTAAAAACTTATGTTTTGTTTCTTTTTGTTTTGTTATTCTAGGTTGGACTGCGTAGTTAATGAAAAAATCTCTTGATAGAATATGACCAGATATTAACAACCACCATATTAATACAAGTACGAAGAAAAAGAAAATTTATCGTATTACGATAATTTTGGGAATCGCTTTTGAACTAATCCAAAATGAGATAAACTCAAGTCAGAACTGTACATTCAAAGTAGACTTTTTATTTATGTAGTTTTGTAAAGAAAAAAAAATTTTATTATTATTATTATCAAGTTAACTGTTGTTAATATCTGAATAATTGTTATCAATAAATATTTTTTGATGTTTTTCTAGAAAATCAAGATCACGTTCAATACTATCTAATTCATTAGTTAAATCTTTTTTTTTCATAATAATCGATGCTGTTTCGAGTCGTAATGGTAGACGTTGATATTCTGCAAATGTATCTTCGTAACGATTTTTCAAATCTAAATATTTAGAAAAAACAAAAGTACCAATTAATGTGGGTCGTGTGAAATTAACCATGGAAAGACATTGTTACCAATCATAGACAGATTTCCTCGATTATCAAACATATTTTCTCGTTAACCTTTGACTTAGTTTGTTTTCACTATAAAACACTGCATGATGAAGATAGGTTGAGACAGTTTCTCCGCAGCTGAAAATTTAACTTTTTTGAGCTGAAAATAAGTCACTGCCGACGCTTAGAACTATCTTAACGGCGTATTGTGCGACTTCTCTCACTCAAAAGTATTTATATGTTGATATCTCTTCAAAACATATGAATGTGATTGAAAATTTTGATTGAGAGACATTGCAAAACAAATCTGCGCAATAGTTTGAATGTTATCACTGAATTGATTTCTGCATAGAAACAAAAAATAAAGGAGTTTTAAGGTAGAAAAATGACCTTATCTTCTGCTATCGTCCTTTGAGATAAAAGATGTCAAATAGAACTAGTATTAAGTACATATTACTGGCTTCTATAAATAAAGTTCTTTCGCGCTTGCCTTTATTTACACTGTAACGAGATGCTATTAACTGCGGTACCTTTATTGATCAGTGACTAGTATCCATGATTCTCTTTGCGGTCTAGGACTTGCAATTTTTTATCTTTTACTTTCTGGAAATTTTTAAATTGAATATCAAAATAACAAAAGATAGCGAATTATTCAATTCAGCATGCAGATATTTACTATTAATAAGACAAAGACGTTCTTCAGGTGGTATTAATATTATTGAATTATCTGTAAAATTCGAATTTGATGGTTCATCATATATTTTACGTGCTTCAAGATACCGTGGAATTTTACCATAATTCTAAATGCATAGAATAAAAATTTGAACAATAAAATCATGTTTACTTTTTTATAAATGAAATCTTTTTGTAAACCACTACCATCAATAAGAAATTTATTTCCTTTTCTATCCAAAACAACATATCGACGTGGACATATTGGTAGAGAGTTTTTCATTTGATCAATATTATATTCAATAAAATTTTTTGATGGTTTTTCTAATTTATTTCGATCATTTTGTTTGCTTAATCTTGGAATTGGTGGCATTCGATGTGAACGAATTAATGGAATAACTGATTTGCACGTAACGATACTAATTAAATAAATATGAATTAAACATACCTTTAGGCAATTCAGTATAATTTTGACGTCGTCGAAGTGGATGAGTTGGATCAGGTTTTGAAACAGTAGCTAAACCCATCGTACGATGTGAATATTTTTCTTTATTAAAATTTTGTAAAACATTTGAAGCAAATATTGATCGATAGTAATGTCTAGAAAATATTCATTAGGATAAATCGACTTATGTAGACACTTATGTTTTTTTTTGTATTATTCTTTCTAGCCGTCAATGATTTATTTTTTAATACATAGATTTTTAGGAAGAATAACTAATTAGCTTCTCGTTATAAAAATGATGTTTATCAATAATGAATATAGAGATACTGAGACCGTCTACTTTCAACATAGAATTTATTATGAAGAAAATAAATGCTAATAAAACACTAATAATGTTATGGCAGTACATCAATTATGAAAATAATATTGAACATTGTACTATTTTACAGATACTTAGTTAGCAGTAGAACCAAATGTATGCACTAGTTATAAACGTATAGATATACAATCTAAACATTTCGGCTCCTAATTATCTATCATTTACTCAATTTTTATACAAGATCGAAATTTATCAAATACAATTTCACTCCTGAATAGATTAATTATTTTTTGTTCATGTACGATAAAATATGTTCAAAATAGAAAATGATTCTATTTCGTAGTAGTTTTACTACTCTCTTATTCATTGCTGATGGCATTGATCTATAAGTTAAATTTGATAAGATGAAAAATTCTCTTTCGTTGATACTTTTATATATAGATAAATTTACTTTGAATGGCTTGATTGAGAAGATGAACATTTAGGTAAATGATTAAGTAAATTATAAATTGTTTCGTCTACAATATTCATTATCTTCAGTCACTTGACAATTAAAATGTTTGAAATGATTCCATGAAAGAATTTCATTACTTCACAATGCCTCTAAATTCTTGTAAAAGTTCAATAGTTTTTATAGATACTAGTTTGATCTCTCTGAAACTCATCATCAAGAATACAATTTAAGAAATACGCGCGCAATAAGATTGTAAAATGAAAAATAGTGATATGATGATAGATTTTGTAAATTTCAATACATCAAGTAATCCATTCCTAACTGTTGATTATGAACAACGTTTTGAAATTTTCTTTAATTCTTTTATCTTCTTGTAAGTTATCAGATTTGAGCCTTTTCTACCAGATCAATTGCTTTTTTTAAGCGCTATCCTTAATTGTACAGCTTTACTTGTATTACTAATTATTAGCTGTTTTGTGATGTGTTTATGGTGTGTATTGTAGCAACTTTCCTTGATGATTACTTTTTGTTTTGTGTTTGTATAGGTTTTCTATGCTATTGTGTTGCCAAGATTCTGCTGGTATTCTTGGTGATATACAGGATAACACGGATGAAGTGAAACGAGAACAAAATGACCAAGACAGTGTAAGAAAAAATAGTCGTACTGATACGAATAAATAAGAGCGTTCATTTGAATATAACAAGCTAGAATATAGTGAAATTTTTTATTCGATCACAACATGAAGACCATTCAAAAGTATACAACTTATAGAGTTGACGTATAACTTACTATGGAATGAAGAAAATCTTGCTAAATATGTGTGGTTAGATTAGTTCTGAATAAGAACTCAATTATCTGTAATATTCTATCTTTTTCTTTTCATCTCAATGAGGCAAACAGAGATATTTTTTAATTATAGCAAAATTTTCAGAAATTCCAGTTTTACTTGTGCTTCTTTGACACAACCCAGGACGAACAATCCGATAGCTGAATCCAACCGGATTTCGATCGGCTCCTGCATGATTCTAAGCAAATCCGGATTGCGGATCCACTCACGGATCCCTAGTGTTGGAATCCGATCGATTCTTGCAGGAACCAGTCAAAACCCGATAGGTTTCTTTAGGAACCTCGTTGGAATCCAACTCCTGAAATTCCTATCGAATTCGGTTGTTGGATTTGGTCGGATATTCACCGGATTTCAATACTAGGGATCCGTTAGTGATTCCTCAACCCGGAATCCCATGGGGCTCTGTCGGCTATTCGGATTCTATAAGATCCGATCGGATTCATTCACTTGGGAAGCTATATAAATATGACTTCATAGGGATTCTTGTGTATTAAGCACACAGACCCCTTCCGTCAAAAAAAATAATATTTGTGAAAGTCGCTTTTGTGATTTATAGCTACTCAGACGCAGCTAAGTGCATATTATCGACTGCACTATACTCATGTCGGACAGAATGGTCCATAAACGATCTTAAACGTCATAAATACGGTGTTTCTAACGAATGATCGTATACGATCTTGAGACGGCCAAATACGATAACGTTTCCGATGGCCGTATACGAAACTCCGTAAACGTCACATATTTCAGTCGTAATACTTTCATATATCATATCAAACGACCAGAAGTCATACTTTTTTTATTAGAAAACCGTTGCTTTTTTATTTTTGCAAAGAACAATCCAAAAATGAACGTTGTTTTTTTTACTAAATTGGCTTCAATAAGCAATATATGCAATCTTTTGTACTTTTTCTACATAAATCTATTTATTTTTTTGTTTTTTTAGATTTATGAATCTTAAAAGCTCTATCGAAATTTCTTGTTTATTTGTGTTCCGTGTATAGTGTTTCGGTTTTCTATATCAATAATATGATCATGGAAAATAAGTGAATGTATATGAATAAAAAAATGTTTTATTTCTTCATCACATCCTATTGACTTCTTTTTATATAAATATGACGATTATAAAATACATCTAACTTATGAAGTTTAATTCATCAGTAAGAAGTTGCCTTTAAAACAGCATTGATAGATGTCATTTAATTGTGTGCGAGTTCAACAACATCATAGATTGAATATGGGCGTCATCTATCGTGTCAGAGGTTTTATTTTATTCAAGATGGATGTGCCTATGTGTGTATCGCTCATACATGTTGATAGTAAACAAAAACATAATGCCACTTGTTGTCATTATCATGAGTATCAATGCAAAAAAATTGATGAACATTGTGAACTATATCCAAAAGAAAACGAATTCTTTGTAGATGTGGAAATATTGATTTTGTTTGTAATATAAATTAATCGAAATATGTCAACGGCATCATCAACAGCAAGTACAATCAAGCAACGCAAATTAAATGATTTACGTGTAGTTGATTTGCAACGCGAATTACGTTTCTTAAGTGTTCCCTATGATAAAAAAGAACTCAAAGGATCACTTCTCGAGAAACTACGCCAGGTAATTGTTTTATTTTATTATTCTTGTATAATAAATTTTATATTAAAAAATGTTTTAGGCTTTATTCAATCGAAATCTTGATCCAGATAATTACTTTTTTGATGCTTCTATTGATCTTAAATCAATGTCATCCGATGAAACAAATAGAGTAAGTGTGAATCAATTTTTCCAAAAATTTTCTTATTGTCTGTTTTTCAGAGTCTCGAAGACAGTGCTCTACATGAAACAAACAGCTCCGAAGCATCAACTATGGAGGTTAGTTCGTTTCTTTTTTCTTTCTCAATAGTATCTAGAGAAAAGCAAGATGATATTGAGTAAGAAAAATGATATTCTTGATAGTTTAAAGCATAGCGTTTTTCATTACATAACCAAGCGATATAGTTGACTAAATATATTAGTTATTGTGTACTGACATATAAGAATCTGAGTTTTTTTCTGGAAGAGAACTCTTGAAAAAAGACATTTCGATAGACTTTATCCTCACATTATTGCCAAAAGCATTGAGGTCAGTGATAAGATTCACATAAACGATTCGGATTTCTGTCATCATATGCCATTGAAAGGTACTTTAATTAATGTTTCATTCATAATAATTGATGAATTTTATTGACTTACATTTGAACACATCAGATTGCTGTCACTTATAATCACAAAACAAAGTGTATTTTGCACTCAAACTACAAGTTAGCCTATTAGAAGCACATGAAATCAGTGTTTTTTGCTACGTTGCATTGAATTAAAATCATAAGAAAAATTAGTATCATTTGTAAATTAATATTCCAAAGATATACAACTTCCTCTCTTCTGATTTTAATTGAAATAAGAAACTTTATTAATGATTTAACTGCATTTTGTTATTTTTTTAGGTCGATCCCAAACAACGAGTAAATACTGAAAATCCAGGTGAGAAAAAGAGAATAAAACATTTTTTTTGTATTATGAAATAGCCATGTTAACATTTTCAAGTATATGAATCCTTTACTCTTTATCTTCTTTTTTTTTCATTATTTCGTCTTGAATATTTACGTATATTCACTAATTCAGTTATGTCCGCGTATTACTCAATTGAACATAAAGAAAAAAAGTGACGCGAAAAATTTTGAAAAACTAGGAGACTCCTAACAATAATAGATGATGAAAGACAAAAAACAGAAACTCGGCTATGCAAAATAGTTACATACATTGATTTATAGTCAGTAGAAAACTTGAAAAAAATTAATCCATATTGTTTCAAAGTGCAAGCAACATCATCTATGAAAAGTTCAACAACAACGTCGTCATCAGTGGCAAACGAGCTAGGCGATGACCAAAATGATCAAACAAATCGTATGGATACGAATGATTTGAAACAGATTGCTGAAGAATATGATAACAATAGCAAATATTTAACAATCGATCAATCAACAACAAAGCAAGAAGATGAAAATAATAATGATAAAATTGATCATGGTCTTACACAAGTATCCTGTTCATCATCTGATGAAGAATTAGATACAAATAATCGAATTCAACTGTCACCAAACAAAAACTCTTTCAATCATAACACAGAATCAATGGCAACAAACACCATCACTACTACAACTGAACAACCATTATCATTGGAGCATTCACATGGTGAAGATGAACAACAAACAAATCTATCCACTGACGATAATGATAATCTTTTGAAAAGGTAATCAATCGATTTCGTCTATGTCTCTACAGAATTAAAATTAAAAAAAATGAAAGATGCGTGAGTATAGTTGTGTTTTTGTATCTGTACTTTGTTCAATACTCAACGACGAAAATTTTACCATCAATACATTATATTCTTGTTCTCAATTTAATAACAACAATGAATTTATTTATTTTTATTTAAATTAGTGTTTTTTGTTTGTGTTTTGTTTTATTCAATTATGATTTTCTTTGCGCGATTTATTATTTTGTTTGATTAATTATTTAAATTCATATAAATTTAACTTTATTTCTTTCTTCATTTATCAGTGAAACGAATATACAAGAATCATCAGATGAGAACAAAAAGAAAGAAAATACAAATAAATTAAATAAAGGTAAAAGAAATTATTTTTCAAAAAAATAATTTTTATCGTTTTTTTTCTCCATTAGACGAATGTTTTCTTTGGGTATCGAATATTGCCAAAGAAACACACGCATCTGATCTCAAAGCATTATTTTCAAAGCATGGAAAAGTAAATACTATTTTCCTATTTCCTATGGTTGCAATTTTATCTAAATAGGTTTTAACAACAAAAGTTATTGGTTCAAGTTCATCTCAATGGTTTGGATATATTCATTTAGCAACATCAGATGATGTTGAAAAATGCATTCAAGCATTGCATCAAACAGAATTACATGGGGAAAAAATTCATGTCGATAGAGTAAGTTCATCGTATGTAATATTTTTCAATAGATTAATAATGAACAAAATATCAACTTACTGGATATTTCAACGAATATTTTAATCTGATAGAGAATCGTTCAGTATGAATTCATTCAATTTTTCTTTCAATTGAATATTGAAGTATTTATTTTTCATAAAGCAAACATTTCTAATTGATCCTAAAGGCTTATTCTATGAGTGAATACACAATATATTGCTTTATTTACTCAACAATTTATGATAATATTCACATCGTATTTTATCGTGGCACTCTTATATCAAGTTATACAATCAAAACGAAGCAATGTGGTTGATTAGCTTTTTAATTTATCAAAGATTTGCTTAGATATTATCTCTTGTATATTCATGACAAGGGAATGAAATATAAAATTCATTAATATTATACGTATCTGACAAGTAGCTATTATAGAGTTTGTAGGTTTTTGAAGTCGCCTATTTTCCAAGAGAATTGCTTTTTTTTTATAAAGCACTGATATATCAGTACTGTACAAAATCGAATGTTGTAAAGATGAATCAAACAGTTGGTTTACATAATTATTGGCTCAGAAAAATTAGATTTATTCAGCTATAACAATACACCCGAATTATTCATCCCGTAACAACTAGGTAGAACTAATGGTTCAAACGCTGAAGTATAATATATCGCCTATTTTCCTCGCATTGAAGGAAATAACATAAGATATCTTTATCTCAATAAAAGATGAGAAACATATCACCGGATATATATATATATATATATATCATTACTTCAATTAACAAATATATGCTATGTCTTTTTAAATTTAATTTTCTTACGAAATATGAATAGCAACATAATCATATGTATATTAGAATAAAAGAAAAAACTTATATTTCCACGTTTTTTTCCAAATTTGTAGGAAATGCATGATCAAACATCAGATTCATCATCATCAAAGTCTAAATCGAATAGTACTTCAACATCGTCTCGTCATCGGACATCATCAAGTTCACAAAAAAAACGATTAGATCAATCAAGTTATAAATCATCTACAGATGATTCATATAGAAATCGTGACTCAATCACAAATCCTCAAAATAAATCCTCAACAATAGACACCAATACGTCATCGAAAAAACGATCAACATCAACATCTTTTGAAAATAAGCAAAAAAAATCAACAGCCGACGTAAACAACAAACCGAATAAAGATGAAAAAAGCGTTAGATCACATAAAACTGATTCATTCAATAAAATAGCAAACGAACCATATTGTGAAAAACGAAGAAATTCATCGAGCAGTAGTAATAGTCAACCGTCAAAGCACCAAACTCCTCGTACAGATATTACAAAAACAAATGACAAATTAGGTATTATAAATAGTCTAAAATTTCATTTTTCTATCGAAGAGTACTATAAAAATGATAAGCTTCCGATCGACTAAAGTCTATGGTTCATTACATAATTTATCTCATGTTTTTACTTAACTATTGTGCTCTAACAAGAAATCGACCGTGGTAGAGAGATATATTCAACATAAATAACTAACGTCCAGAACTAATAGACAAAAATATTCATTCGACTTTTCTTAACACGAATGGTGATATTGAAAGATTTATGTATGCTGGTGGGCATCAATGAATTATAAATTGATTATTATCACTATTTTATATTGGATGATGATATTACTTTCACTATAATCATTTATTATCAAAATACACGAAAGAAAATGGTTTGGATTTGGTTCTTCATAGATGACACGATTCACTCTTTTCAAATAATTTAATAATGAAGGAGAATATTGGTTATTCATTTTCTATCTATTTAAATCTGTTGAACTTGGCTTTGATGTAAATAATACAATCATTTACAATACGAGTTTTCATAATAGAATTTCATACGCTTTTGTATTCGTAAAGAGCTAAGAAAGTACCATGAGATGAAAATAGAAATTTTCAATAGACTTTGAATGAAAAATATTTTCATGAAATTAAACTTTTTACTAAATTATTTTATTTCAGTATTTTCTCACAAATCAACAAACGATAATCGTAAAGGTAATCGATGTCCTATTGGCTCCGAAAAATCATCCTCAAGTTCATCGTATACTTCAAAATCGAAGATATCGCCATCTGTTTCACATCGAAGCGAATCAAATGAAAAACATTATATACCATTATCAACAAAAACTAATAGTCATCGTTCATCTTCAATTGATAAATCTAAACAACAGCAACAGGCATCATCTCATACTGTACCAAATAGATATGACAAATCAAAAGATTCATTTGTATGTTGATGAAAAATACATAGTTTGAATGTCAAACTATAATAAATAACTTATTCTTTCTAGCCAAAAGATCCTATTCAGCATGAAACACCACCAAAAACATTCGACCATGATCGTCGTTCAGCATATCAAAATGAAGAACGTCTACGACATGAAAAAGAAATACTCGTACGAAAACAATACGTTCAACAACAAGAAGAAGAAAATATTAAAGAACAACAACGACGTTTAGCTGAAGAACGAGCACGAATGAGACGAGAATTTGAAAGTAATTTTTTTTCTATAAATTTAATTTTTCTAATATTAATTCTATTGAATGTCTCATACTAGTTCTTGAACGTGAGCGTCTAGAAATCGAACGTACTCGAGTTGCATTGGAAAAAGAAAAACAAGATCAAGCACGTGAACTTGAAAAACAACAAAGACGTTTAGCAGATGAAGCTAAACATCGACAGCAGCAAGCTGAAGCAAAAATACGTGATGAAAAATTACAACGTTTATCACAGAGTGATAATAAACGTCCACGTTCATCTCATCATGAAACACAACGTTCACATCAGTCAAGTACAAATAATAGTACTAGTTCTAATAAAGGTTATGATCATCGATCATCATCAAATAACACAAGCGCACGTGGACGTGATCGATCTCTTGATGATACAAATCGTGATTATTATCCGGAACCAAAACGACCCTATACAAATAATTCACGTGATGGAACTTTGTAAGATACATATAAATATACTTTATTTGAAAATAATCATTCGGTTTCTATTTCTATAATTCATCTTTCCAGTCGTGATCGTGTTGTCTATAGAGAATCTGATCTTTCACAATCAAACTCTGGTCTTGCTCTTAATTCTTCATCATCAATCAGTTCTAATAATAATAATCAACGATATACTTCATCATCGAATCAACATCGTCTATCAGATCCTTATAGTACATTACCACAACGTGGACGCGATATGGCTTTACCACCGACTTCATCTGTTAGTACAGCTTATGAACGTTCTTCTCGAAATATCTCCCCACCAGCAAATAACAATGCAATTCTTCGACGCCCACATTCACGCGAAAGATTTGACGAACGACAGTATTTGCAGCCGGCACCACGCCGTGATAGATCACCACCGACAAATAATGCATTACGCCGTGAATCAATTGAAAGTACACATTGGGAACGACCGAAACCTCGTGATGCTCCACACTATGCCGATGGTAAATAATTGTGGATTATAGTTACAGGACAAAATATGATTTTTTTAAATTATAGATCCTCACAAATATTTACCTACTCAATATATTTCTGAACCAACTCAACAGCAACAACAACAAGGTTTATGGTCAGCAGCACCTCCATCAAGACAACAACAACAACAGCAGCAGCAGCAGCAACAACAACAGCAACATCATCACCCAGATATACCAGTAAAAAGTTAGTATACTTATTCCTATGGAAATGTCTTGAAAATAATGTTTGTCCTTTGAATTAATATTGAATTTGTATCATCCCGATACGAATAAGAAATCTGCGTTGAAGATGTCGTCTTATCGGTGAATCTTGAGAGCTCAATTAGTTCCGTTTTACTGAATATTTGGTCTAGTGCGAGACACGTACCAAAGCATTTAAAAATAAATGCCAAAATAAAATTTTGTGAAAGTTTCAGTTGAAAAGAATGTTCAATACTACATGTCAAGATATTCAATTCTATTTAAAGGCAAAACTTAACATCGAAAACTCTTGCTGCCTGATATTTTCATATGTATCTTAAAACAGGTATATTGCCAGTAAAAAGACAATGATTTGCGTTCAAAGTATTATACAAACGATTGTCTGTCAATCATTGTTTATACTTCATTAAAGTATCATTATGAGTCTAATCTTCATTGCATCAGCAAGGATCAATTTGACTAGTGTAATTCAAATAATTTATTACTTCTTATTTTCTTTTTGTATAGCGGCTTCTCATGTACCGATACTAGATCCGTACGGTTGGCCACATGTTTCTCAACAAATACCACCATCATCACTTCCGTCTCATCATCCACAAGGATTATCATCATCTCATGATCGATCTCGTTCAAATATGGCCAGCAATCAGCGTATTCCAATGCTTCCATCAAACCAACCTCCGCCACCACCGCCGCCTCCATCATCACGTGGCAATACAGCCGGTCAAACTCATTTGTACAGCCATCCTGGTGTTCCTGTAAACGCCCTTCCAACATCACAACAACATACACCTTTACCACACCCATCCTCATCTCTTCATCATACGACTGCTTATGTATCACAGCAAGGTCCACCAACTGGTCTTGTTCTTCATCCAGCGGGCCAAACGCGTCCGTATGAACAACATTACGTTGTGACACAGTCTTTATCGCAACGACGTTATTAAATCAATTATTTTCTTGTTTATTTGTTTATTATAGTAATGAACTTGTCGTTGCTTTTTGCGTACTGCTTGCTGATTCTTTGTATGTGTCAAACTTGAGATTTATATTATTTCTTTTGATTTCCCTCTATTTGTGAGTAGTGTGAGAAACAGCAACCGTATTCGTTTTGTGTGTGTGTGTGCCTCGTTGTACATGTTCTTTATACTTTCTTCATTTTGTTGTTTTTTTTGTTCTTTGCTTCCCTTAAATGGTATTCTATACTGAGCACTTCTATAGTTCTACTTTATAAACATAAGTTCCAGCATAAATAAAAAAAGAAAAAGTTACTTTATTTTTTATCAATTCATCAAATATTTAATGCAATAGACAGAACATACAAGTATGTATAACGAAATACGAAGGTTTCTGTTAATTTACTGGTTGAATATACATTCGGATGCATTTGTACATCTACCTGGATCAAAATGCGTAACCCAAATGAAACTCATTCATCCGGACGATTATCGATCGATATAGGAAGAAGAGAGAAATTGAAAGAAAGGGCAAAGAAATAAGCATGTATATATAATTCGAGAATAGTCTCTTGCGCTTTCAACAACGTTATGTATCAACAAACTCTTTCGGTTGCTTTTATAATATTCACCATCATCTCTTCATAATATTTTACACAATATTTTTGACGCTCGATGAGTATTATACATATACAGAAGAAGAAAAAAGAAAAGAAAAGAAGGAGGACTAGAATTATATAAAACTTACTTGTGTGCACATGAACTTAATCCCTAGTCATTACCTACTTCTTTTTTTTCTTGGTCACATACGCATATACTCTTTTTGAATCGATAGAGCATAAAACTCTCGCGTTTCTTCTCCTCGATAGTAAGTACTTTTGCTCTCTTCCTTTATGCATAGAAGTATTGCGATAGGTGGAGCAAAATCTTAAGTAAATCATTATAATTCTTCTCAGTCAACCATCCATGCATCTACTTTCGTGTTCGTATACTCCATTTTTTTTCTTCTTTTTTTTATATTTGTGCGCATATACGTAAATGGTTGATGTGGATATTCATATTCGTCAGACGAGATAGAGCCTATCAAATACATAGTAATACATCCATCATGATATGAAAAATCAAAAAATCTTCAACTGATTTGATTTTATCAGAGTTTATCTGTTCTTTCAGTTATTTTATATCTGCATAGCTGCTTGTAACCAGTAGAATAGAGATGATAAATATGATATACAAGAGAAACTATTTTCTTATACTCATTCGCGCTGATTCTTTTCGTTAGCATTTTTTAATAAATACAGACATAGAGACAGAGACATACACACATATACAGACAACATGAAAAAGCAGAAATACTGCTCTCAAGAATCTCTCTATTATCGAGCGAGCAGAACGTACGAATTCTTCCACTACCATCTGCAGCCATACACTTACTAAAATCAGTCTCGTATTTCTCCTTTCTTCTTCACTTTCTTTTTTCTTTCCCCTTTTTTTCTTTCACATTTTCCATTCTCGAACCATCTGTGCTTCGATCCCCCATTTTGCCTTCGAACATAGAACCACTAAATCTCCTCAGCATATATCTATATACTCCCCTTTCAAATGAAGTACATCTGCGCATATTCTCGTCATGTAAAAATCTTTTATCCTTCTCTTTCTTCTTCTATGCCTATGCTGACTTACTACTATCGCTACCGATTATATATTTGAATTTAAAGAGAAAAAAGACTAAAATCTAAACCCTTTCTTTTTTGTTGCTCTCTGTCTCTCTCTCTCTCTCTCTCTCTCCCTTTCTAATTCACATATAACTTGAGATAGATAGAAGACGAAATAAATATACGATTTTGTTGAGAACTTAATAAACGGAATTGATGTTATGTCTTATTCTCGTAAGTAATTCTCTTGCTTCCGTTTAGAACTTGAAAGTTATCATGATTACATATTGACCTTTTAATGTTATTAAGGTGTAGTGCTATTGAAATATTAAAAGCAATTTTTTTCTCCTCATAAGTCCTTTCTATCCACGGAAGTAGCAAAGTTGTCATTACTTTCTAAAACTTAATATTCATTTTCACGGCCAATTTGCTTTTTCCACATATAAAAGAGTAATGGCGACGGCATGTGTACGAATATTTGTTATATATGTATATTCATATACAGGTAAAAGTCGAACCCATTACGATGTCAGTAAATGTATGCATATATATATATAAGAAATCGATTTCTTCTACTGATCGTGTCTTCTTCGGTTATTGTCTGTGTAATAGATGACAAAAAAATGCTACATTTCATATCACACCTTTTCTTGCTCTTGAAATTGCTTTATATGTGTGATGAGAAAAGAAGATGATGATTGGAAGATCACGATGGGAAGTAGGCGATGATGTACGTATGTACATACACGTCTTTGGCCTTCGTCTTTCGCCTTCGATGCGCTTGTCTCCTTCTCTCCCTCTCTGTCTCTCTTCTTCGTTTTTCAAAAAACTGCGTGTGCACAAGCGCATCATATGTGTTATAGGCGCTCGTATCCCTTCTTCTTCTTCTTCTCTCTTCTCTGCCTGACATGTGCTATAATCACCAATAGTACATGTAGATGTATGTGCACGTCGAAAGAAGACGAACAGAGAGAGAGAGAGAGAGAGAGAGAGAGAGAACGAAAGACGCAAAGAAATTGAGTATTGAATGTGTATAATGAAGAAGAAGAAGAAGAGGAGAAGAATGTTGCGCCTTACGTCGTTTTTCTTTCTTGTTACAGGATACGAGAAAACGAAGATGTAAAAAAAGATGTTTTTTTTCTTTTTTTGTCTTATCTATACGTGCCCATCATCATCGAATACACATCCATATAGACATTTATCACAAATCTTTATGAAGCTTTCGTTAAGTCAAACATGACTATTGGTATTCAGCTATCACTTCATATTTGAGTTTTACGTATTCATACAATTCACATTAGCCTACACGATAAACATGCAGTTGTTGCTCATCAGCTTTTTGCTTTCTAGTTTTAGATTTTAGTTTGTTCATATCAAGTTGATGTTAGTAATAGTTTCAGCACTATCAGCCGTTCGTAATCAGGTAAGACAATCAAAACTAGAAGTAAGATCTTAATTAAAAAGGACCATAGACGGTATGTTTGCATTTTGTATCGAATTTTTTCCCAACAAAAATTGATCATAACACACTATTATTAATCGAATTGCTAAGAAAGGGTTGAATTCAATGAATATGATTTGTCTTTCGCTCTCTATAATAAGTTTACCAAGCTCTTTTGGTATAAAATACACCTGTATGATGTAGCAAAATCATGTTGTTGTTATTGAGAGAAAAAAAAGACGACGAAGAGAAATCAAACGAAATAGGTATCGAAGAATAGATCGTAAATGAATGCAAAATCAAATGATGATCGATCATAGTTGACGTGTGCATAACTATAAGTATATGTCGTTTGAATGCTTCGCTATTCATCCATAAAACTTGCGTATATTTTTTTAAATATTTCCCTTTTCTCTTTTGTTTTACTTTCCAGCACCGGTGATGACTAATGATGCTGCCACTGCTTACATCTGCATCTATTGCCCGTTCAATTCAGACAATCTAGAAGCACTTGAAAATCATTTAACAAGTATAAACTAAATTTAACGTCACCTTGATCTATTATACATATATATATATACATATATGTATATATCTTCAGATGCACACGGACATGGATGTCAAGATGCACCACCACTACTACTCACACAATCTTCATCATCATCGAACATTATCAACAAGGCCAGTAAACGTGAGGCACCTGATGATGAACAGGTAAGTTTTTATAATTTTAACTGATTCATTTTTTTTTCATTTGTATATTATCTATATTTATCTAGTCTCAATCTTCGTTGAATGGTATTAAATCGACAACAGGTATTTAACTAAAAAAACTTTATTTAATAAGAATCACTTGTTTATGTCTTGTATAACATGCATAAGTTTGAATTGCATTGATGATAATCGAATTTATAGCTGAGATCAATCAGTTTCATATTATTCGCATGTTGAGTACGAAGATTTTTTTTACTGATAATTTAATAATAGTAAATCCTTGAGTAAAAGTTTTTCATAAGCTTTCTTTTGTAATTCATAACAGTAAAATGTTTTTTTTTGTACAGAAAAAAACTCCAAGGCTTCGTATACTTTGTCATATTCATTGAATCGCATAAAAATATACGACGAAGAGTTTTTATAGAAGTACTAGTTTTAAAATATTCTCCATACTGTTTTTTCCTCGTATACAAGATATCACATCATAGTGTTTAAACAGAACAAAGATAACATTATACAAGATTTTCTTGTAAATGAACACGTCAAGTTATTCTTTCATCACAGTTGCGTACCCAGCCAGATAAATACTTATGTTAACATGTAAATATGTGCGCTTTTTATTTTGAAAATCGGTGAGAAACAATTTTTTAAAAATTTCAGTAAGGATCAATTTTGCGGAATTTATTCGCCTCGGTATAAATGTTTTCGAAAAAAAAACCAAGCTCGTGTTTGTTTTAGAAAATAACGATTTTCACACATAAAAAATACTTTTTCTGTGAGGATATTGTCTGGCTCAGTGCGAAAACAAATTTATTTTCTTTCCCATAGAATATTCAAGTGGTATTAAACGAGTTAAACGAACAGTATCACCATCAACAGTAGCACCAACAAGTATATTCATTAGTGGTGCTGATAATAATTCGGAATCAGAAGATGAAAATGAATATGATGATGGCGATGATGATGATGATGATGATGATGATGATGATGACGACGACGACGACGACAACGATGAAGATGATGAACGAGATTCATCAACAAATCCAACAACAATGTCACCCCAAACTATTTTAACATGTCCGATATGTAGTTCAACATATCATCGCCTTGGCCATCTTGTAAGACATGCAAAACGAAAACATCGTATAGATTTATCAAATTATGAGGGACAAAATACGTTTGATACGCTTACATCGCAAGCAGCAAATAAAATTCAAACAGTCGACATTGAAATAAATTCAAACTCGAAGGAACGAATAGCTCTATTGAACATCGAAGATATCGATGCAACTGAAAAGTCATCTCAACAACAGAGTAAATTAATTTCTTTATAATCTATAGAACAAAAAATTTAACGATTCTTGTATCTCTTTTTAAGCTGAAACAATAATATCTTCAACGTCTGAAACAAATGTAACAACCGATTGCCCTTATTGTGATTACAAAACTACAGATATTGAACAATTCAAATTCCATATTATAGCTCATATACGTGATAAAAATTATCGATGTTTATTATGCAATAGATTATATAAATATCGAGGTACGATAAATCATTTTTTGTATTGATTTATAATTGTCTCATTCTAAATTCGCAAAAAAAGGTGATTGCTCATTTCATATACGCCGTAAACATCATCGATATAGCACAAATTCTAACGATTACATTCAACGTTTTCTATTCGATACAACTGATGGTGATGAAAATATGTCAAAACAATCCGGTGGACAACCTGGTACATCGTTAAATAATTCAACTCATAATATAAATGCATCACGTGAACAAGATGAGCCGGTGCGTTATTTTGGTTGTCCTTATTGTGATTACACATCAAACTATGGTGGAGATGTTCGGTAAACATATAAAAAAAAAATGAAAGTTCCATATTTATTTATTTTTGTATTTATATAGAAAGCATCAAGCACGTAAACATCCAAATGTTGAATCGAAAGTTATCAAGATAATTCGACAAGATTCTGAACATCAAGTATCTTCTTCATTATCCACTATTCAAAATTCTAATAATATACTAAATGATGATGTTGTTGTTGGCTTTGATACTAATCAGGTTCAAGACGTTACAAGTGCTATTACAAAAGCAAATATTAATTTAATTGAACAACAAGAACGTAAAGAGAAGATAAAAACAATTAAAAAAACGGATACAAATTTTATTCAACAACATTCATCGACATTATCAATTTTACCAAATTTTGCACCTGTTCGAGTTTTTCAATGTAGTTCATGTCAGCAACAAGGCACATACAAATGGGTTGTTGAAAGGCATATACGTGCTAAACATCCGGATCAACCTGATGTACATGTTATTGAATTGCCAGCTGAATTAGCTGTTAAATTACAAAAAATATCACCGCCATTGAAACGTTTCCGTTGTTCATTATGCCCATTACAATCGAAACATACATGGGTTATTATACGTGTATGTATTTTTAATTTTGTTGAAAACAAAAAAACGCATACATTAATGTTTCATTTTTTTGTTGTTGTTATTTTTAGCACATTAAACATTTTCACACATTACAAACAGCATCTGTTCTGGACATACAGCCGGATGGAACATCCGTAAAGGATGAACCGTATCCATTTCAAAATGGTAAATATGAGTTTCATCTTAGTCAAAAAGTTCAATTATATATTCTACTTCGGAAATATAAATAGTAATAGATAATGAAAGAAAGAGTAAGCTCATAAAAACCAGAACACGATTGAATAGAAAATAGTTGCATATCAGTAAGGAAAATGTTTAACTATTACGCAGTGTGTTTCATTATTTTATTACATACTTGTGAAGAAGATTCCTAATCGAAGAAAGACCTGAGTAGTTTATGCAACCCTCAATAATTGAAAATGATTGATTATTACCTAAGAAAACTGACAAATCCTTTTCAAATATTTTATTAACTCTATAAGATATTTCGTTAAACAATCTCTTATCTCGATGTCGTCAAGTGATTTTTTTTTAAATAGCTATGAATACTGATTGTATTAGGGAAACTCACATGACTCACGATAAGATATGATTTCAACAAAAAGAAAAAGTATTCGTTTTTACTTAATAATTTCCTGATTCTACGAGAAAAATTTGATCTATATGTTAGTTAAATTTAAATAAAACTTTCAAAATTTTCCAAAAGACTTCGAGCTTTTAACTATTAAATCTTATGTAAGAATTTATTCTAGGATTTTCTTTGTATCATTCATATTTATTTTTGTTTATGGCACAGAATTGTAGTTGGTGATAAGTTAGAGTAGTTATCATAATGTCTCTTGTTTTTTAATACAAGAAAGAATTAAATCACATCTAAGGACGAAATTTGCATTTACCTGAATTGTTGAGCATTTTTTTGTTTTGTAGTATAAAGTCCGTAGATGTACGCAAAATATCAATGAAAATAGCATAGGTCATGTGGAGACCTTTTCTTTTAAGTCTATAACATAGGAAATATTGTATTACATAAATATGACTCTTTAAAAACGAAACTTTATTTAGGTGATTTTTCAAACAAATCTTATAATCAAGATTCAGAATCATCATCTATCAGTAGTACATGTATGGAAACTGGCAATGATGGACACAATGGCTTATTTCGTCGACAAGATATGGATGATGATGACGATGAAAATGATAGTTTACAATCATCGTTAGCTCCTAATTTAAATGGTGCCATGATATTAACATATAAATGCTCGCTATGTGATTTTACATCAAACGTTTCATGGAACGTTCAAAAACATATAAATGATTTACATCCAGGACAAGCTAATGCTCATATGTTAACGCAATGTCGGCCAACAGTAAATGATAAAAATCAGACATTAACAACAAAAAAGTCAAAACATAAAAATGGTAATCATACAACAATATCAACAGTAACTAAAATGCAAATCCGTGCTCCACTATCTCCAACAAGTGCTTTGGCGAAAGCAAAATTTCCACCGGCTGTCGAGGAAGCTCTACTTTCATTACATGGTTCGAAACTAAATTCTGGTCTTTATGCTGTACAACCTAAGTTTGGTATAAAGCGTTTAAAATGTCGTCATTGCTTTTATCGTTCAAATTGGAAAACTGATATGATTCGACATGTAAGAATAAGACACAGTTTAACTGAACCTGATCATAATAAAGGTAAACTTAAACAACGAAATATAGATAATTTATAGAAATTCAATTCTTAACTTTTGATTAGATATGATCCTCATGACTGAGCAAGAGGCACGTGCAACCATTGAAACATATGAAAATACATTTGGAAAAGAATTACGTAGACGTACATTTCGAACATGGAATGATTGGGCTAAAGCTGAAGAAGAATTTACACCTAAAGATGGTTCACTTCAATATGTAAATAAATTGAAAATTGTGGCTTTTTTTTTCAATAGTTATTATGTTTTGTTTTAGACTAATAATAATAATGGAACACTGCTTATTGATATTAGTAAACCAAAAAAAACTATTGTAACTGGATCAATGCCATCATCTTCATCTTCATTATCGAATAATGATGAAGTAAAACGAATAAATAAAACGAAAGCTAAACAGCTGGCAAAAGTCATAACACAAAGTAATGCTCAAGCAGTACCTAATACTAAAGAAGTAAAAAATGAAATAAATTGATTTTACCATTAATTGTAAATTTATTTTAGTTTAAACAATTACCTAATCCATCAAATATCGTTTCTCGTCTTCTATTAACAACATCACCTTCACATGATAATAATGATGATGCGCCATTAGATCTTTCACTTAAATCATCATCACCCACTGTCAAAATTCATCATCCACCATTATCATCCAAAGAAATCATACAGAATAATGGACACAATAACAATCAAGAAAAACAAACTATTGATGATGATCTTGTCGATGAAGATGAAGAAGAAAATTCTGATCGAACATCAACTGTTATCTATATATGTTCTGCATGCCCATATAAAAATTCATCGTTTCCTTTAGTTCAACGTCATTTAAAAATTCATTTAACTGGTCAAGGTGTTGTTTGTCCTCTCTGCTCTTATGCAACATCAACTCATAAATCAATTAATCGTCATATGAAAATTGTACATCCAACTAGTCAAACAATAATTAGATTTCAATCAGCAACTCGAATAATAGATCCACACGTAATTGAACAACATCCATGTCCATCATGTTCGTATCAATGTGAACGTTCCGAAGCATTAGATCTTCATCGCCGTCTTGAACATGATGATGAAGAATTTGATATTGATTCATCATCAAGTGTAGGTGAAGGTGATCATGAAGAAGATATGGATAATGATGAAATACATGCATCATTCGATAGTAATAACAATATGTTTCAATGTCCAGTATGTTCACCATCGTCCATTACAAACAACTATACAAATCTTGAACAGTTTACAATGCATGTATTTACAGATCATATGAATTATATGCAAAACAATCAATCATGTCCATTTTGTTCATTCATTGCTCATACAACATCAAAATATTCATTAATCGAGCATATACAACTTCATTTCAATGGTACACTTGTTCAACCAGATTCAATTGTTGGTATTGAAAATGTAAAAGAGTTATTAATTGAATAAAAGAAATAAATAAAATAAATCATGCATGACATATATTTACATGTATTTCGAGTTTTTATATTGTTATTATTATTTTTTTTCTTTTTCTTCTTTTTTTCTTCTTATTACGGTGGTAGTTCTACTTTTTGCTTTAATTTTCTTGTTATGGTAGTGAAAAAATTAATATTAAGAAGAAACAGTATTCAACTGTGTTATTATTCCAAATTGTTTGGTTTCATTTTTTTTTGTTCAACCTTGAAAAGTCAATTGTGAGTTTTTTCTCGTTTTTAAGTAAGAAATATATGCATATATATATATGAAATTGATTTGTTTTTTCTTTCTTCTTTTTCTCTCGATTCAAACAAAATATCTTGATACAAGAAAAAGAAAGACTTCATAATGACTGAGAAACGAAAGAAGAAAAAAAGATAAACAAACAATAGAAATAAAATGTTTTAGTTAATTGCTGGTTGTATTATTAAGTCTTTTCTTCTTTTTCTTCTTTCGTTTTTTATTTTGTTTTATTAGAAGATTTTGTTTTTCAAAATCTTTTGAATCTTCCAATGGATTTGATTGATCGATTTGGTCCATTATTCGGTCGATTGCTGACACAAGTGGTTGAGTAGAATTTAGAGAACTATTTTGTTTTCGTCGTTGATGTTTACTTATAATAGGACGTATAGTAGGCTCAGATGGTGTGTTACGGGAAGGTAACTGAGCATATTTCGAATCATCTTCGTGATAATCATCATGAGATGTTGATTTTGGTTGTGACATAGCTCCAGAAGAAATTGATGATCGATCAATAAAATATGTAGAGTTCTTATCTTGACTGAGACGATCATGTGTATTGTTATCAGTGTCATCATCGTCCGAATCAAGAATAATAAATTCAGGTGTACATTTGGATTGAACAGGTGAATCGTTTATGAGAATGATAGATGCAGATGATGAATTTTTTTTTACTGGTTTGATTGGTGAAGTTTCTATGATATAATCTGTAGAAAAATAAAACCAATGAAATAACATTCAAGAATACGTTTGTATCAAGATCAAAAATCCATTCTCATGAAACTAATCTTATGTGACATTGAAGATGTATCAAACTATCTATGAATTTATGGTATTTTGAAACAAATATACAGCACAATTAATTAGTATTGTCTTACGGTTCAACTTTCCATCTCAATTTATCTGTCTTTAAAAAGATTTTAAATCTTTTACGCCAATATAGTGAGACTTTTTTTTGATTCCACCACCTATACGATCAGATTGAGTAATACTGTCCTCTCTGATTTCCCTTCAACTTTCCTAGTTGTGTCATCTTCTATAAAGATATCTATCTGCGACTTTATCAAAGTCATTAATCATAGGTTAAACAAAATTAAAAAGTTAGTAATCACTAACGTACATAGTTTCGATCATTCAAAAGGTCAACTCTATCAAATAATTGTGAAAAATTAATTATAATAATTTAGTGCATCAATACACAATAGGCAATTATGATCTGTCAATATTTGTTAATTAAACATATAAATGACGATTGATTTGGAAATGAAAGAAAATTTTTCATTGACCAGCAATTTTTTTACATTTCATTAATGAGCAGAAAATTGTCTCGGAAGATTTTTATGCTCATTATCGCAATGTTTTAAATTGAGTTCACAAAATTTATCAACATCTAAATCTACTTCGATGATATCAAGTAACCTCAGTCGTATTTAAAAATGCTGTATAATTACAGACGTGAGTGACCACACTTTTCTGTTTTGTCTTGACATTTTTAATTCGCAAAAAAAGTAATTACAAATCATGAAAGTGAAAAAGAACTCGATTTTTTTATTACACTAAACAACTATGTAAAATACTAATGCTTATAAGTGATCAATTAATACTAGTTATTATCATTTAAAAAACTACTAACTCATCTAGGTACCTAAAAGAACAACGTTTTCGATGTTTCTCTGTATAAAATAAAATAAAATCAGTGAAGATTTCGACGAAAATTATCCTTTCATTTTTCTAAGAGAAACATTTTTTATGAGCATTTTTTCAATAAAAACAGCTCCGCAAAGTTATGTACTCTATAGTCGTTAATACAAGCATATTTATTTGATTACCTCACAATATTTTGGAAACTAAAAATTCTAAGATCATTCATTCTTAATAGTACTTTTTGAAAACATAGGAATTCGAAGACACTACTAATACGAGAATGCTCGCCAACTACATAGGGAATTTATATAGGACACTGATTTTCACTAAGACAGCCTTTAGAACTCTGTTAAAACACAAAAAACAAACACTACAAATTACATTCAGTTTTTTACTATATGCACTTCGTGAACCAAATAGGCGATCATGAAACAGAATCTATTTAAGTTTCATTTAATTCCAACTGTTATACATACGCGCTTTCAATTATATATAAACAAAATCTAATTTAATACCACTGATAAAAAATACAAACTAATTAAAACACATTTTTGCTAATATTATTATAGTATACTATATGAAAATATATAATCGAAATATTTATATACTACTTAAAAAGAGCGAGGTTTGCCTCGCATTCACACTGCTATGTGAAACTCATTGATAAAACTTTTGAAAGAAACAGAAAATCTTCCTATATTATTTGCCACTCATTAGCTTCTCTTGTTCAGCAAAAAACAAGTCCAGTCTCTTATTCATGAGAGAATTCTAGTATCAACGTTAATTCATATATTTTTGTTAGCATTTGTGCTATGATATAGGGATGAGTGATCGAGGCTGGACTAATCCCAAGCCTAGCAATGATATTATTTATACGACGAGCAAAGTACTGTTTCAAAACAATATCTGATCATTTTCACAAGAATCTAGTTTTTAAAAACAAAAATTGAATACAAGAAAAAAGTAACTTAAAATATACTGTATTATAGAATCCATTTAAAAAATACAGAAAACATAGGCGGGGGGGGGGGGGGGGGGGGGGGGGGGGGGGGGGGGGGGGGGGGGGGGGGGGGGGGGGGGGGGGGGGGGGGGGG